AGGCAGATATGTCAAACACTTCAAATGACTTCTTCTGAGGAACTGGAAGTTATAGAACCTTAATATTCGGCTGGTTATTTCCTTGGAAAGAGCCCAACAAAGTTTGCGAATGAAAGTGACCTTGACCTACTTTCAAGGTCACAGAGGTCAACAACATTTTAATGGATTTGTTCTTAAGAACTAATAGGAATGGATTCATAAGATTTGGCTGGTAGCTTTTGGAATAGAGCTTACCAATTTGAGAAGGAAAATGACATTGACCTACTTACAAGGTCACAGGGAAAAATATGTGAAGCAACTTCTGAAGAATCAAAAAGCATAGAATCTTGTAATAATATTTTGCTGGTAGTTTCAACAGTTGGAACCAACAAAGTTTGTGAGGGAAATATTATTAGTGCAATATAATATTTAATGAGAATATTTTGCTATGACTGCCTAAATATTCAGGTGAGCGATCCAGGCCCTCTTGGGCCTCTTGTTCGAAAAAACTATTTCAAACTTAAAGTCGAGTTTTGCTGGGCCGATTGAACTGAAACCAGGTAGGAAAGATCGACTCATGGTCCTGACAAAGTTTTGTTATTTTTCAGGTCGATCAGAAATCCAATATGGCCACCACGGCCGCCATTTTGAAAAACTATTTCAAACTTTAAGTCAAGTTCTGTTGGCCCGATTGAAGTGAAACTTTGTAGGAATGATCGACTCTTGGTCCTGACAAAGTGTTGTTATTTTTCGGGTTGATCAGAGATTCAATATGGCTGCCGTGGCCGCCATTTTGAAAAAAACTATTTCAAACTTAAAAACAAGTTCTAATAGGCCGATTTAACTGAAACTCGGTCTAGGAATAATCAGCTCATGGTCCTGACAAACTTAAGTTAACATTATACTTAACTATTTTGTACACAAATTGGTACATATTTCAACAACAAAAATAAATACTGTAGGACTCAGGTAACCGTTTAGGCCCATTGGCCTCTTGTTATATTTTCTAATGCAAGGAAGAAGTAAATATACATACTTATGAACCATATGAGTGGTGAAGTATAACTTCAATTTTGATGTTTCAAACGGGAACGTAATATGACATATCGTGCTTAGGACGTTAGAACCTTGATAACAGTAATAAACCATCTTTGCTACCACGGACGTGGCTCTGAGACGAGACGATATGTGAACTGTGTATGCTTATCAAACATTTCTGTACACAGCATGCTATTTCTGGTGTATTTATTTATGAAAATGTAACAATTAAATAACATGACACAACTGCCGCTGCTGTTTGACAAGAGTTCGCGCTGTGTCAAAATATTATCCAGACCAGTGTAAGGGAAATAACTCTAACGTTGGTAAAGTCACATTGAGAAATATAATTCAAATATATTCCAAGAACATTTGTGAGATTTTGTGATGAATTGTATATTCAATGACAGTAAGTAAAGTCACTTCATATGTTAATAATTATTATTAATATGAATAAAAAATAAATAAAAAATAAAGGAGTACAATGTCTCTTTTTCTCCATGCATGTTTTCCCACTATTGTTAATTATCCATCATTTCACAAGCACGAAATGCACCTATTCTTTATTACCCATTTACTGATTGCCATTCTGTGCGTAAATGCTCATGTCACATCATTGGAGGATGCTAATTAATGAAAATCACAACAATGCGTCACAAAAGAGGGTGAAAAAAGAGGAGAGGGAGAAATGTTTTTAAGGCATCATTTAAGAGGTGATTGATTTTGGAAATTCCAAAGGCAACATCATCATATGACCTGATTTTCAATTAGCAGAATACAGAACTCATATTTGAGGTATTATAGTAGATATTGATGCTCAACGTGTCACGGAAGCAATTCAATTTAAAGTGGTGAGCGGCATTTATTGTCACACTGACATAACTCTAGTTTCAATATGAAAGTCCTACAAGACAAATTAGGATGTATCTGCTTGATCCAATATTTTCAACTGGTATCCCATGTTGGCGGAAGGCATAAATGAGCTACAGGAGCTAAGCTTGGGGGTTTATTATACATGTGTAATAGGACAGAAATGCATTGCCAGACTGGGGTTTGAGCCCCGGACCCTCCAAACTCTTGGCCAGACGCTCTACCAATTCAGCTACCTTGTCACCAACAATCCACCCAGTCCAGTTTTGCCACATTCCTCCCTCCTTTTTCTTAGTCTTCACCCCCAAAGATGACACTATTTACAACCCAAGTTTGTCTATCCCCATGTCAAGCATTCACCCAGTACTTGAAACAAGGGTTAGGTTGGTGACTGGCACCAAATGTAACAGAAAAGAGAACTGCATGGCCAGACCAGGTACCGTACCCGGGACCCTCCAAACTCTAGATGGAACCTGTACTAATTGAGCTACCTGGTCGCTGATGATAGACCCAGTCCAGTTCTTCTACACAAGTATTATCTCAGCTTGGCAACATTAAAAAAACAACAACATTTCCATAGGTAAACCATGTGATGGCCACTCACTAGGTCACCAGAGTTGTATGACCTAAGGGCAGCCGAGAAGGTGAAGGTCATTCTGTAGAGGTTGATACAAGGGGGTTAGTGATGTTATCATTTCTAATTCATGTATTCCCTATTTTGTCTCATTCTGGTAATGACCCCTTACAGCTCCCCTTCAAAATGTTGGAAATGGATTTTTTTTTTTAAATGTTTGGAGTGAACATGCATAGGTTGTACATTTTTTAATTTTGTGTACTTTCTCTCGAGGTTTGGAGCTTTCAAATTATTTTGTGGTTACAAACTTAGTGGTTATAGCCCGTACAACGAAATGAATTCATATTAGTGGTTAGCCACGTACAAGGAAATGTATGCAAAATCTGAAGGGGAAAAAAGTGAGCAAGACCCTTATACACAGTACATGATCATAATCATACACATACAATGTATATACTTTCGTGTGTGCATTTTTTATTTAGAGTTCATATAATTTTCACATTTTTGTGTTCCATAGCAACCCAAAAACAAGGAAAGTTTATACGCAACGAACATATCATGTTTATACAGTATATAAACAGAACAATTTGTGAACGTCTAAATTTATGAAAATATTTTTGAAAACAATTAGATATTTTGATTATTGGCCATTTGCTATCACATATAGAATATATATAGATACATTTACCAGTTTATCATTTTTGACCTTTTCTTTACAGGTAGAGCTGGAGTAACACAGTTTACTATCAAATTTTCCGGCTGGAAAGATGAAGGCTATAGAAAAACTCGGAATCCAGACATTGACTGGAAGGAATCAATCTTCTACAGAGTTCTTACCAGAAAAGGTTCAGAAGTTCCTACTCTTCTCTATCACGGTGGTGAGATATTCAATGGTTTCCTTCATTCTGATGAATGAGTTATGAAGTGAAATCAGCCAGAGGTATCCGATGATACAAATTGGGTAGCAACTTTGTATTTGAAATGCTTTGCAGCTATATTCATAAATCTTGACAAAGAATTTCAACCTCAAAACGTGCAGGCGGATTTATATACGATTTTAAGGTTGGACATGTCAAGGTCACTATCAAGGTCGCTTACTGTCAACTGTCAACTTAAAAGTGCAATTCATACCTCAGGTGCAACAAGTAGCTTTCAGCTATCATCACGAAAAACTTTATAGAAACTGTTCACATAAGAGAGAGGAAAAAATGTAATTTTGAATTCAAGAGTGAAGGTCAAGGTCATTTAAAATGTTTTTGTTCCATTCCATAACGTGTAGTTATTTTACTTAGTTTATGCAGTGTTCCCAGAAACCCCCCTTTACTGTTGGTTGTACCCCCAGTTTTCAACAATTGCCCTATATAATAGTGTTTGGAATCGTTTGTAAATTTTATACTTGATCATCTCTTCCAGTCAAGTGACTGATGATCGACTAATGATCGATCAAATTGAACTTGAATTCAGTAATTTAAGGTTATATTTGCTTTCCGAAATCGACTTTCACTTTCGTTAACGGGGAAACCCCGATATTAGAGAATTTCGCTAATAACGCACAACATTCATACAAAAACAATACGTTTGTTGACAGAACCTTATAATTATTGAAAAATATGTATTTGGAAATGAAGTTGATGATGTTTGCAATGTCAATTATGCTGTGACAGGTTCATCTCGTATTCAGAAATGCCGCGATGGATTGGTATTCACCTGATGACACCCGTCAAACTTAACATTTTATTTGTAAGATAGCCCACTCTTTCGACAAAGCGTTTTATTTATATCCAGCTAAGGACAAACAATACCTTCCAAACGTTTAAATCAGTAGCCCCCGGATGATCATAGAGTTTAATATCCGGAATGTCCTGGTTTGACATATTGTAACGCACTGACTGAGCCATGCAGCATTTCTATTGAAAAGCAAGTTCTGATTGGTTGTCAGGTGGACCGGCTAGCCAATCAGCGTCGTCATCGTGTGAGACGTTCGGTCAAGTTGTTTTGCCCAACCACGAACAACTCGCTGTTGGCGGTAATAACAGTATCCAAGTTTATTTTTTGTTAATAATTAAATTAGTTAAATCGATTAATCCATCGTGGAAAACAAGGATGGATTAATCGATTTTCAGAAACAAACAACCAGACGTCGACTAAATTGATTAATCGGAACAACACGACTATATAACTAGGTACTTAGGGGTACCTAATCTTGAAAACGTATCAAATATACCCTTAAATCTAAAATTCAGTGGGAACACCGTTATATTTGTATATTTTTTTTTACCAAAATACTCAGGACATTGATTGAACTTTAGTTGTGCACAACCATGATTAAAGTTTAAAAAAACTTTTGTAATAAACATTTGTTAAGACATGTAATTAAAGCTATATTACACATATTCCTTTGCCCTTATGATGTGTATAACCTTATCCTTACCATTGCTCTAACAAGCATGGTGGTATTCAGAAAAACTTTTAATAAAATGAAGATCTTTTCCTGGAGGGGGGAAGCATGTCACAGTGGTGAACTTAACTAGAAGCTTGTTGCTTTACTAGGCGAGAGAGAATTTCTCTTTAGATCAGTCCAGTAGAGCACATGGACTTAAGACAGCTACCGTAAAAACCCATGTAATTTGCGCACTTTTTTTTCAGAAATTTAATACCCAAAGTGGGGGGTGCGTAAAATACACAGGTATAGAAAATTTCAAGTTTTTTTCAGGAAAAGATCGACGATTCTGGGAGATTGCCATCTTGGATTATTTCCCTTATTTATTATACACGGAACTCTTAAGACAAATGACGGTCAACAAATTTATTTATGTCAAACATTAATAAAAGATAAATAATGTGTTGTTATGTGAGTTTATGTGAAAAGTATTATTAAATAGGTAACCGTTAACAAAAAAAGTTTAGCCAAATTCCTATGCCAGAGAATCGCCGATCAACTTACGACATTACGGTATATTCTGTTGGGTTCAACTTCAAACAGAGGCACTCGGAAAAGTCATCTTGGTTATATGTATACATGTATGATAAGGCCATTTAACAAAATAAATCATGTGTTCCTGATTCCGCTCAAAATTTGAATGTAGAGTATAAAATCATCTTTTTTATTTCTGTTATTAGCATTTTACAAAGGAATTACTGTAATGTCCATATAAAGTGTATCTAGGGCAACAAAAGGCTTTAAATAAATTCAGCATTTTGAAGAATGCAAGCTACAAAGCTACTGGGAAAAAGAGACCCGTCCCATCCATGAGCGGGGGCATTTATGTCTTACAGACATTTTCTAGTTTTATTCAGCCTCACTAATGTCTATCCACAGTTGAACGGAAAGTTAGTGTTTACCTGCCAGAGGGAAATTCAACCAATCTTTATCAACTTGAGATCCTTCTGAGAATCTACGACATCTTTGGAGACTTTTCGGAATTTACTTCCATTGTTACGGTAAGCATGCATCTGACATTCATTATGTCTCCCCTTCAAATGAAGGGAGATATATTGTATTCTTCTTCTTCTTCTAATATGACTTGTCCGGGCCATAACTTTTAAACCATTAAAGATATCTTGATGAAACTTTAGGTATGCATGCATCACCCACAGGAGGTGTGCAGTGCACTGGAATTAGGTCACTGTGACCTTCACCTTAAGGTCAAAAGTCAAATAAGTGCACATTTTCAGGAAATTCTTGTCCGGCCCGTAAATTTCAAACCGTTAAAGGTATCTTAATCAAACTTGAAGTATACCTGCATCACCCACAGAAGGTGTGCAGTACACTGGAACTCGATCTCATGCCTAAGTTAATACCTAAGTTTGTCCAGAGCATAAGTTCTATTTTATTTCACCTACGTATCATACTTACCATATTGATGTATCTTGAGACGGCGGAATTTCTCACACTAAAATCAGGTTTTATACTCCACTATACACAGAGTCATGGCCCTTTGTTTATTTTAAATACCGAAGTTTGTCCATGGCATAATTTCTAAACCATTAAAGATATCTTAATCAAACTTGAAGTATACCTGCATAACTCACAGATGTTGTGCAGTGCACTGGAATTAGGTCTCGTACATCACTATATACAGAGTTATAGCCCTTTGTTTATTTTTAATACAGAAGTTTGTCCATGGCATAACTTCCGTGTTATTAAGGCCCCGCATCGAAGTTGTGGGTGCTCCATACTAATTCATCTGTTCGTCCGTCACAATCAAACAAGGTTTCAACTGACCAAAGGTCAAGTCACTGGGTCAAAGGTCAAGGTCAAATTTTGTATATTTTCCCTGATGGACATTTTGTTATGATATTATGAAGCAAAGTTGGTTGGAATTTAACAAAGAGTCGACTGACTTAAGGTCAAGGCCCCTGGTCAAAGTTTTAGGTCAAATTCAGTATCTTTTCACTGGGGAACATTTTGTTTTGACACTTTGAAGCAAAGTTGGTCAGAATTAAACAAGGAGTCAGTTGACCAAAGGTCAAGGTCACTGGGTCAAAGGTCAAAGGTAAAGGTTACATTTTGTATCTTTTCACTGGTGAACATTTTGTTTTGACACTTTGAAGCGGTGTTGGTCAGAACAAGGAGTCAACTGACTTAAGGTCAAGGTCACTGAGTCAATTTCAAGGTCAGACATTGTATCTTTTTCCATGATGAACATTTTTTGTATGTAATTATTATTAACAAAGTTGTTCGGAACTTAACATTGAGTCAACTGACCAAAGGTCAAGGTTACGGGTTCCAAAGGTTCAAGGTCAAGGTCAAGTTTTGTATTTTTCACTGATGAATATTTTGTTATTATGAAGCAAAGTTGGTCGGAATTGGAGAATGAGTCAGCTGAGCAAAGATCAGTGTCACTGGGTTAAAGGTCAAGGTCATTTGGGTCCAAAGGTCAAAGACAAAGTGGATCTCTTACTTTGACCCTGGCTCTTGATGGGGGAGGTAATTAAAAGTCCAAATGTCAAACGTCAAGCTCAGCTATATGGGCAGTGTTAAGTACGGAACGAACGGAATAGCCTTACTCGGGAATGACAACACAACAATACACAGTTTAACACAAATATATATACAACTTTATTTACACTCGATAAATAAATGATACAAAACGATTTAATATCTTGCCCACACACACACACACACTTACACATACACTAATACTGGGAATACCCTAAAATGTTCTGTCACTTCCTCGCTGTGTTCCTCTGAGTTACAATGTCCATACACTCTCAGCCATGAACGCGTATGTGTTCCTTCCTTGTCGTGTTCCTCCGAATACTCCGAATCAGCTATGAACCACGCTCCATACTATCCCGCAGGATAGGAAACCGCTTGACCTCTGACTTTGATGGTCCAAGTACCGCCGCTGTGTCGTACATGTATCTGGTCCTGGAATGACCAGATCTGGTTCATGTGTCGGTCGGTCTGTCTATGGGTCCACCATATAGCCCCAAGGTAAAAGCTAGGGTAAGATAAAAGAGGAATACTGTGACAGCAACACCATTGAATCCCAAAAGTTCGTGTAATTTGACCAAGATAACGAAAACATCCGTTTGCACTCATGGGCTTCCATACTTCCACAAATTTGACAAACTGAGTTTTCTATTCCAAAATCGACATAAATTACAACTAAACGTATGATACAATGCGTTGGACATAAAATGTTACCAATAACTGCACAATTCATCGTGCTGGACCACTATGTAAATTAGCTAACCTGACATGTATGGGCTTCCATACCTAACACAATGCATGTGGAAAATAATGAAAAATACAATGGCTAATATCTTCAAATTGGCTCAACGTTACATGTACACCACTATCTGAGGTGCATACAACAAATACATGACAAATTAGTACGCGTACATGTTTATAAATGGAATGCATAACACGTGTAACCTTCGCTACGCATGAGTGGTCCGCCACTGAGTTGTTGACACTAGACCGGTTTTCTTCAGGTTAATGTGTATAAAAACAGCAGATAAACTACTGATAAGATAGATAATAAGGGTTACAAACACTTACCACAGTCAGCTATCTGTGCTTTTATTCCATTGCGGTATATTCTTATATAGTCTCTCCGTATTCATCACGGGTGCATTTCATTGTCCCCATGTTATGGTCTCCTCTCGCTCACCCACTTACCCGGTCGTGACGTAGTACTTCCGTGACGTCCCTGAGGTAGCACTCCACTAAATATCACAGGTACATAGGACAACACATACAAGCATACACCACAATACTTACAAAGTCCGTAACTATGTATATGCGTGCGTGACAGGCAGATTACTTCTTGATAATTATGGAGGAGATATTGCCACAAGACGGGGCCCTTACTGACCTGTCAGTGTTCTAGTTTGTCATGATAATTATGGGGGATATATTGCCACAAGACGGGGCCCTTAATGACCTGTCAGTGTTCTAGTTTGTCTTGATGATTATGGGGGATATATTGCCACAAGACGGGGCCCTTAATGACCTGTCAGTGTTCTAGTTTGTCTTGATGATAATGGGGAATATATTGCCACAAGACGGGGCCCTTACTGACCTGTCAGTGTTCTAGTTTTTCTTGATAATTATGGGGGATATATTGCCACAAGACGGGGCCCTTACTGACCTGTCAGTGTTCTAGTTTTTCTTGATAATTATGGGGGATATATTGCCACAAGACGGGGCCCTTACTGACCTGTCAGTGTTCTAGTTTGTCTTGATGATAATGGGGAATATATTGCCACAAGACGGGGCCCTTACTGACCTGTCAGTGTTCCAGTTTCACCTACGTTGACCAAACTTGATAAAGTTTTAATGTATCTTGGGTAAGTAGGAGTGCCAAATTCTAAATTTGGGTATAAAGCGATATGGCCCTTTGTTAATTTTTTATACTGGAGGTTTTCTATTGGCTTATAAGGGGAGACATATGTTTTTGTTCACAAAAACAAAATTCTAGTTTATCTAGCTTCCGTTTCAGACCAAAGTTACTGAATCAAATGTAGTGCTTTTTCTAAAAAGTGGGATGTATTTTAAGACATGGAAGTTTTCATATAAATACGAAGTATACAAGCTTTATTTCACAAACAATTGATTAAAGTGATGAAATCGGTAACATCTTTGGTAAATAGACAAATGTTATCAAATTATGGTTTTAATTTATTTCCATCTATAGAAAATCACAATTGTTCATAGACGATTTAAGTCTAAGCCTTAATAGTTCAGTTACCTGGTATATATTGTGGACATGAAAAGTGTTTGGTTTTAAAATATGCCCAAGATTGATCAGAAAAGAGACTTGGTCATTCCTTATTTCATCATATGGGGACGTTCCATCCCCAAAAAAGTAAATGATATCAATGTAAAAGATGTGCATTAATTAGGTTGCCTTACAAGCGTCAGAGCATCGGGCTGGAGAGCCAAGGGTTGCGGGTTCGAGCCCCAGCAACGGCACTATCTTTATCACTATTCCTCGTCCTACTACGTTAAATTAAACCTGAATTACCTCCTTTACATCTTTTTTTTTATTAAATTGTGTACCTCTTTGGTAGAACTAATTCTGGGATACTTCTCGGTGAACAGTTTTAAAAATAGGAAAAAATGTTGGGATATTAAACAAAATTATGAAAACAGTTGGGATATGGAATGATCACCAAAATGCAACTGATATTATTTACATATTTTTTCAACTTGCTTAGAAAATCAGATTTTAAATTAATGTTAAGAATAATCATGCTATACTGAGACCCTGTTGCTTGACAGAGTTCTGCGCCCATTAGCAATGTGACCGTGAGTGCGGTGACATCATACGTTGATACCGTGGATGGTAACATAGATTCGGCCATCGGGTCAGGAAATCTGAAGCTGGTCACCATGTCTGTAGAAAATGCAGCCTCCACCATCAACACCTTGGTAAGTTTATGTATACAGTAAAACCTTGTCGATATAATGTCCATCATTTCATTTGCCACCTCACATACTGCCAACATATTTCAAGGTCCCTTTTTTCTTCATTTCTTAGAATTTGTTGATGTTTCCCTCAACTTTTTGCAAAACCCCTTTATAATGCCAAAATTTAACTGGACAAATGGTGGCAATATAACAAAGTTTTACTATACAGCAATGTTTTCAGTCAAGCTTTGTTAACTCATTCATCCCTGAAATTTCATAATGAGCTATTCCAATCTTTGAATTGGAATAGTTCAAATGTGTCTTTAGGGGGTGAATGAGTTAATACAGCCACCACTGGTTGTCTTATACTCTCCAGCAGGTGTTTGAGCTGAAAGATTACATTATTTTTCCAAAAGAAATCTGACTCAATAATCCAGCCTTGTCACAATCGAGTAACTATTGCTTCCTGGAAAACACTTATAGCTACCTGAATGATTGAGGCTTCAAGTAAAAGACAGCCGTAGCTAATTTTCAGCAACAGTTAAGAATTAAGCCTTTTCAGTATTTAATACATGTATATAAATTATACATGACTTTATGTGAAGACTGAGTTAGCAATAAAATGGTGTCACAATGTATACACTTTGTCGTGCTTTTTTTGTCTACTTTCATTGTGACATATAACTCACATTTTCCTCCTATATGATTATGTGTAAAACATTACCCTACATATTTTACTTGTTATATTTATTTAACTCAAGGTGCATTAGTTGTTAACATGACTCGATCAAACAGATTAGAGAAAAGAAGAAAATAGATCGAACTGACAAAGAACTAATAAAGATGGTACAATGGTGGGTGCTAAGATCCCTCTGGGATCTCTTGTTCTTTATATATAATTTTTGTATTACTCCAGCGACTGTTTGTTTTCAACAACTGACTTTAGACAACATTCTTTTCTTGGCTAAATTCAAGAAGGGTGTAAAGATCCACCTTGTTACGTTTGCATTTAGGTTCTTTTGCACAGATGTCATGTACACATCACCTTATATACCGGTACCTATATGCTAATGGCAATTATTATGTCTTTTTACCAGATGTAAAATGATAATTTTTATGTCTTTTTTTATCTACTTTATATATCACTGTAGGAATACTATTATTCATGTGCTGTAAATCACCTTAGAGTAATTTCTGCAAATTGTACAGGGCACTATACAATTGTTGTATATTATTTATTATTAAAAAAGATATATAAAATGAGCCTCGACATCTGGATTCCGTATTTTATTAACGGTTATTTATTATTATTATTTTCGACACAGGATTTTCCGGAATCCAGTGTGCCAGAGGATATGGGCAGTCTTGTGGTCCTGCCAACATCTGTGGAAAATAGCACAAGTTACAATTGGGACGTGCTGTGGGCTGACTACATCAACCCTCCTTTCAACTCGGCCCAAGAAAACTTGTCTGTTGTAAGTTTCTAAGGAATTGGGAGGGATAAATCTTAATGATACTATGGGAGAAGATTATAGGTTTGCATTTTGTTTGTTAATTTGTCCATCAGTCTTAGTGTCATTTTACCTAGGCATATACTACTGTACTTGCAATTGCCTAATTTGGCATGCAAGAAGTCCTGGATGGCGGAGTGTGGCATGCTAAAATCTGGTCTTGTGCCTTGTTTTATACAGAGTTATGGCCCTTAATTCATTTCTGACACTGATTAATGAATTGCCACTACTGACATAGACCTTTGGTTCAGATCATCACCCTTTTACCATATATTTTCTTGCTGGGCATGAAGAGACAAACACTAATGTCATGCAGGTTCTGGTTCCTCCCCCCACTCCGTCCCTGGAAACTTGTGTGAAAAGGTAATACTTTTAATGAGACAAATTTGGTCCAGCTCGTCAAGCCATTTTGAATTTTATGAAACAAAATCACCAAGTTTCCAAAATTTGTACAGATTTCTTTATTTATACTGTATAGGATGCACCATACTGTTTAGTAATTTCTGGTTTTGGTATTTTCAAGGTCACAGAACAGTACTCCTCAATATTACACAGTACTTCTTTAGCAGAACAAGGGGCTGGCATGGTCACCGTCAAACACCTGGCACAAGGCGTTGGCTCTGTCATCAATGATCCGACACTTATCGATGAAGAAGTTGTGGTAAGCTGTTTTGAAATTTATGGAAAGTGTAATGTGTATTTTGATAGCTCTGTGAGTAGGGCTGATACACACCTTGAAAAGTGCTTTTCTTTGAAAATTCAATGGAAAACACAAAAGAACTTTCACAACAGATCACAATATATGCCGTGTTCCAAAAGGGAGTCAAAGAAAGATAAATATAAAACGGAAGATATCTGCTATATATTCTGCCTAGAAAATAGAACAATATTTATTTGTTTATAACAGAGGATATGATATATTTGATCTAGTAGCCTTTATCAATATCACTAATATTAGCTTGCACTTACAATGATCTAGAAATTGGTTAACATGTAAATACACAGAACGCACTAAATGGTGTAGGGTATGATATCTATTTTTCAAAGAGTTACTTCCCCTGTTTTACAGAATACAGCAGTGACCACCAATGAACTCATACTAACAATGTTTCAAAACACCACTGTTGGAGATAAGTATCCACTCTTTGCTGACTACGAAACAACATCCGAGTGTGAGTTATATTAAAATCAATAATGTTCACGTGTTACATGTTTATTTAAAGTAGAATAAGAAAATAATTAAGTCTTAGAAACCGTTTTAGCCGGCATGACTATAGCTTTGATAAATCATTTCTGAAAATAAAAATTATACATTGCAGGACTTTCGTGAAAAACAATAAAGATTAGATTAACAAACTGTAATAAACATAGTGTTTTGAGAGTAAAAGTTTAGTGGGGCTAAACCAGGTTTCGACCATGACTACGGATTGTTATACTTGCGCTCTAACCGCTTGAGTGTCCCGAAGGGTGTCACGATTCACCGCGATGCACTTGTACTACAATTATATCTAAACAGAATTTAAGGGGAGGTTACTGTATACACGATCAACCATAGTGTAGTGGGACAGGGATCTTTTAATGTAGCTGTTTTTTTCTGTCTTTTGTTAATAAATGAAACACATTTGAATTATCCATTATTATACTTAGAAAAAATTAACATGACTCTATGACATTTTTAGTGGCATGGCAATCAAATATCAGGAAGATCGACTGCATTAAAATATTTGTTAAAATTGTATAAAATTAATCCTCATTCGTCTGATTGGTGTTTAGCAATTTTGCGTGTAGCAGACAACGCTTTGAACAGCATCATCACGACTAGGACCCCTAACAACCCGATCAGTACAGACTTGTATGACATTCAACAGACTATAGTTGCCAACAACGACTTCATTGACTCTAACCAGGACACTGAACCAGGGGACATGTCTACAATGGAACGGGCTTTCCTGGCGTCTCAAATCTCCAAGTCACAGGCACTCAAGAAAAATGAAACTGATGAAAAGGTTGCTGTACATATTCAATTGCGCATAAAACTCAGCATTGCCTTGCTTCTGTATACCGAGAATTTTTTCACTGCAGTTTAATTTTCGCCATTTTCACCCTCTGAAATGAGGGCAAAATTATCATTTTAACGAACATTATAGTCAACAATATGATTTATATATAGAGTAACTGAATGTGAATGGCGGCATTTACCCTTCCACCACTGTGGACCATAATGGACCCATCCAGATCAATGCATGGTAGAGTTTATTAAAGTTACATAGGGGTGAAAGGGTTAACACTGGGGAAATATAGATTTTCAGACAAAGGGTGAAACTTTGACTCGGCGTTAAGTCTCATAAGTTTTGTACATCAGGTAGCTAGATTGTGCTTAAATATTTAGTCACTTGCATTGGTTTTTGAAAAATGGATCAAGACTTTTTTTTATTTAGGAACTATGGAGGAAGTTTATATTGTTTGCAGACGGTTGGTCCAAGTTTGGTATGGGTACATTTTGACCACTGATATTGCAAAATGTGTATGCTCAATGCACTTGGAGTAAAGGTCCATGCATATCACAATAGAAAATGAGAGATCAATCTAGGTCAAATTCTTTAATCTAGGTCAAATTCTTTAATGTTAATAGATAAAATACCATGACAAATAGAATTCATCTACCATTTAAAATTCTGAGCTTAAAAAGTTCAATTTATGTATGATAATTCTTCCTTAATCTGAACATTTTCTTCCTGTTATCAAGCGTTTTCTTATTCTTTGCATTTTAATTAAAAAATGTGGTTATATACACTGTATACAGTTAAAGAAAAATCACAAGTTTCTTATTTATTTGTAGCTAAAACTTGTACAAATGTTTATCATGAGTTGAAGATCCTCGTGTAATATTAGCAATTATTAAAAAAAAGAAAAAAGTTTTTTACTTCAAAACTTTCATGGATTTGCAAAAATTATGCAAGATTCATTTTTATCCCTTTCCTAGGCCCAAAAATTTGTACCGGATATCATTGATTCGTTGTCATCACTGGGAAAGGTGTTAAAAGGGATGGTTCATATGAAACAGCTTCCGGTGTTGATCAACAGACCTGGGTTAAGTACCAGCATGAGTGCCATGACGTTACCGGAATTGATGGCGAATCCTATAGAGAGAAACAATATCACCATGGAGTTCTCACAATCTCAGGACCAGAGTGTGGACACCAAGGACATTCAGGTATGTCGCGGGTAAAATCGGCCCGAATGATACAAGGGAAAACATCATTTGTTTTTGCCCATAGAAGTTTAGTCCATATGTCTTCCAACAGTTGAAATTAAACATTCTGTTTGAGGTTTTACTTACTGATCGTAATAGAGAGATCTACATAGACAGTTTGACTCGCTATTAAAATTGAAAATTCCAGGGTGAAAATGAAACAGTTTAACTTTCTCTTTTTTATTCGCCCTCCCCAATGAGGGTGAACTTATTTTAAGAGCACAACTGCTATTACACAACATTCAATATATAGAAATTTCGTGTGAAGGGCAAAATTTACACTGGGCGAACATTGACTTTTAGTGCAAGGGCGAATATTTAGCTGGGTGAAACTTTCCTGGTAAACAGGATTAATTTTACATAGTTTATATGTAAATCTTAAATCGGGGTTTCTTACACTATGCCCATAAATACCTATTCTCTATTTTGATGTAGATCACCGTATTTGACAAGAATCCATTCACTTGGGATCCTGAGGCGCAGTATATTACCTCGAATGTACTGTCAGTATCAATCAAGGATAATGCGGAGGAAGAGGTCAACGTATCGGTCAAGGTCAGATTTCCAAACATCGGGGACAACAATCCAAAATCTGTTTATCTAGCTTTCCCAGCAGACACAAACGAAGCTTCATCCCAATTTTTCAGCTACAAATTCTTCTGGCAGTTTCCAGCAGACGACATGGCGTTAAGGTTGGAGGGTGTTACACACGGTATGAAGTTTGTTGTATATTTGAAAGGCGGAAGTGGTGCTACACGCTCTGCGTATGACTGGCGGTATGAAGTGCCGGACAGTGACTTGAATGACAATTTTTTCGTGGTTGTTGTTCCCGGAGGCTTATTTCAGCAGCAGACAACAGTGTACTTCACGGTCACTGTGGACTCGGGTACGTAGGTCTGTAGTGTTACAAGGTCAAGGTCAAAATTAGATTCATCTTGTGATCATGTCCGTATTTCACCTTCAAAATACGAACCAGTTGAAATTTTTAATTACTGCAAGCATGAAGATTGCTGTAAATAATTGGTAGGATGCTTTCTCAATGTACAAGTCTACAAATGAACACATAACTTACTTTGGTTGCAATTAACTTTTTATGTATAATTGCTTGAACAGCTAGATATTGGTTTAAGCAAGGACGTATATTGTAACTCTAATTTAAGGAATGCACTCATTAGAACATGTATCTCTGTATCATATACTTGTATACTGTAAATTAGGATGTTTTTGTGTGGTTTAATTTTCAATGTAAAATACTCTGGATTTGGATTTTTTTACCTATTTGATTTGTTGACTGTCAATTTATGTGAGGTTTTATTTTTCATATTTTTGTAGTTCCTGATGACAGTGTATCAAGGAAACGTCGCAGCATTGATAACACCACTGCATCATCCAACAGCACAATTCCAGCGACGCGTGTGTTGACATACGACATGGTGGTGTGGACGGCCGGGTGTCGGGTGTGGAACACTGCAGAGGCTAAGTGGGACAAAACATCATGTCAGGTGAGTCGGTTAACATTTAGGATTCTAGTGGATATATGTGATAGGCCAATATGGTTCTATAGTGAAAATGACACGTCAGTGTCATACTGTTGTTGGGATGAAAAACTGAGGTCATGTTGTGGTCAGAATAATAAGCAAACAACATTCTGTGGTTAGAAGGAAAGATGATTTGACTTCATGTTGTTAAAATTCATGATGTGCTGTGACTGGAGTGATAAATTTATGTCATGCTGTGACTGGCGTGATAAATTTATGTCATGCTGTGGTGAAGTGATAAAATTTATGTCATGCTGTGGTTGGAATGATCAGCTGATGATTGTCATCCTGTTGGTAAAAAGATTAGATGAGGGTTTGACACATTTGGAAGGACAAGCTAAAGAGTGTCATGCTGTGGTTGAAATGATAACTTACTTAGGTCATGCTTTGTTTATATAATGAGCTGACGTCATGCTTTCTTCAGGTTAATTAAAAGATTCTATGTACATGTGTGGGGTATGAGCAACTTACAAACATGTAGTTCACTCATGATCTGGGGAATCACAGTTGTAAGCACCTGTTTTTCTTTACAGATGTCGGCTGAGTCGACAGCCCTGGAGACTGTGTGTATCTGTGAGGACCCGCCCGGACAGCACTTCGCTACATCATTTTATGTCCCGCCAAACTCGATCGACTTTGATTCTGTGTTTGGAAAGTTTGATATCGTCAGTAATGGTGCCGTTCTTGGCACAGTGGTTGGGGTCATCATTTTATATGTGGCGGTGGCAGTCTGGGCATGGCGACGGGATCGACGTGACCATGAAATGGTATAACATAGAATCCTATTGGTCCATACAGTGACAGGTGTTATGATATTTTTGATTGGTCAAGATAATGATAGATTTTATTCAGTCAACAATCAGTCAACAATCAGTATTTTGTTTTCTCAAATGATTGGTAATCCTGGTTACGACTTTTGTTACCAGTACGGTAACCCATCATTGGATGTTGAAAACGTATGTCCTGATAACATCCTGTTTTAACATCTACATCATTGTCTTGCCAATTAGAGATGCCACCCAGTCCTGTAGTCAAGCATGACTTCATTTAAAGAACATGGCACCAAAGGTTTAGAGTATGGTAGCATATACCAATATTTTTCACTAGTGCTTAAGTTCACCCTTGTGAAAAATATCTGATTTACTTATGGAAATATATTTGGTATTCAATAGGTAACGATTAAATATCATTTATATATTAACCAGGATTACTGAGATAAAATAAATATACATGTAATTTCTAAAATGAATAATAGGAATGAAATTCACCAGTTTGGTCTGAATAATAAATGCTAAGTTTAATTTTGAACACAAGCAGTAATTGAAAACTTATTTTGTGACCTTTCAAATACGTCTATTTTCTTTCTCAAGCAAAGAGTGAAAATGACCTGTGTCTTGACTTTAAACTGCTGAAAACAGCTCACTAAGCAACAATGTGCTGAGACAGTAAAGTCAGCTGTCAGAAAATATCAAGATATTTCGTCCAAATAGCACTCTAATACTGCAGGTAACCAGAGGGACGGGTAATATGATTACCCATTTCACCCCTCGGTGGATGTTAAAATGGGGTCATAAAGATAAATCAGTGATGGCCCCCTCCTCTCTGTTCATCAATTCCCCCATCCCTCCTTACCACGATAGGTTCTTTGATTTTCTTCACTTTTCAGTTGTCCTCTTTTTCAAGCACTTTGGAGTTGTTTTAGTCTATAATGTGATGGTGTATGTTGTTAGCATGTTTTTATTTCTATGTTTAGGAAAGGAATCACCTGAGTTATTAAGGTAGAAGAATTTATGTTTCAAATTGGTATCACTTGCAAACTTTCTCTCATGTGAACTCTGTTTCAGTGGGCGTTATCATATATGTCAGATAACCAGATTGACGATGATTACATTTACCTTGTCACTGTTCACACCGGACTGGCGCGGAACGCCGGGACTTCGTCACGTGTTTATATGGCTGTCACCAGTAATCGTCGGAGTTCTGGCATCCGTGCACTGGAAGACGGCACCAACAATGTGAGTGTTTTTCCCATACAGGATATGGTACTGACCTTTACCACACCCTTGGAAAGAGTGCTGTTTATTCATTTGCCAGGTACTGGCTGCAGCTTGGTGGTGTTTCTCTGGGTTCTCTGGTTTTCCTCTACCACCAAAACCTGGCACATCCTTATAATTAGCTGTTAATAGGAAATAAAACACAAACAAACAAACAAATCTTTGGCCAAGACAAGGACCAAGGACATGGCGATTCTCCATCTAATTGCATTTCTTATAAATTACTAATGGTTTTTTTTTTGTGTCCTCCCTTATTGAGACCCCCTGCGCTCTTCCCCACATTGAGACCCCCTGCGCTCTTCCCCACATTGAGACCCCCTGCGCTCTTCCATTCAGGCCAGCAAGAGTGATCAATTTAAGTTGCTTGAATTTGTTTCATAATTGTTCTTAAGTAAAGAAAGTTGAGAAGAAAATAAAAAAATGGTTTCAGGGATTTGGTACTGGAAGTGTGCGGAAGTTTGTCATGTGTATGCCGAAACGACTGGGCAGCCTCATTTGTCTGGACATCTGGCATGATAATAGTGGAAAAGGCAATGCTGCCTCCTGGCTCCTCAGCAAAGTCGAGATCATGGATCTGCAGTCAATGGAAAGGTATTTTAACTGGTATATTTTTCTGACACATGCCTTTTTCATTCTTGTGTATTGTACTAGAGTTGTACTAACTATCACTGCACTGCCTGTTCGTATTTGATATTTTTCATGAATACACATGCTCTTTTTATATGCTCCTTCGAAATTTGGAAAGTTCAAGGCTATCAATTTAAATCGAAACTTTGAAAATAGTGCGGGAAGATTATTGATACAGTCCCTGGGAACCGAAGAGTCATACCATGGAAATGGTTAAGACCCCCACACTAAACAGTGTCCTGCAGATGGTGTCTATGTAAGGTGTGTGATTTATACACAGATGAGCTATAAAGCTCAACAAAATCAAATAATTTCAATTTTAATTGGTTAGGCATCAAGGTAGGACTTCATTATGCCTCAAGATTGGCCTACATAGGCTTTGTCATTCCCTGGGGACTTGGTTTTTGATTCATCACATGGAAATGGTTTGGTTCCCCAATCCATGTCCATACACGATCGCTCGGCATGAGAGGCAAATACACTCATGTTATCATGATTGTCATCAGGGTCCTCAGGACATAGATCTTAGGTCAGAACTTGGACACAGTTGAGATTCCTTCTATTCAACCATATAACCGCTTGCTGGCATGTAACACAATCATGTTATAAGGATTGACTCAGGGGTCTGGCCCTACCCCCGAGGACTTAGGCCTAGGGTCATAAGATGGAAATATTTGAGATACCTACCTATAGCCATATACTCACATGTACAGATACAAAGCAAAAACAGATTTCAACCAAATCAACTATGAAGCATCCTCAATGGTCCTCAGGACCTGGAAATCAACTGTTACGTACAGCAAGTGTGTAGTTTCCCTTGGGGCTGACTGTATAGTTCAAATAAGAAATCGAGCAAGTGATACAGGTTTTATGGGCCTCTTGCTATGTATATATCATTGTCCAGTATTGTAGAATACATGTAATTGTCTATGTTTCAGGTTTACTTTTGTTTGTAACCGATGGCTGTCTCTAGATGAAGAGGATGGATCGACACAGTGTGCACTGCCAGTATCTGACAAAGAAGACCTCGACTCATTCGGGTATCACTTTAGGTATGTTCAAGCTTCAGAATGATTGATTAGAGAAGAAATCAAAAACTGAGCCTGTTAGATTTTCTCAGTATTTATGTTAGATTTCTCTGAACAATTGATCTGTAACAGGAAGAAAGTAGTGTGCTTCCACATGGAATCAAACTGGTGACCATGAGCTTACCAGTGTGCGGCTCTGCCAAATGAGCTAAAGGGAAATTTCCTGTTAACATGAGGTAATATATTAGCATATGACACTAGTATGGTGTACTCATGCATGACATGATAGTCATTAAGTTGGTGACTTTCTGTTCCACAGGGACAACTCTAGACATTCCACAACTGATGGTCACCTGTGGCTCTCTATCTTCATCCGTCCAGAGGACAGCAACTTCACCCGAGTACAGCGTCTCTCCTGCTGCTTAGCCTTGCTTTTCTTGGCTATGATTGCCAGCGCAATGTTCTACAAAACTGACAGCGGGCAGAATCAAGTCGCCTTCGGACCGTTAAAATTTTCGTTGACAAGTCTGTACATTTCTTTTATGAGCATAGTCATCAGTGCTATACCTGTATTTCTGATATCGATATTGTTTCAGAAATCGAAGAAAAAATCAATTATTGAAGAAATGGACAAAAAAACTATTACGAAGTTTGCGAACTTACCTGACATCGCTCAAGTTGACGAATATTCTCGACGTAAAAGCATCGGCGATGAGAAGGTCTTCATGCTGCCTTACTGGTGTGTGTATGTGGCCTGGGGTTTGGCCGTCTGCTCGGTGCTGATGTCTGGTTTCTTTGTAATGTTGTACAGTATGGAATGGGGGAAAACCAAGTCGGAGGAATGGCTGCTGTGTTTCCTATTGTCGTTTGTAGAATCCATCTTAATCACTGATCCCATCAAGGTAAACAACAATTATATACTAAATGCCAAACAGGGTGTTATAAAATTGTTGAAATAGTGTTAAGAGTTGACCTTAAGTGTTCATTGATGTAGGTTAAAGGTGTTGGAGATAAAATTATACATTCCTTTAAATTTAAGCAAAACATTTTATCATAGCAAAGTGATGTCATAGGTCAATTATCCTTCTTGTGTGGTTTATTTCTGTTACCCGTGATGGTTTAATATTTTTTTTAGAAAAATAAAGTTTATTATCAAATTTTTGTTTCCTTGCAGGTTATTACCGTTGCTTTCCTCATATCCTATTTCTTCCGAAAACAATCTGTGAACAGCAAAGCGGAGCTAGACATCCAGAACGTTTTGGAGGAAGCCAAAAAGCGTGCCGCAGTTCCCAAGGATAATACAAGTAGGTCCAACTATGTTCACACATGTAACCTTTTATAATTGAACACTGAATAATATATAAACCATGCACACCTAAATCAGATCTTCGATCATGATCAGGCTCACAGAATTGCTTCAATTTTGTTGGACAACTAGTGTACCTGAAGTTTCCCTTGCCTATTCCTAACATTAATCAGTCATGTTGTTGTTTGGTTTTGGTAGTTTTCACTGTATGTACATCACTATTTGTACAGTCATCTTGAAATGTTTAGCACTTAAGATGCATTACTTGAAAATTTCATGGATAAAACATGTCTTATCAGTCTTCAACTGTGTCCCGCTGTTAATTCTTTCGGCACTCTTTCCAAAAAGGGCACCGAGAGTATTGCCACTTGAATTTTCAGAAAGCTGTATGTTGATCGTTTGGAACTCTAGGTTGTTGAAGGTTGCTCAATGTCATTGTTTTTGTTTCATCTCCATGTGATTTGCTTTGAAGACATAGGTTTTATCGTTTATACCACATATGCAGATTCAGTACTTTAGAGGACAAAATTAGTCTAATACACAAAATTGTCCTAGTTATCCAGCTGTCTCATCAATCTGGCCTCGGAAAGGAAAAAGCTGGTTATTGAGGCTTTCACTCATGTTATTAAGTATCAGGACTGCTGGGCCTTGCAAGGTCTTGAATCAAACTCCATCCTTGCTATTCAGGGGTTACGCTGTCTTGCCCTCTCTGCAGGAAGTGCAGGTGAGCATGAACTCTGGAGTAGCAAAGATAATGAAACTTAGAAAGTTGTTGAAATTTTGACCCAAATATTATGTTCTGTTTGTGGTATAGCTACATGAAGTATATACCTGGAATCTTGTTTTAAAATTGTGATAATCTTTCATCAACAGGCAGTGTGAAAGTGGAATATCCAACATCACAGCTCGGGCGGGAGTGTGTGGAGAAAATGAAGGAACAGCGACAGAAGGAGCTGAAGGCCAAGATGGTGTTCCTGGAACTGTTCTGCTACGTACTGTTCATCTCCGTCCTCTACCTGATCAGCTACAGCAACCGCGACAGTCGGTCCTACCAGTTCAGGTCCCACCTTGAGAACCATCTGCTCAAAAGTCCCAAGAGCAATTCATCCTCGGATACGCTACGGTTCAGCAATGTATGAAACCTTGTATTCAAAGAAATACGATTACTGGTCACTGTTATAATTTGCGAGAGTAAATTTTCACATTAGGGTTACTCTTCACTAAATTCACAACCAATACTACCAGCACCTAATATTGAGGCAAGTCTATTTACCATTAATTTGAGATTTTTTTTTTTTTTTAATTTTTAATGTAGCAATTAAGTTAAATAACAGGAATGATATAAAACTGTGAAAGTTTAGGCCCAATATGAAATGAAAACACAAAATAGATTACCAGATTATGCTTAGTACTTTTTTAGACCTCCATTTTTTTGTCTTTTTTGAAATTGATATTTATAATAAAGTTCCAATTTTCAGATTGTTAAAACAGAAGATTTTTATACATGGATGGAAGACACACTTCTGCCTTTCGTGTTCCCAACTTTATCCTACAGTGGTACTAAGCTCACGCTTAGCGAGAAGAGTAATCTCCGTGACAACCAGAACTACAGAATTGGCCCTCTACGACTCAGACAACTCCGTGTTAATGCTGGTATGTCATCAGGACTCATTCAAACTTATTTGGATCAAAAACACATTTTATTAAATAGAAAAAGAAAATTATTCATTATTTATCATTATAATCTGCCAATATTTAAAACTGTACATTTTAACTCATGACTTGTGGTAAGTAAAACATGCCTTCATTTCACACAAACAAATATTTTCTGTTTGTGGAGATTTTGTCAAAAATTTCATATAAATTGATTGTGCATAAATTTAAAGACATTCTAAACAACAAATTGTTGTTCAGTTAATTCAAATTCTCAAAAATTAGTTAATGTTGTTTTCCCATAACCTTAGCTGTAGTTTCGATGTCCCAATCTTGGGGCACTGTCTTCATATGCCACCTTGCCTCTTGTGTGTCCCTATTAACTGTGGATACAGTATTCATGTAACTAGTTGCCAAGGATACGAACCGTAAACACATCTTACCATTAACAACCAATAATGACCAAATATGGTCTGGAGCATCATTGGCCAAAGGGTTCTCAGTTTTGTATAAACAGAGGGTATGGTCCCCCTGGGGGCAGAGGGGCGGGGCCAAATAGGTAAATCTTGAAAAATCTTCTTCTTCTCAACCAATAGAAGGATTTTGACCCAATTTGTCCGAGAGCATCTTTGGACAAAGGAGACTCAAGTTTGTATAAACGGAGGGTGTGGCCCTTCTGGGGGTGGGGCCAAATAGGGGAAATAGAGGATTTTTTTCTCTCCTACTATTCAAGTGAAGGGATTTAAACCAAATGCAATCTGAAGCATGATTAGGGACAAAAGAATCAATTTTGTTTAAACTGAGGCGTGTGGGCCCCGTTCTTTGGGGCAGATGGGTGGGGCCCATTAGGGGAAATAGAGGAAAACCTCAAATTCGTCTCCTTTTGTACAAATGAAGGGATTTTGACCAAATTTGTTCTAGAGTATCTTTGGACAAAGGAGCCTCAAGTTTGTATAAACGGAGGGGGTGGCCCTTCTGGGGGCGGGGCCAAATAGGGGAAATAGAGGATTTTTTTTCTCCTACTATACAAGTGAAGGGATTTAAACCAAATGCAATCTGAAGCATGATTAGGGAAAAAGAATCAATTTTGTTTAAACTGAGGTGTGTGGGCCCCGTTCTTTGGGGCAGATGGGTGGGGCCCATTAGGGGAAATAGAGGAAAACATCAAAGATCCTTCTCCTTCTGTACCGTTGAAGGGATTTTAACCTAACCAAACTTGTTCTAGAGAATCTTTGGGAAAAGGGAATTGAATATTTATAAATGGAAGATGTGCCCCCCTTGTACTCCTTTGATAAACCTGAATGGTACTCAGCAGGTTTTAAATTGAAAACTAAAATACCAGGTGAGCTATTAAGGCCCCTGGGCCTCTTGTTTAATTTTCAGGTCGCTGTCCTTTCCCGCTGATGGGTTACCAAACGTGTTATAAAGGCTACGAGATTGCAGATGAGGACGACCAGGACTACTGTATTGGATGGACAGACGGACCATGCCCCACTAACGAAATCCTGCGACTTAGCAGCTCAGCTTGGAAGTTCACCTCTGCTACTGACCTGTGGGGTGTTCCCCTGCTGGGTGACTATAGCCTCTATGGTGGAGGGGGCTATGTGGCCGACATGGGTGTCAATTATGATGTTTCATTTCAGACCTTGCAAGAACTGAAAACCAATTTTTGGCTTGATCGCAGGACACGTGGAGTGATGGTGGAATTCACTCTCTATAATAGCAACATCAACCTGTTTGCCTATTTGTCACTCCTAGTCGAGTTCCCAGACACCGGCGGTACCAGCCAGTATAACTTCGTCCAAATCTTCAGGGCTTATCAGCACCACGGCAGTTTGGGAACATTCATCTTCCTGTGCGAGATTCTCTTTGTGATCAGCATAGTCATCTGCTTTGTCAAAATGGTTCGATCTCTCATGAAACAGAAGCTTAAAGTATTTGAAGATCGTTGGCAGATTCTGAATTGGATCTGTCTGGGGTTGACGGTCGTTGCCATTGCAATGTACTGTGCACGATGGATCTTTACAAGTCTGACACTGGATGCTTTCACGAAAAATAAGTACAAGTTTGTAAACTTCAGTCACATTGCTGTGTGGGACGAAATTCTTGCAGCTTTTATATCCGTCATGGTTTTCCTGTGTACAGTTCGTATGATGCAGATCCTGAACTACAGTAACAGGATAACACAACTTGCTGCAGTACTGAATCACTGCTCCAAGGATCTGTTCGCCTGTGCCGTCATGTTCGGAATTGTATTTTTCGCGTATGTATCGGTCGGTTACCTTCTCTTTGGGCGTGTTTTGTCTACGTATAGAAACATCCTTATTTCGATGACAACAATAACTAACGCTTTGATTGGCCGGAATAGCATTACAAATTTGATAGAAGTTACGCCTGTGTTTGCACAGTTTTATTACGTCACTTTCGTGTTTTTTGTCATGTGGGTTCTCATGACGATGATCAACGCCACTCTAAACAAGAGCATATCTATCATACGGCAGCAACAATGCCAGGATGCTGTGCCATTCGGCATACATGATCTGGCCATGGTTATGCTGAAGGAATTCACAGCTGTGATTAAGTCGAACCATTCCACAAAGAACGCTGTTAATGAAAATGAATTGTCTAACGACACCAACCCATCGGCAACAACTGAACAACACGTAAACAGCCCTTTCACTGAGGAGCTTCTGGAGTATGACCTAGATATTGAAAACAAACATGATGAGGACCCAGAACATGGCAATGACTCTATTGTATTTTGTTCAGATTCACCACAAAATACAGCAGTGTGATAACCAGAATAAACAATTTCTGAACTACTTTGGGAGTTTTCAGTTATTGTTTTAAACAACCATATTACATTTATGAATTTCTGTGATGTAATCAGTTTTTTTGAATCTGTACATGCATGTAAAATAAAGCATTTCAAACAGCTTATAAAGTTTTAGGTCACTTGAGACAAAGTTACATGTTTCCTATTCCAATCGCCTTTTGTCTGTCGTTGTCCAATAGCTGTATGGATTACTCATGATCTGCACAAGTTATTTTGATGAAATATTTTCAGGAAGGATCTTTGGCCAAAGGCAAAACAATACCATAAAACATATCGCAGCGTCCGTCGTCCATCGTCAACTTTTCCTTTAAAACCCTACTAGTCCTGAACGGCCAAGTAGATTTTGAATAAATTTGGTCTTTAGCATCCTTAGGCCAAAGGGACTTAATTTTGTATAAACGGTGGGTGTGGCGGGGCGGGGCGGGGCCGAATAGGGGAAATAGAGGGGTTCTGTTTGAAGTTTGTTCTCACTATATCTCAAGTACTGGATGGATCTTTCTGAAATTTCATATGTACTTACAGCACCTACCATGGAGTGCTATATCTTTACTTCTTACCAATTATTTTAAACATATTCAGGTGAGCGATACAGGCCCTCTGGGCCTCTTGTTGAATTGATCATATTTATTTCATCCACCAGGGGCCTAAGGATGGGGTCAAAAGTGATCAAGTTGGTTAAAATCTTGGCAATCTACTTCTTCAGACACAGTTATACTACAATGAAGTACTCCTCATGGGTGGAAAGGTCCTTTGGTGCTTTATCAAATTTGTGAATTTCATCACTCCCTGGATCACCGATCAATTGTATTGGGTAATAACATATTTTGGATAAACTGGTTATTTTAGTTTGAAATCATTTGAACTTGTTTGGAATTATAATCATGTGATGGCAGTTGGAACATTAAGACCCTCGCCCATTCTGTAGCAGGCATTAACTGGCTATACACTGGTGTACACTGGTACATCAAAATTTCAAACAGAAAAGTGATAGTGTTCAATATGACAAGTCTTTCTATGCGACAAATAAATATGAATAAAAATTCAGAAAAATAACATTTATTACTTTCAACATGAATGTTGTACAGCCCCTACACAATCGAAGCATCAGAACCATGAACATTTGTATCAAGTTCTTTCAAACTGGCGTAAGTATAGATCATAACAAAACACTCGCACACAATTCCGTTCAGACATAACACATGCATCATAACTGATCACATTTGTAAACAAAAATACGCAGCTAATCAATAGTGAAATAACAACATTATTTTAACTCTAATTGAGTAAAATTTGTGTTCCTTGAACAGAGTGTCAAACTGTCAACAATAAGTAAGCTAAATTTATAATCTTAATTACCCTTCTTAAATGATATTTCACAGGTCACTTGTTTTGAAACTCTTTTGGGAAATCATTAACACAACATACGTACATGTAGAAGATATACTTAACAAGTCTAATTGAAAGTTTTCATTTGATATATATATATATATGTATATTCTTTATCATTAAAACAGAAAGGTAAACACTGTCAATAAGACTATATGCTATGCAGATAACAATTAACGTTTTGCACAAATAAAATGGTAGAATCCTCAAAAAGTTACCTTGGTATGCATGTTTTACTCAGCTTGGGTCTCATGGACCCTTATCTGCTGATAGGCACATTTTTAATCCCAGCCTCTGGGGGAAAAAGAGGTCAACATGTGTTGGGCCTTTAAATTTAGTTCTAAAATAATAATATGTTGTATGGTTTAATTCTCTCACATTGTTGGTAAAATAATTTGTCTACATGTAAATGTTTTCTTTTCTCCATTGGATTTGTTTGTTAGTTTGTTTGAAATCCATTATTTAACGTCACATTCAAATTAAATATACACATAAATCTCCAAACTTGATATATATTCTACACAATAAATGCAATAATTAACTGTTAATGAAAAAAAGTAAAAAGAAATTCTCTTTTTTTTTTGGTTATTATTTAATGCTAGATTATAAACATTCTTTATTGTTTGACTTAAAAGATTAAAAAAAACAAATATATTTATCTAGAACAATGGTGAGAAAAATGCATTGTTGAAAATTTAAAGTATGTGTGAGATTATTTGACTGTTCAAAATGACAAAACTGATATAATCTACCCCTCACAAATAAGAAGAAAAAAATAGTCATAATACAGTAGATTTCGCTTAATTAATATCACTTCCCATTTGTCAGAGAAAAACATGATATTAGAGAAACATGACATAAACACAATACATATTTTCTGACGTTTTTCAGCCCTCAAACATTTCATATAGTTAGGAGCAAAATGTTAACCAGGATATTTACACATTTAGTATAATGACACGAAAATGACACCTATAAAACAGGTAATTAGCTAAAGAAAGAAATGCATAATTTTTGGTTTAACATATAAAAGCAAATTCTTATGAAAAGCATCATGAGTTAGCCACATTATATAAACGTAATATAACAAAAGCAGTACTGTGTTTGGTTGAACGCGTCAACAATCTTTTAACAAACAATAAACTAAAACAAAATAACATAATAGTATGATAATTCCGTCTTTGCGTATTGCAGAGTTATCTTCTCTTGTGAGCATGTATTGATTGTTACGTCATTGGTTTGTGTGAGAAAATTACGTCGTTTTCTCAAAAATTGATGACGTTACTCTCAAAAACAAATGACGTAACAATCAATACCTGCTCTCAAGAGCAGATAACTCTGCAATACGCTAAGACGGAATACTCAAATGAACAATCCATGAACACTTAATATAAGTCAACATTTCAACAACGGTTCTGTCAACACTGGCTCAAACACTGCTATCAATCTGATATTTATGATACAGTTCAAACGTTTTGTTTGAAAATAAAGTACATCATTAACCCATTCACCCCTGAAATTTCATAATGGACTATTCCAACCTTTGAATTGGTAGAGTTCAAATGTGTCTCCAGGGGTGAATGAGTTAAGTATGTTTTTTATCCAAATTATTTGTCAGGGATCCTGAAATCGTGTTTTGTTTTGTAACATTATTTTTACAAATGACTGATGTATTTGCTGTAAATTAGCACCCCTCCTCCTTTTTCGAGAGACATTGAATTATGTAAACCCCCTTCTTATCCAAGACCAATCATTTACAGTACCTTGTACAACGCTTGAAAGAAGCGATTTACGTCATGTCATGGTGATAATTAAGCTAATTACAGGGAATATGGTACACAGGGGTTTGGGCTATCTGAAAAATTGTTAGAAAAGATTACGGGATATGAATATTAAGTTTGCGGTAACTGAACAAATAAACATCAATGTTTCACTGTAAACTACAATAGCACCAACATGGACTCGATCGCAACTTAGTTTCAATACGAAAAACCAATAACAGGAAATGAGGAGACAGATTATTGCAAGTAACTACATAAAATCAAAGCATGTAAGCCCTCCATTTTGTTATACATGTTTTTCAGATAAGTATCGAGGTCGTATCTGGAAAATAAGCCGCCTTATATTTATTGGAAACATTGTAATCAGCGTAAGTACTGTCTTAAACTGTAGAAGTATTTGGGGCCTCTTCTTCATTTGTCATGAGGTTAGTCTAATAATAGGTGTCTTGGATAAATTGTTACCGAGCTATTGGATTACAATATTGTGTGATGATGGACTTGTCAAGGAGGGGTGTATTTTACGGATAATTTTGATTTCTAATGAAAATGATCAGCTGTTAAGGTGATCACCATGGTCTAGCTTATTTGTAGAAGATCATGAACTCCTTTCATAAAACCACTCTCCCTACAACTGGATTGGATTCATGACTTTACAATTCATTTGCATAATATTGGGATTATGATGGACCAAATGCCACAAGATACGTCACAAAAATTCAATTTCACGAAATGATTCCAAAATTTTTGAAGACACCAGAGTTTTGAAATTGATTAGATTAATAAACAAAGGTTAGTAATATTTCTACAAATTGACTTTGTATTTGATGGAGAAAGAAATTTAAAGAATCTGTTGCTACATTGAAGTAATTAAAAGAAAAGAAAAACAGCGAAAAACATAGCCAGGGACAGAACACAGGATATATATTGCTACAAATGTTTAGACTAAAACTACATAACATAACAGTCTCAATGTAACAACTTCAGTACACAGACTTGTAACACTAGGGTATGCAATGGAATTCCACAAAACTGGAATGAATATTGGGTAAAAATCAAGTATGAGCCAAACAAACAAGGCCGCACGGTCACAGGAATAACAAGGTTGGGTTGTAGCCTCGGAACAGCTAATGCTGAGCCGAAAACAAAGCCCGGGTCATAAACACATTATAACTGATTTGGATAACAAGGTAGAGTCAAAAACCAGGGTCAGTACATGGAAATATCAAAGTTTGCTCAAACAGAAAGGTATGGCCGTACAAAACGTATGGTTGTGTCATAGAAACAAAGTTTGTGTCTGAAATGCAACAATGTAGGGAACAGGGTTGTATGTACCTACCACAGGGTTGGGCCGTACAATTAACAGGGTTGGGCTGTACAATTAACAGGGTTGGGCCGTACAATTAACAGGGTTGGGCCGTACAATTAACAGGGTTGGCCATACAATTAACAGGGTAGGGTCATTCAATTAACAGGGTTGGGCCATACAATTAACAGGGTTGGGCCATACAATTAACAGGGAAGGGCCATACAATTAACAGGGTTGGGCCATACAATTAACAGGGTAGGGTCATACAATTAACAGGGTTGGGCCATACAATTAACAGGGTTGGGCCATACAATTAACAGGGTTGGGTCATACAATTAACAGGTTAGGGTTATACAATTAACAGGGTTGGGTCGTACAAACATGGAAGTCGGTTCATTTAAACGAGTAAGTGGCTAACAGGTGTGCATAACATATAACAAATGTTGAACAGTATGAAGTAGGTACCAAACATTGTAGGTGTGTTCCAGTATGAGTTAAGTGATGAATATGGTCTAGTCAAACAACTAATCAGATTCGGTGTAACATTGTGAAGATCACAATACACTTGTCAATAAGACAACATTTTGTATTGGCCACTTTAATCAACAAATACAACAAATAGCCACTAATTCCACAGATCACTTAATAGTTACTTCATGTCACAACAAATCTGTTCCGTTGTTACAGTAATCGGGTAATACATAAATAAATCTAAGATTCAGATTCCACCTCCTTTTATGTAGCTTTTTAACAATACAATGTACTGGCCCTTATTTCAGACTTAGGTTTTCTTAAAATCATCTTTTCTCATTTTCCTCAATTTTCATTAATATTACTTTATTTTTATTTTTTACATAATCTGTAAATATCTTCTGTACACCTTAATTTTTTTTTAAATCTGCATATAAAGTACATAAATCAAGAAACTGAAAATTTTAAGTTTGTACTCTGAATTTGATTCTAATTAAACTTTTATTTTATAAAGGTGACAAAAATTGTAAATGTCTTCTGTACACCTTAGAAAATATTCAAATCTGCATATAAAGTACATAAATCAAGAAACTGAAAATTTTAAGTTTGTACTCTGAATATAATTCCAATTAAACATTTATTTTATAAAGGTGACAAAAATTTCTTAAAAAGCTGAAGTCAATGATACTTAAACATTTCTAAAGAAAAAAAAAAGTTTTATAAAGCTCAAGTCAGAACTTAATATTTGGCTCGGCTTTTTTCCCTCTCTCACGATCAAGAGAGAAATTAGGGTTAGATAACATTATTGCCATAACCCAGTTCCTACCAGCTTAAGGTATACAACATGTTTTCATTATAGGTCACAACAGAGCTGTCCTCGTGGTGATACTGTTATCACAATTGTAGGGTCGGAAAACCGGAACTCAATGGGATATTCTTGGTTCTCCTGAAATTGAACATAATTTCATAATCAAAATCAAATTTTAAGAAATTGAAGTTGTAATGGGCACACATCATTGAACACAAAGTCACCAGTTTTGATGTAAAACCTACTAGTAGAATTGATCTGACAATCAAAATGTATGATTACTTATGACGGATCATTGGTCTGATGAAGATGACAATGAAAATGGTACAGTCGACAAAATGTGTAATTATCTATACAAATTTTTAACTCATTCACCCCTGAAGTTTCATAATAAACTATTCAAACCGTTGAAGTGGAAGGGTTCAAATGTGACTTCAGGGGTAAATGAGTTAAAGACATTTTAATTTTGAAAAATGATGGATCTTGGTACGGTTTAAGAAATTTGATCGGTTTGTTTTACATCCTATTAGCAGCTATGGTCATTTAAGGACGAGCCAGGTTTTGGTTTTGGAAGAAAACTAGAGTACCGCTGACATGTGGCCAGTACCCGACAACTACCCCATGTAGGCTTTAAACCATTGTAGACAGTTAGATGCCTTAACCACTAACAGTCACTGTGGCCCCCTTACAAAGTTGAACCTAGACATACAGAAAAGCCCATAATGATCCCCGCTGCATTCTTCACAAGAGCATATAGCTATTTTTAGGGAGGAAAACTGTCAACAAAACTGTCAACAAAACAGAAACAAATAGTTGGCAGTGCAGCATACCTCAGTCACTTACCTCAGAATTATCCTGTAACATTTCAAACTCCTGTGACATTTTGTCTATGAGGGCCTCGGAACAATAGATCTGTAACAAAATACAACCAGAAAACGGGAGACAATGTAAATGCAGGCTCGTGTACTTTTCATAAACTGATTGATAAAGTTCAATTAATAACCACTTATATTTATTTTTTATAAAAAAAAAGATTTCTTCCTGTGGTCAGTGGAACTCTTTTGCAAAAGAGGTGCAAATAACAGTATAACATGCATCCATTCAAAAATTTAACATTGGTTACAATAAATAAAAAAATAAAAAATACAACATTTGATATAGCGCCCTATCTAGCTAACATAAGCCACTCTAAAGCGCTTTACAGTACATAGATATATAATTTTATACAGTCAATACAATTAGCATATATATTAATCAATACAATATTGAGGAATTCTCAGGAGCTGCCTTATCAGGCGCTAACTACTAGTCCTATGCCACCTGGCTAATAGCTCCCTATGTGTTTGCCTGTGTGTGTGCTGGAGATGTATGTGTGTATACAAGTATTTTAATACTTCTGTTCCAATTGGCAGTGTTAACTTATGTTGTGACTGTTTATTTCACACTTGATTGGATCTGTGTTGACATTTTGTTCTGATTGGCTGTGTGTTTGCTTCCATTCTGATTGACTATGTTTTCAGCCATTCTATTTTCTGATTGGCTGTGTTAACATCTGTTCTTTATTTTGCTGTGTTCGTTTCTGTTTTGCTTGGGTGTCTTTCTTTCCGTTCTGTGTTTATTTCTGTTCTTATTGGCTATGGGTAGGTTTACCAGAGCGGCACTTCTCTATAGTGGGCTGTCAGTTCACAGACATACCTGTAGGAATGTACCCTGTGCTTTGAGAGGCTCTCCTTGGCTAACAAACTGGTTCTCCTCCTGGCAAGATGGCGGTATCAGATGTATTGCATAGTTTTCTGCATTGTGAAACACAAAGAATCGGCCCTTTTGTAATCTGGCTCTGAAGTGATATAATATAATATGAAATAGTATAATATAACATAATAATATATATATATATCGGTAATATATAATAATGATATAAAATCACCCGCAGGACTTGACAAATGAAAGCATAATGTACTGGAATCATTTCCTTGCGATCAATCTGGCCAGATGTTCGTACATTAGCATATATGGATGAGGGAGACATCTTAGTTTTTCATTCTGTCAAGAGTTTGTCAAAGACTTGTAAATATTGGTTTATTAACCTGAACAACTGTAACTCTTGAAAAAAATATACACACTGTATTAACACTTCTCAAAACTAAATGAAAGATTCGACTGTCCTTGATTCAAGCTGAACTTTCATTAATCGGATTCACTTGAACTCTTGTGAGATAAAAAATATATACACTTACTTGACAATTAATGGCAAGAGTTCTGCTGCCTCAGCATCAAATTTGAGATGTACAGCCTCAAGAGTCTCAGGCGGGCAGAGCGTGACGGTGTCGTCGCCGGTGTCCATTCCGTCTACTGACGGTGTCTGTGTCACCATGTCTGTCCCCCTCTCAAACACTGTCCTGATAAAAAACAAAAAGCTGGTGTGTACTGATGATACCAATAAAGCCAAGTAGGAATCTTCTGGCTGTTGCAAGATTTAATAGTGATATACAAGAAAATTCCTCCATAATTCTTCTGTGTAAAAACAGCTTTTTCAGCAGATCAGATTTTGTTTTTAGAAAAATCAGAAGCAGGTTTCCAGATTGTGCATGAAATTCCTTTTCACTTAATTATTTCCGTCTCTGCCATGGGGCAATGTAAGAATAGCAGCAACTGTATATCAAACCTCCAGGGGAATTGTGTCTTCATATTGAATGCAGCTAAACTAGAGTACCGCGGGGCAGAACAATATACGCCCGTCGAATGCCATATAGTGTTACATACTTTCTTACATTGAAATAAGATCTGCATCATTCTAAGAGTGGTTAGCTGACATGCTATAAAAAATGTAGAAGAAAATCTCCGGACAAAAAATCAAAAACTGAAATGAACAAAGGGCAACAACTTTTGCAAAAATCGTCGAATCAAAATTCTTTTAAGGGAGACACAACTTCATATCATGATTATAATGTATACCAAGTTTCAAAGAGATCCGTTGAAAAATGAATCATACTAAGTTTCAAAGAAATCCGTCAAAAAATGTAGGAGGAGATTGCCGGACAAACAAAAGTTTACGCTGGACAGACAACCCCATACCATAATACTTCCTTCAAATTTGACGGGCGTATTAAAAGATTATGTAAGAAGATAACCACTTTTATATTAGCCATTTCTTATTTACTCCATCTTCTTACCTAAAACATTTCCTTTAAAAGTTCCTGTATACGGTAAGTGATTGTCAGAGTGATATTATACAGTGCCACCACTTACCCTGCTGAAATTTCCGACCAGGAACACACTGCTGTCACATGACCCAGATTTGATCCGTCCTGTTCTATACCCGCGGTTACTCGGTGTAGCAGGTTAGAGTCCATCTCAAAGATTGACCGTGTTCTAGACATGTCCGTGATGAAATGAGGACCAATCCTGCCATAAAGTTAAAATTAAAAGTGTCATGTAAAGGAAAAGAAAGAGAGTCACTAAACAGTTTAGAAAAGTAACAGGAACTTATAAGAACCTAGAAATTCATGTTTGAAATGCCAATCATTTATTTAATTACAGTGCATGATGAAGGGAGTGCAATTATGATCTTTGAACCATAATGGACTCATCCAGATCAATGAATGGTAGAGTTGACTAAAGTTACGTAGGGGTGAAAGGGTTAAGAGCTTGGGCTTAATATATGATTAAACAAAGTTATATTTCATTTATAGAGTTACCTGAAGTAACCTCAAATCCTCTTAACTCAGACATTTAAGCCAAGATGACACCTCAATGAAAATATATAGAGAACCTGTAGTCAAAACTGTGACATTATATTTAAACTCATATTACAACATAATGCCTGATCTGTAGAATGATCTTATCATTGCAACCGAATTCAATTTAACTGAAATAGGGAAATTGTATGACGTCATTACAGGTCTAAACAGGGGAGATAATCTTCAGCTGCAGACATTGTACTAGGCAAGGTTGTTTGCTAAGAGGTGTGGGGAGTTTAGTGCTTGTTCTTGTTTAAGTGTGAAAAAATGCACAACCAGACCAGGTTTGAAACCCAGGGCTCTCCGAACACTTGACAGACGCCCTACCTATTGAGCTACCTGGTCGCCAACGATTGACCCAGTCAAGTTCAACTACATTCCTCCCTCCTTTTTACAACACTATTTACAACCCAGGTTCGGGTATCGTCAAGCATTCTCCCAGTACTTGAAACAATGGTTGGTCATGGCACCAAATGTAACAGGAACAGAAAAATACATAGCCAGACCATGGTTCGAACCCTCCAAGCTGTAGACGGATGCTCTACCAATTGAGATATCTGGTTGCAGTCTAGTTCTGCTACATTGCGAGGAAAACAATTTGGAATGATGTAGAAATAAAACCATTCTTCTATAGACCTTCTCTAAATACATGTATGAAGAAAAATAAATAATGCTGGGTTGTAAATTCCCACAATTAAACAAACAACATAGAACTCATTCAAGGACACTACTCAAATTTAAGGCGTACAGATTTTTGAAACTGGAAAAAATTAAGCCAAAGTTTTGTCCACAATTTCAAAATGAAGGAAATTAGCTTTGACTGGTACGTACTCTTTGACAGTACACATGAGTTCCAGTACACCTGCACCTTTCCACTTCTGAGCTGCTTTCAGCTCATCGTCCTTCACACCAACAATCTACAAAACAGTTTCTCTCCAGTAGTTAAGTTATTCATTTTTGGTATGATGTAATATTTTTACATATTACAGTATAATAAATCAAATTCCCATGGCAACATGCATGGGGCAAGAAATGTATATAATTAAATAGAATGAATAAGACAGTCCAGTGTCCTAATTAGAAGAGATCAAATAAATAGAAGCCCTATCATAAACTTACAACTTAATAAATAACTGAAATTCGGCATGACATTCAGCAAAATTAATATATTGTTTTTGTGGAGGAAATGTAAACTAATAGACAAATTTGTGAAACTAACTTATAGATGCTTTTTACCAACAAAAACTCCTGAAATGCTTCCTTTATGTAAATGCAGGTAAATGCTTTTGATAGAAAATAATCATTCATGAGGCCATAATGTACACTCATTAAAAAAACATTAAATAGATATGCTTATTTTTCCTCATTGAATAAGGTCACCATTTTATTTCAAGCCAGCTGGTCAATGAACATTTCTGTCTGTCTATCGATCACAATTCCAAATTTCATAGACCCATTATATATGATTTTAAAACGATGAAGTTCAAGACTGGTTCTAGACAGTGTGATGGAGTCCGGTAAAAGACTCGCAACTACTATCATTAAGGAAAAGTTATTTACAAACGGAGACAATTATTTATTCATCGATACAGAGCCCTTCTCACCTGCCGGAATTGAAGGAACCCGTAGGGAGTGTCCAGGTCAGGGATTTGTGGGTCAGATGTAATTAGCATATGCTGTATTAGGGAGTTGCTACCGCCATCTAATGGACAGTGCCAGGGAATGTGGTCACCCACCTGTAAAACATTTCCTGCAGAAAGAAACACTGAAGGTCAAATTTCGAGAAATAAATGACATTTTGCTTTTAGTATTTCTGAAAATTTTAACATGTTTTCTTTTTAAATACTTTCACTGGTAGAAATCTTGACCTTATTACATACCTGTCTGAAAAACATAAGTAGCTAGTTTGTTCATCAGGTTTGAAGGCCACATTGGGGGAACACTTTGATCGTCTTCCTTCTTCAGTCGAAACGTCAGTTCAAAACCAAATCCACTTGGTTGACCCGGTCCAGAGATTCTGTAAACAAAATATTTAAACAATTCTCAAATCACACGTACATTAACTCTGCTTTTCTTTGTGTTTTGTAATTTTATGTCCATGTTAATAACATGCATGTTTGTGTATTATGAACTATAATTTCATTAAATGGTGACTTCCTTGCTATTGTAGTATTTGGCGTTTAAAAAAATGAAAAACAAAGATTCATTGGAGATGGTAAACCTTTTGAATAAATATCCTATAAAAAAAATCAAAAAAATCTTAAATGCCTTTAGTTTAAAACTAGTTATAAAATTATGAGAATTGATTCAGCGTTAATTATAAATAAAAGATGAAAAGACAGAACATACGGATGGACCCGGCTGTCTCCATGGAGATCGCTGAAGCCGTAGCTAACGTAGTGCCAGTGAGGGAGAATGGCGCGGTCAGGGTCACCTGGGTTAGAGTACATTGATATGTAGTCAAGGGGGTCCGGGCCTCCCAACCTACAATATAACAGACACACAGAATGACATGCTGTCAAAAGGGTCCAGGCCTCTCTACCTACAATATAACAGACACAGAGGATGACATACTGTCAAAGAGGGTCCAGGCCTCTCTACCTACAATATAACAGACACAGGATGACACACTGTCAAAAGGGTCCGGGCCTCTCTACCTACAATATAACAGACACAGGATGACATACTGTCAAAAGGGTCCGGCCTCTCTACCTACAATATAACAGACACAGGATGGCATACTGTCAAAAGGGTCCGGGCCTCTTTACCTACAATATAACAGACACAGGATGACATACTGTCAAAAGGGTCTGGGCCGCTCTCCCTACAATAAAACAGATACAGAATGAAATACTGTCAAAAGGGTCCGGCCTCTTTACCTACAATATAACAGACACAGGATGGCATACTGCCAAAAGGGTCCGGGCCTCTTTACCTACAATATAACAGACACAGGATGACCCACTGTCAAAAGGGTCCGGGCCTCTCTACCTACAGTATAACAGACACAGGATGACACACTGTCAAAAGGGCCCGGGCCTCTCTACCTACAATATAACAGACACAGCATGGCATACTGTCAAAAGGGTCCGGGCCTCTTTACCTACAATATAGCAGACACAGGATGACATACTGTCAAAAGGGTCCGGCCTCTCTACCTACAATATAACAGACACAGGATGGCATACTGCCAAAAGGGTCCGGGCCTCTTTACCTACAATATAGCAGACACAGGATGACATACTGTCAAAAGGGTCCAGGCCTCTCTACCTACAATATAACAGACACAGGATGAAATACTGTCAAAAGGGTCTGGGCCGCTCTACCTACAATATAACAGACACAGGATGGCATACTGTCAAAAGGATCCGGGCCTCTCTACCTACAATATAACAGGCATAGGATGATATACTGTCAAAAGGGTCTGGGCCTCTCTACCTACAATATAACAGACACAGAATGACATGCTGTCAAAAGGGTCTGGGCCGCTCTCCCTACAATATAACAGATACAGAATGAATACTGTCAAAAGGGTCCGGCCTCTCTACCTACAATATAACAGACACAGGATGATATACTGTCAAAAGGGTCTGGGCCTCTCTACCTACAATATAACAGACACAGGATGGCATACTGTCAATAGGGTCCGGGCCTCTTTACCTACAATATAGCAGACACAGGATGACATACTGTCAAAAGGGCCCGGGCCTCTCTACCTACAATATAACAGACATAGGATGATATACTGTCAAAAGGGTCAGGGCCTCTCTACCTACAATATAACAGACATAGGAGGACATACTGTCAAAAGGGTCCGGGCCTCTCTACCTACAGTATAACAGACACAGGATGACAAACTTTCAAAAGGGTTCGGGCCTCTCTACCTACAATATAACAGACACAGAGGATGACATACTGTCAAAAGGGTCTGGGCCTCTCTACGTACAATATAACAGACACAGGATGACACACTGTCAAAAGGGCCCGGGCCTCTCTACCTACAATATAACAGACATAGGATGATATGCTGTCAAAAGGGTCTGGGCCTCTCTACCTACAATATAACAGACACAGGATGACACACTGTCAAAAGGGTCCGGGCCTCTCTACCTACAATATAATTGGTTCAAATCCCAATCTGAGTGTTGTTAGCCTACTCAGGTGTTTTTTTCAATCATTCACCTGCATAATTCAGTATTTAGCGTTTAGTGTCAACGGAATCGGTCATTTACAAAGAAAACTCTGTTAATCATAAAGAAAGAGCGAATGACAAGTACCGTAACCTGATCATAAAGGTGACAAATAATTGGATAAGTTACGTTGTGGGGCAGGTGTGAAAAGTGACAGGTTGACATTTTACCATAGTTTGACAACTGCTGTAGCTTGAAGAGGATTAGGTTGGTCAGGATATATCTCAAGACAAGCCCTGTCAATGGATTCGAGTCCTACGTATTCCAGTTCGTCTGCTTGACTCCGACCCCCCGGAATAAACACATCCGCCTGATCTCCATCGTCTCCAGCCGCCGCCACTGCAGCCATGCTGGCTAATGTTGTGGTTCACCTGCCCGATAGATGTCACTGCCATACTCTCTAAATAATAAATACACCAAATTACACTTATAAATGAATTATTTATGTTAAGGATATGCGTATTCGATAATTCAAAATATTTCTTTTAATAAACATGCCAATATTAATTGACTTATATAATTATAGTTGATAAATGAATTTTGGTTTCGAGAGTAATTGTCCAAAAAGGAAAATAAACATGGCTGCTTCCGTGCCATGCCTCCGTCCGCTATGGAAAATGTTCGCTTTTCAGTGCATGACACCGATAGCGCCTGATAGTTGACAAATCGCGATGTTGAATCTCACACAGTCGGTGACGTCGGAAGGGGATGTCATCGCAGAGTTGTGTGACGAGGAGGATGAGCTGTATGACTGGCACTTGCCAGTGGCGTTCAATGAACTTCGCAATCGAGAGAAAATAGAGGGTTCTACCAAAGTTACTCAGACATGGCGAATGAAAGAACGAGTATGTTTTAACATTTTACTGTTTAACAGACTGGTATACAATTTATGTTTTTAAGACTTTGTCAATTGCTTACGAAATATATAAAGTACTCGTCGAATTCACTTGAATAACCTGAAATGGTTTCATTTGTGTCGCGGCAGTGTGTACTTCCAAATTCTAAAACCAACAAACATCAAGTGCCCGTATATGTGCATTTAAATGATGTTTCTGAATGTGGTGATGCATAGTTGCTACGGTTGATAATGCCTCTTATATGTCACTGTATCTGGAATACTTGGTGCAGTAGTCAGGGCCAGTACACTGTCGATTGAGCTATATAGCAGTAAAGACCTATAATAGCTCTATTGCCCTATCTGAAAAAGGTCTTTTGAGCTATTTTCATGTGATGCAGACTTAAGAAATAAGTCTCAATTAAATTTTTGAGATAAATGTAATCAAAAAAATAGATTCTATATAAGTCCGTGCTTTTATTTAGCATCACATACATAGATACTGTATTGTATACAATTACATGTGTAACTGTCAGTATTTTGCTGTTTATTTGAATTGTCAACCTAACATAAGAAAGAAATCTAATTCCGTGGAAAGACACAATGTCGTCGATTTGTCATTACTAAGAATATTGACATTTAAAAACAGCAGACATCAACGTTGAAGTTATTTTGTAAACATTTTTCACTGATATATTTTTGGTGACTGCCAATTTTTCACTTCCATTCAGTTATTCATTGAAATTTGAATAGAACAACTATGTCATTTTATGATATTTTGTGTCAAATAAGGGCCATTGTCAGTACCTTTCAGATATTTTGAGGTGATTTCACTACATGGTGATTATATTCATTGCAGATGAAGACAGTGAGTGTGGCCTTGGTGCTGTGCTTGAACGTCGGAGTTGACCCTCCAGATGTAGTGAAGACATCACCTTGTGCTCGTCTGGAAAGCTGGATTGGTAATCTGTCACTGTTTTCATTATTATGTAATGATTTGTTTATGATGGCACTATTTCTTACGAGGAAGAGCTACACCTTTGTGTGGATACTATTTCTGGTTCAGGAGACCATCTGGCGCAAGCAGACATTCTTTTTTGAGAAAATAGGAAAATCCATTTTCAAGTTGTTGGCATAGGACTAGTAGTTAGCAGCTGCCTGCAAATTCCTCAAAATTGTATTGATTGTGTTTGATTTGATGTTTTCTGTTAATTGTATTGATTGTATAAATTGGTCAATATCAAAATCTTGAGGGGCCATTCTATGGAAAATTAAAAGAAAATTGGAACATGGAGGTGTCAATTTTTAGTTTTGAGGGGTCAATGGCCCCATGGCCCCCTCCAAGAATATCCCTGGGTACTATAAAGCATTTTAGAGTGGTTTATTCTAGCTAGATAGGGCGCTATATCAAGTGTTGTATATTTATTAGTCCCCTACCGGGAAACCGGGGGGACTATAGTTTTCCCCTCCGTCTGTCCGTACGTCCGTGCGTCTGTCCGTCTGTCCGAAGAGGTTTGTCAGCACTCTAGAGCCTTCATTCTTTCATGGATTTTAATCAAACTTTACACACATGTAAAGAATTAAAGTATCTTCAACAAGTTCAAGTTTCAAGGTCATCGGATCAAGGTCAAGGTCATTATGACTATAAATAGAAAAACTTTGTCAGCACTCTAGCGTCTTCATTCTTTCTTGGTTTTTAATCAAACTTCACACAGTCATAAAGAATTAAAATATCTTCGACAAGTTCGAGTTTCAAGGTCATCGGATCAAGGTCAAGGTCACTGTTACTATAAATAGAAAATCTTTGTCAGCACTCTAGTGTCTTCATTCTTTCATGGATTTTAATCAAACTGCACACACTCATAAAGAATTAAAATATCTTCGACAAGTTTGAGTTGGACAGGTTCGAGTTTTAAGGTCAAATGGTCAAGGTCACAGTTACTATAAATAGAAAATTTTATTTAACATTCTTCCTTGCCTGTTTATCAAACTTCACACACTTGTAAAGATACCTTTACAATCAACAAATAAGATTTCTTAGTATTTTTATTCCCTTACCGGTGAAACTGGGTGGGGGTGGCAGGGAGGGAGAAGAAAACAAGAATACCTAAAGTTTTCCTCGCTGTCTGTCCGAAGAAGTTTGTCAGCACTCTTGCGCCTTCATTCTTTCCTAGTTTTTAATCAAACTTCACATTATTGTAAAGAATTTAAATATCTTGGACAATTTCAAGGTAATCGGGGCAAGACAAGGTCACTATTACTATTTTAGAAAATCTTTGTCAGCACTCTAGTGCCTCATTCTTTCATGGATTTTAGTCAAACTTCACATTATTGTAAAAAATTTCAATATATTGGACAAGTTCAAGTTTCAAGGTCCTTGGATCTAGGTTGAGGTCACTGTTGCATCTTAATAGATTGCAGGGGCCGGTAGGGGACATGTATTGCTTCAGCAGTATGCTTGTTTATTCAGTATTGTGGGTCACATCTTGTAAGAGCTTAGATATTGTATGATTAAAGATTGTTCAAAAATAGTCTCTTTGTAAAGCATGATTTTTAAAGTATAGACGGTACAATGTCATGTATCAGTGTTTTGTATAGGAACCTTTTTTCCAACAGACCCAACTACTTCCAGTCCACAGAAGGCTCTGGAGGCCATTGGCAGTAACCTGCAGAAGCAGTACGAGAGATGGCAGCCCAGGGCCCGCTACAAGCAGAGTCTCGACCCCACTGTAGATGAGGTCAAGAAACTCTGCTCTTCACTGCGACGTAATGCAAAGGTCCGTAAAATATTTCAATCCGTGTCTTTACAGGAAAATATGTAAACATTGATCTTGATAAGATTATATATGTAAAGAGAATTATATACACTAACCGTATAATCCCAAATCAAATACACGAAAGCAAGTTCACAATGAAACGCCAGGGACTTGAGAAATATTTCACTAAAAGTTGAAATAATAATGACATAACTCATTAAATTATGATTTTAAGAGTGCTATATATCAAGAAATAGAGACTCATGACTTTTTCAATATTCATATTAAGACAGTTCCTTGTCCGGGAACACAAATGTTACTTTGTATAAATAGAGTTTGTGATAAGCATAGCTGTAGTAATGTTGTATTTGAAAGTTTGTTTTGAGTCTTAGATTACATTTCTATATAGCTGAAGCTGTTTTATATGATAAAAATGCTGACACCAGTTTGATGTGTCAGAATTGAAGTTATATATATCACAATGAAGCTTTTCAGCATATACTCCTTCAAAATAAAAGAGCCCAGAAATAATTAAAACATCTGTAGTGTATTTGAATCTATGACTGAAGTTTTTCGGAAATACTTTGGAATTTTCTCATCTTTCAAGTTCCAAATAACTAAAGAGTTCAACATAATTAAGTATAACTTCATGATGAAGTTCTGCTTTTTTTCTCAGAAAATTCTGGAACGTTATAAAAAATACAGTTGAGAGTACATTTGACAGCTTTGATGAGTGTTTTTCTTGTCCATTGTAGGAAGAAAGGGTTCTTTTCCATTACAACGGCCATGGAGTACCAAAGCCAACAGTCAATGGAGAAATATGGGTTTTCAACAAGGTAACAACAGTCTTTTCTAAGTTTGTATTTCGTCAGATAAAGATGTTAGAAATTAACACCAAACCTGTTTTCTACAAATAGGTTATTTTCAGTAACTCTGCTATTGCTCAATGTATGTGATCATTGATGAGAATACATGCTATGAAAGAGCATTTGACAATGTGTTTGTCACTGTTTCTATAAAAAGCAATGACATTGGCCTAATGAGAATATGTAGATCAGGACGATGATAAATTATTTGATCATGACATGTTGATTTTATGGTTAATGTTCATCCACAAATTCAAAGGTCCATGGAGTAATTACAATTTTTGATATAAAGCAATTCTCCGTTTGAGTGGGTACTCTTAATCCACGAAATCAGGTACCCACGAAATGGTGTTTGGTAAGGAAAACATGAAATTCAGGCACCATGAAAAATATCTGATTTTGCAGTATTTGATTAACTTTGTTGTTGCAGAGCTACACACAGTACATCCCTCTCTCAGTGTACGACCTTCAAACATGGATGGGGAGTCCGTCTATCTATGTGTATGATTGTTCCAATGCTGGAATCATTGTCGAGTCCTTCAAACAGTTCTCCGTGCAGAGAGAACATGAGATGGAGGTGAGTTTGAATGAGAATATTCCTTGTTTTGTCTCCTGTGTTGTTTGCTATGAATACCATGACCAGATTGATGACATCATAATTATGACATGATGATAGTAAAGTTGTATGCCTACGTTGGGCAGTCATCAGGTACTGGCCGCAGATTGGTGGTTTTTCTCCGAGGACTCTGGTGTTCCTGCGCCACCAAAACCTGGCTAGTCCTTAAATTACCTTTAATAGTTGTTAATAGGACGTAAAGCACAAACAAACCAAACAACTAACCCTTCCTGGAGGACGACTGTTCTGTTGTAATGTTGAAGAAACATGTACAGTATAACCAATGAATTCAAATTAAGTGCTGACTTTTGATAAAAGAATTTTTATTTTCGATGAGAGTTGAATATTACAAAATTGATAATTAGAACTATTGAGCTGCTTTCAGTTGGCATTCAGTCAATATAGATAAAGGAAACATGCGCTACAGATTTATGTTATAATTGTCTTTTATATTGATTTTTAAATCCATTTTAAAGCGCGCAGTTAACTGCTTAAACATCTATTTTGGTACAGATTCCAGTGTGCTTTTTTACTACTTTTACATCAAGAAACATGCAGCAGAAAAGTACCCTGTTTTCCCAAAATGGAAAAAAATGTTCTTGTTTATTTCTGGGGGTTTTCTTCAGACATCATCGTCAATAAGTGACAGTCAGAGATTCTTGTTCTTGTTTATTTCTGGGTTTTTTTCTTCAGACATCATCGTCAATCAGTGGCAGTCAGAGATTCAACAGCCCCACCCCTTCACCCGCAGCAGTCAAAAACTGTATACAACTTGCAGCATGTGGTTCCACTGAGTTCCTTCCAATGAACCCTGAACTTCCAGCTGACCTTTTCACCTCATGTCTCACCACACCCATCAAAATCGCCCTCAAGTGGTCAGTACTTTCACTTTTTGTTTCGTTGAAAAGAAATTGAAATTTGAAAGAAGAATTTATTGGAAAATTTATTGGAAAATTTATTGTTAATTACTGAAATCATTTGACAGCATGGTTTTATTAGCTCATTTGCCCGAAGGGCAAGTGAGCTTATGTTATGGTGCGGCATCCGTCGTCCGTCCGTCCGTCTGTCCGGCGTCACCTTTTAATTTAAACAACTTCTTCTCAATAACCAAAAGGCCCAGGGTACTGATATTGGGCCTGTAGCATGCTGGGATGAAGGGCTACAAAGTTTGTTCAAATAAATGACCTTGACCCACTTTCAAGGTCACAGGAGTCAAATATGTTAAAATCTTCAAACAACTTCTTCTCAATAACCGAAAGGCCCAGGGTACTGATATTGGGCCTGTAGCATGCTGGGATGAAGGGCTACCAAGTTTGTTCAAATGAATGACCTTGACCCACTTTCAAGGTCACTGGTGTCAGATGTCTTTAAAATCTTCAAACAACTTCTTCTCAATAACCAAAAGGCCCAGGGTACTGATATTGGGCCTGTAGCATGCTGGGATGAAGGGCTACCAAGTTTGTTCAAATAAATGACCTTGACCCACTTTCAAGGTCACAGGGGTCAAATATCTTAAAATCTTCAAACAACTTCTTCTCAATAACCAAAAGGCCCAGGGTACTGATATTGGGCCTGTAGCATGCTGGGATGAAGGGCTACCAAGTTTGTTCAAATGAATGACCTTGACCAGCTTTCAAGGTCACAGGGGTCAAATGTTTTAAAATCTTCAAACAACTTCTCAATAACCAAAAGGCCCAGGGTACTGAAATTAGGCCCAGGGTACTGAAATTAGGCCTGTAGCATGCTGGGATGAAGGGCTACCAAGTTTAATTAAATGAATGACCTTGATCCACTTTCAACCTGATGTCCTTGTTCGACATTCAAGGTCACAGGCGTCATATGTTTAAATCTTTTAATAGGTTCTTATGTATCAAACACTGATATTCTGCCTGTAGCTGTTTTTTTATTCCACTTTTAAGATTACAAGTGTGAGATTAATACCAGGCGAGCGATGCAGGCCCATTGGGCCTCTTGTTATTAATATGATCATTGATAAATATATTAGATAGAACTTACATCTTGTTTATTAGTACATATAATCCTATTACATTTTGTCCCACAGGTATGTCCTACAGAACACCAGTAAACTTGTGCCAAACCTCACTGCTGAACTGGTGGACAAGTAAGTAAACACCATAGGAACACAACCTAACTGTACTTCACCGAAGCCTCAATTCTCAGTCAGCATCATTCCCAGTAAGATAATCCTACCGCTATCTATAGTAGATAATCCATGCACCTTCTTTCACACTAGACATTCCAGCCACATTTGTCCCCAGTAGATGATCCAGCCACCTTCATTCCCAGTAGACAATCAAGTCACCTTCATTCTCAGTAGACAATCCAGCCACCTTCATTCCCAGTAGACAATCCAGCCACCTGTGTTCTCAGTAGACAATCTAGCCACCTGTGTTCCCAGTAGACAATCCAGCCACCTTCATTCCCAGTAGACAATCCAGCCACCTGTGTTCTCAGTAGACAATCCAGCCACCTTTATGCCTAGTAGACAATCCAGCTACCTGTGTTCCCAGTTGACAATCTGGCCACCTTCATTCTTGGTAGATAGTCCAGCCACCTTTGTTTACAGTAGATAATCCAGCCACCTGTGTTCTCAGTAGATAATCCAGCCACCTGTGTTCTCAGTAGATAATCCAGCCACCTTCATTTAAGTTAAGTCAGATTTTACAACGCAACTTTTTTGTAATTTTGAATGTGTTTATTTCGACAGAGTTCCTGGCCAGCTGAACGACAGACGGACAATGCTAGGAGAACTGAACTGGATATTCACTGCAATTACTGACACGATAGCATGGAATACACTGCCAAGAGGTAGGAGGGTGATGTTGATAGGGGTTTGGGATAAGGGATCAAAATATAGAATACAGAGACTTGAAACCATTTTGATCAGTTCTTCTCATAAAGTTTTATACATATTGCTTCTGTGTTGGAGACAAGTATATCTAGCTATATTTGTAATTTAATTTATCATTATCAGACAAGTGCACATTTATATTTATACATGTTCCGATATTTTAGTTTATTGCTTTCTTAAACAAGTATCTACTATTGCATAAAATAGTGCTGTTTTCATCAATTTTACTTTGGACGGATGTTAGCGACTTTGTCAAGCTTAATTCCATGCCCTTGATATGGTCAAACTTTTACAACAGACATTGGGATCTTACTTCAGACGTCGTCAGTGTCCGATATATTCAGAAGTTCAGTTTTAGGTAATTGAAAGGATGTGTAAAAGGGCCATTTTAATAGAATTTTCTAGATACAATATGGATTATGCTTTGTAATTTAAAATTGTAAAACAATTAATATAGTTGAAAGCATTGTGATTCTCCCACTAAGACATGTAATTATTTTTGTTCAACAGAATTTTGACGCTTTATGCTTTCAGATCTGTTCCAGAAGCTGTTTCGACAAGATCTGCTGGTGGCCAGTTTGTTCCGTAACTTTTTACTGGCCGAGAGGATAATGCGTTCCTACAACTGTACACCAGTGTCGGGGCCTAAGTTGCCTCCCACGTACCAACACCCCATGTGGTATGTCAGAAAAAATATAACCTGTTTAAGATTTACAGGATTAGAGCATTCTACATGTCTGTTATTTCAAATATGATATATCTGCCAAATAAAGATTCAACAACCAGTGCTGAGGCCATAATTCGGTCGAAACTTTCGATTTTACTGCGTCCAATTCTAACGATGTACGCACAAACAACATATTTGGCCGGAAAAGTCCAATCTGATGGTTCCAGACCACCACTCTCAGAGAGATTCTGTATAGATTGGCAAAGGTACAGCTATGTCTGTACCCGCCGATGACATTCCACGGTAAAGCACTGTTGAACAACAAGATACATTGTGTCTGTACTGAAATTAGCTGCGATGCCATGCCGTTATCAGCAAGATTCTTGATGGCAATTGTGCCGTTTCATTAAAGCGTCAACGAGATGCTGTTTTTGAGACCAATAGTCGAATCGGACACAGGTGATTAAATCCAGATTTTTTTTCCCCACATATTTTTACTACATCTTCTCTTTTTTCTTTTTCAATTTGGCGATAAAAACAGTGATGCGGGGGGTAAAAATTTGACGCGTGCGGGCCTGAGAAATGAACAATTAAATCGTTATGGCCTCAGTAGCCTCTGTTGTGAAAAATGGAGAAATTAACTGTCATTGAAATCATATCATGAAATTTTATTTTTCAAAATTATTCACTTTAGACTAAATAAATGGACTTCATTTAAAATAAAATAAATTCATTCATAATTATTTATTACTGTTAATTTTTGCGTTTAAAAAGTCTTTTATTTTTCAATCCTTGAAAATTTATAAAATAAAAGTTAATGAGAATTTTTGGTAGTTCATTAGTTTAAGTCTTTTTAACTTACCCAGGTAAATAATTTATTAAAAAAGATAGAAAAATATGTGATGATATTAAAGATGACTTCGAAATAATGTACCTACTTGTAAAACAAACTGTATCTGATATGAAGGTTTTGTGTATTTCAGGCAAGCATGGGACTTGGCCTTGGATTTGTGCCTGAGACAGCTACCTCGTCTGCTGGAAGACGATGGCCCAACATTCCAACATAGTCCCTTCTTTACAGAGCAGCTCACTGCCTTCCAGGTCTGGCTTACGTATGGCTCAGAGGCACGCAACCCTCCAGAGCAACTTCCTATTGTATTACAGGTTAGTCATTAAATCATCAAAGTATTAAATGATCATTAAATTACCCTCCGCAGAAAATCCTTATAGTATAACAGGTAAGTAGTCCTCTACGAGGTGTGTAACCTCCGGAGCAACTCCTTAAAGTATTACAGGTAAGAAGTTCTCTACGAGGGGTGTACCCTCCTGAGCAACTCCTTATAGTATTACAGGTAGGAAGTTCTCTACGAGGGGTGTACCCTCTGGAGCAACTCCTTATAGTATAACAGGTAAGGAGTTCTTCTACTAGCTAGGTGTGTACCCTCCGGAGCAATTCCTTATAGTATTACAGGTAAGAAGTTCTTCTACTAGCTAGGTGTGTACCCTCTGGAGCAAATCCTTATAGTATTACAGGTAAGAAGTTCTCTACGAGGGGTGTACCCTCTAAAGCAACTCCTTATAGTATTACAGGTAAGAAGTTCTCTTCGAGAGTTGTACCCTCCGGAGCAACTCCTTATAGTATTACAGGTAAGAAGTTCTCTACAAGGTGTGTACCCTCTGGAGCAAATCTTTATAGTATTACAGGTAAGAAGTTCTCTACGAGAGGTGTACCCTCCAGAGCAACTCCTTATAGAATTACAGGCAAGAAGTTCTCTACGGGAGGTGTACCCTCCGGAGCAACTCCTTATAGCATTACAGGTAAGAAGCTCTCTACGAGAGGTGTGCCCTCCTGAGCAACTCCTTATAGCATTACAGCGAGGGGGGTACCCTCCGGAGCAACTCCTTATAGTATTACAGGTAAGAAGTTCTCTTCTAGGTGTGTACCCTCCGGAGCAACTCCTTATAGCATTACAGGTAAGAAGTTCTCTACGAGGTGTGTACTCTCCAATTATAGTAATATTGTATAGAAGTTTTGTTTTGTGGAGTCAAACTTGTTCCTAGAAATATTTTACACTGTTTGAAATTTTTGCATAGTCCTCTAAACTATAAGAGGGCGGTTTGTATTTCACAATTGTTTTCAGATCATGAATATAGCAAATACATTGTTTTACATTTAAGGTTCTCCTAAGTCAGGTACACAGACTGCGAGCTTTGGACCTGCTGGGTCGGTTTCTGGACCTCGGACCCTGGGCGGTCAGTCTGGTAGGTTTCTACAATACGACTAATTAAGCTGGTATGTACGTGTGAAACCCTGGTGGATATTTACTCGGTCAGGTTCATGTAATTGGGGAAAAACTAGTGTGTTAATGCTAACTTGGGCCTCCTAGTCATAGTAAGTTGGAACAAAAAAGAAAATACATATAATTACTGACTTTGGAAAAAAAAAAAGTAAATAGAAATAGATATTTTCTTTAAAAAATTACTCCGAAAAAGATAGCCAGATTTAACACCGCTTGACTATAAGGAAGAAGAGCTGATACAAAAATTGGGATACTAACTTGACGAACAAGGGAACCTATTATTTATAAATAACTTAAGATATGAGATGCCCCCCTCTGCACAGTGGTTTACTTTTGTGGGTAAAACTTCAAGCAACATCACTTATAATTAATAGTTTTACAAACTTTTAGTTGGTAGGGCAATCATTTTGTTTGGGGTTACAATTTCCATAATTTCCCAGGTCACTTATGTTAGAACAAAATGTGTATAGATACATTTAATGACATTCTCTATAATCATGTTATTCATTGCTGTATTTTTCAGGCATTATCCGTTGGTATCTTTCCATATGTACTAAAGCTTCTACAGAGCTCTGCTCGAGAGCTACGGCCACTGCTGGTGTTTATCTGGGCTAAGATCCTGTCAGTGGACAGTGTGAGTAGACATAGCTAAAGAGAACTTCCCTCAAATTCAACTGCTAAAACATTTTACTTAAACCAGTAGTCCTTGGTTCGAATCTTAGGGTGCCTTTGATGGGAATGGAAGAAATGTTTATAATTAACCATCTTTGGAGAGTTTTAAAAGCTGAAGATCTCTTCAAAGAGTCTCTGCAATCATGTGTGACAGTTTTGTTTTTTGTATCCATAGTCATGCCAGGCAGACTTGGTGAAGGACAACGGTCATAAGTACTTTCTGGCCGTACTTGCTGACCCCTACATGCCGGTAAGTATTTCCAGCAGACAGAAGTGTTGGGCCACGGTTGTCTGATTAAGGAGTAGGGACAGACCTGGTTCAGGAGAGCTTGACCCAGACTTCTTAAGGCTGCTGTAGGTCCACTGAAATGAACTCTAAAGTGTTTGTATAATGAGTATATTGGAGAAACTTTGGAATAGTATCCATCAGTTTGGTATGAAAAATAAAGGCTAAGCTTACTTTGAACACCAACAGGAATTGAAAACTTATTTTGCAATTTTTTAAGACGTCTGTTTCCTTTTTCAAGCAAAGAGTGTAGATGATTGGTGTCTTGACTCTTAACTCGTCATTTACTTTTTGCGTGACAAAGGAAACAGACTTTTTCAAAAATCCTGTTTGTGTTCATAACAAGCCTGGAGGAACTGTTTTAATCACAGTAATTATAATACATATGCAGCTTTGATTTTGTATTTTAAAGGAACTGAATACAGAAAGAAAAAAATTGTTAAGAAAAGATTTTAAGGGAAAATAATATCAACTAGCTATGAAATAACCATTTGATAGAATATATCAACTTAATCATTGATTTTAAGATATTATTTTGAAATATTTGGACCAGAAGTACAGTCTTTTCATTTTTAGCTCACCTGCCCGAAGGGCAAGTGAGCTAATGTCTTGGTGCAGTGTCCGTCGTCGTCCGTCAACTTTTCCTTAAAACAACTTCTATTGAAAAACGACCAGGCATAGATCCATGATATTTGACTGAAAGCTTCGTTGGTAGGAGCCGGACAAAGTGTGAGAACGAAAATGACCTTGACCTACTTTCAAGGTCACAGGGTTAAAATGTGTCAAATACTTCAAACAACTTCTTCTGAAGAACTGAAAGGTATAGAATCTTATCTTTGCCTGTTGGCTTCCTGGGATAGACCCCGACAAAGTTTGAGAATATAAATGACCTTGACCTACTTTCAAGGTCACAGGGGTCAAATATGTCAAAGTCTTCAAACGACTTCTGAAGAATAATCGAAAGGCATAGATTCATAATATTTGGCTGGTGGCTTCCTAGGATAGAGCTCACTAAAGTTTGCAAATGAAAAAGACCCCAACCTACTTTAAAGGTCACAGAGGTCAACAACATTTCAAAGGATTTGTTCTGAAGAACCAAAAGGAATGGATTCATAAGATTTAGCTGGTAGCTTCTTGGGATAGTGCTAACAAAGTTTGAGAAGGAAAAATGACCTTGACTTACTTACAAGGTCACAGGGGAAAATATGTCAAACAACTTCTGAAGAAGAACCAAAAAGCACAGAATCTTATAATATTTGGCTGGTAGTTTCAACAGATGGAGCCGACAAAGTTTGCGAGGGAAATATGTGTAGTGCAATATAATATTTAATGAGAATATTTTGCTATGACTGCTTAAATATTCAGGTGAGCGATACAGGCCCTCTGGGCCTCTTGTTGCTTTGTGTAATGGAAGTTTCTCTATGTTTCTGGCACCAATTAACAATTGACTTAATTTTCCTCAGGCGGAACACAGGACGATGGCAGCTTTTGTCCTGTCCATGATTGTGAATGACTACAGGCAGGGACAGGTAAGTTCTATTTATAGAATATTAATTTTTGTTCAAGGAGAAGTGACATCCATATTAGGTGATGTGTATTTCAATAATCATATTCGTTTTTCATAGAGAAAAAAATCTTTTTGTTGCTTTAAAAGTCTGCGAAAATGAATCATGTTTGCTTGAATTGTACTTTACAGTGTCTTAGAAATGAAGATGTTTCACAATCTAGATGGAAATGAAATCAGCTGGTTTAATAAGGCCAGACAGTATTAAATCTGAAGTTCTTTAAAACATTTGTTATGAAAATAACAACGGTTGAGTTTTACTCGTTGTAGCTGATATTTTATGTACATTGTAACAGGAAGCTGCATTACAAGGCAATGTGATATCTGTGTGTCTGGAACAGTTGGCTGACAGCAATGCCTCTCTACGTCAATGGCTGGCCCTGTGTCTTGGCAAGGTAGGCAGAGGTCCCTAGGACTAAAGCCTTTTCATTAATGGACCTCAGTTATTGTAAAAGTTGAAATGTTTGGATGTAAAAATGTTCGCATTTTCTGTTTGTTTCTGTTTGTTTTGAAATCCATAGGTTTTATTTATACTTTCACGGTATTCAATAAATCAACACCAGATTTGATAATTGATAAAGTTGAACTGCATAACAACTATGGTTTTCCTTCCGCTTAAAATATTCTGTTTTAAGAAACAGGTTTGTACTTACTTTTGAAATGTGCATGAACATGTACTAACATAAAAAGCATATGTATATTGAATTTAACGCCTTCATCAATTCATGACGTCTCCCACCCTGATTCTACTTAGCCAATATGGTTGGGAAACATTGTGCCAGCCTTATCATTCATTCGAGGAATAAGTCAGAAATGACATCACACTGGTCCTTGAAACATCACAAGCAAAATTTATCTTGGTTGTGTTAATTAAACGTTATTACTATACCTGACATGAGTTAACTATTTCCTCCGCAGGTCTGGACCAGCTTTGACAATGCACGCTGGTGCGGAGTGAGGGACAGTGCCCATGAGAAGCTAGCCAAGATGCTGACTGACTCCACACCAGAGGTAGGTGCTGTAATATCTATTGGTTTACAGCAGAGTTACAGCCAGAATTATCAGTGTTCAACAGAAGAGGGGCGGCGGTGGCCAAGTGGTTAAGGCATCTGACATTCTACTACCACTATCCCTCCACCACTTGGTCGCGGGCTAGAGACCTACGTTTGGCAGTCGCCAGGTACTGGCCGTAGGTCGTTGTTTTTTCTCTGGGAACTGACTATTCTCCACCACCAAAACCTGACACGTCCTTAAATGACCATGGCTGTTAATAGGACGTAAAACACAAAGAAACCAAACCAAAGTTCAACAGGAGTCTGTTTACAGCTTTGGTGTGAAATGTCTGTTAAACATGTTTTTTAAGGTAAAAAAAAATTCACATAGGTTCTTCTTAGGTTTTGAGTTCGCAGGAAACTAACATTTACAAGAAAAATGCTGAAGTATTTCATCAAATTTGAAATTTTGACTTTTATCAAAGAATGTTTAGTATTCAAGGTGCCTGCTATTTAATAGTGTCTTAAGAATCTTGATTAGATTGCCTTCATATATAGATGAGGAAAGATGCATGTTGTCAAAATAGGCAAAAAACTGAGATGAGCGGATGTGTCTTTACTTGTACAGGTGCGGGCTGCTACGGTGTACGCACTCGGGGCATTCATCAACAACAATTCAGCGGAGAGAAGTGACCACGCTAATAACATTGACCTTGGAGTTGCCATGACTCTGGCATCGGTCGGACAAGATGGTAACCCTCTCGTGAGAAAGGTTTGTCATGATACTGTGTAAGAACCATAAAACACTTTTGTACCTCTCCCAAGAAAAAAATTGTCATAGAAACAAATTATTCTATTTGACCATTGACGTTGTTTTCAGGGTGAGGGTGACTGAAAATAAGCATTCTACAATAGACACCAATAGAATTCATTCAATCTCTTTTTTATGCCCCCGCCATAAAATGAGGGAGGCATATAATGTTGCCCATGTCCGTCCCGTCCCGTCATGTCCAATCGCGTCCCGTCCGATTCGGTGTAAACGCCTAGCAACTTCATTCTTTCACGGATATTCGTCAAACTTTATGCAAAGGTCATTTGTGAGTATATCCTCGGACATCGTTGTTTCAGGGTTCCAAAGTCAAGTCCAATGTCACGGTTGCTATATATAGAAAATCATCAACCAATTCAGTGTCATCACTCTAGCTACTTCATTTCTTAACAAGTTTATGTGTTGAATGGTTCTAAGGTCAGGGCCAACATATTTCAGGGTATCAAGATCAAAGTGGTTGTAACTATTTATAGAACATCAACTAATTTCACATGGCGGGGGCGGGCATTCATGTCTTACAGACATTTTCTAGTTTCATCTTTGATGTTCAGTACTTTATATTAGAGTGTCTTATGTTCTTGCAATGTTGTCGATCAGAGGCTTTGGTTGAAATGTTTTTGAAGGCAAAGAATTCTGTTTTTTTGCAGTCATCACTGGTTGACAGTTCCATAAACTGGACTTTATATTTCAGATATTTTTATCAAATTAGTATGCAGAATTATCTTCTAACATCTCTAAAGATGTCAAATTCTAAACAACATACTTTCTAGAACTATTTTTATGGGGTAACTTTTTAATGTACATGAACAGAGGATTCCTCCTGTCATGAAAGTCAATTTTTAATTGATTTTTTTTAGCAAAAGAATATTGAAATGCAAGTGACCATAACGATTTGTTGTATAACTTTGACGCACATTTTACATTTCCTTTGCTAACCTGAGTTGTGTGTCTGTCTATAGGAGCTTGTGGTGGCGTTTAGATACCTGGTGACCCAGTTTGAGTCACAGTTTGCTACCGTGGCAACCCAGCTGATAGAGGAGGAGCGACAGAAGGACAAGGCGGTGCCTATCGTGGCTGCGGAGGCCCCGGGTGGGTGGAATGTTGTAGCATCCTCAGTTATCCCTGGTAACTAACACACACCTGCATGACTGTATCACTACCCTCCCAGGGCCTGCTCTGTTGTGGAAAAGCTGGAAAATGTGAAAAATAAAATTGGAGGGGGGGGGATGGAAAGTTTATTTTAGATTCATCGTGTACTCCAAATTTGTCTTTTGCATTAAAAATACAAAAGAATTACTAATTCTGTTTGAATTTGACTCGTAAGATACATTTGTAAGATTTACTTGGGATTTACATTAAAAATTTGTCAATTTGGTTTTTATAATCCCAAGGCATTGATACTTGTTTTACACACTTCAGATCAGGCCCTATCTCTCCACAAGCACTAGGCTAGTTTACTGTATATAGTTGTAAAATAGCACTTGGTTATTTTTGCATATTCATAGAATTTAAAGTTCCAAGGACTGTAGCAGTGATTTTAAATGTTATTTGATCGGAATTCTTCTAAATATAGAGTTCCTTGTATAGTTTGATACCAAAGATGTACTTTTCTCTATCACTTCAATTGTAGAGAATACAGCAGAATCTAAAAATTTATCTAAAATTAAAATATCCAATTTCAACTTTAAAACATCATTAAACATCATATTTTCCTTGGTTGATTAATCAATATTTAACTACATAATGAGTAATTAATATTTAATTACCTGATGAATAATTAATATTTAGCTACAAATAAATATGAAATCGTTTCAATTTAGATTGATTCATTCTGGTTGTCTAAAACAAATTATCGAGTTTTTGAATTGTAATACATTTCAGACGATGGAAACAATGTTTCCAGTCAGGTGATTGACATATTGACAGACCATGTGCTATTACATCAGTTATGTGTGGTATTGTTTATAAATATATTGTGTGGTATTGTTTATCAATATTGTGTGGTATTGTGTATCAATATTGTGTGGTATTGTGTATCAATATTGTGTGGTATTGTTTATAAATATTGTGATGTATTGTTTATCAATATTGTGTGGTATTGTGTATCATATTTTGATGTATTATTTATCAATATTGTGATGTATTGTGTATCAATATTGTGTGGTATTGTTTATCAATATTGTATTTGTGCTTTAATGAATTTTGGAATCCAGATGTATCAATTTCATAAATATAAACACTCAAATGTTTGCTTTAATCTCTAAGAGAATTGATCTCTGGTGTTGTTTTTAATCTTAAAGAGAATTGACCTCTAGATTCATAAGGATTGGCATCAGAAAACAAAATCAAAATACATTTTTGCATATTTCTTTAAAAAATAATTGATTTTCAAATATGAGCAATGCAGCTGAATCCGGCTCCAATTCAATAACATTTGTGTGTGAAATCATTTGTCATTTGTCCTTTGTCCTTCCCTTTTTCCTTCAGATATATCATTCTTTCTTTCCATGGGTTTCTGGTTGCAATTTCACAATCACCTTTAAATTGGAGGATGCATGCAGCTTCAGAACTTAAAAGAGATTCTAAATATATCACAAACCTACATAGCTATTACCACAGGTTTAAATCAATAAGAACTCCTTTCCTACAAAAATCTTTACTACCGATGAATTGTTTATCATCTTAAATTGTATTTGTTTCTGAACTTTAGTGTCAGTGTATTGCTAGGGCCTGTCCCCATATCACAAAAACAGCAAGGATGATGTCCCCAGTGTCAGTGTATTGCTAGGGCATGTCCCCATATCACAAAAAAAGCAAGGATGATGACCCCAGAGTCAGTGTATTGCTAGGGCCTGTCCCCATATCACAAAAACAGCAAGGATGATGACCCCAGTATCACGAAAAACTGTATACACTGTACCAGCAAACTTGATTTCAGTCAAACATTTGCCCCTCCTCAAGTAAAATCCATGTAATTGCTATAAAAAGTATGTTGTGTCCCCCGTCCCCTTCCCCCAGACCCCGTCCCCCACCTATCGCAAAATACCAAGGGTTTGTGCCCTGTAGTATCAACATATACCTTGCCCCCCGCCCTATCACAAAATAGCTAGGGCCTTTCTGCCCATGTCATGAAATGGCTAGGGGCTGAAAGCTAGAAAAAATATTTTTTGTATGTTAAGTAAAAAATATATTTAACATTTTTTTGTTCTGTATTTTAAAACTGTTTTAAACACTGTGCCTATCACAGCCTCTACTAAAAATAAAAATAAACTTATTTCTGAAATGCTTGTTGTTTTCTGTAAAGCTGGAATAGTTGTAATGTTTGGGCTGAGTTTGTAATTGAAATACTACAGAATATTATTGTTTGTAGGTGTATTTGCATATTCAGGTGTTTTATCATCTTTGATATCTTCCTAAACAATAGAAAATCACTTTCAGTTAAAATATATTTTTTATGTGAATCTGATATAATCTCTGTCCTGGAGTCAGATTTATTTACCGTAGATGTCTGTGTCATCCTGCCTACTACCAGTAGTCCTTTGCCTGTAGTAAAGAATGAGGTGTAAATACTGTTAAAAGGATGTTGCTCCCTTAAGTATATGTGACAGAAAACTCTTACCAGTTTGTAGTTTGTAATTACAGAAAACTCTTTTGTGATTGTAGTTTGTAATTACAGAAAACTCTTACCTGTTTGTAGTTTGTAATTACAGAAAACTCTTACCTGTTTGTAGTTTGTAATAACAGAGTCCTTTTACCTGCTTGTAGTTTATAATTACAGAAAATATTTGCCTGTTTGTAGTTTGTAATTACAGAAAACTCTAACCTGATTGTAGTTTGTAATTACAGATTTTTTTACCTGTTTGTAGTTTGTCATTACAGAGATCTTTTACCTGATTGTAGTTTGTATATACAGAGACCTTTCGCCTGTTTGTAGTTTGTAATTACATAGACCTTTTACATTTAGATATATACTATTTGTAATTACAGAAACCTTTTACCTGTTTACCATTTGTAATTACAGAGAACTTCGCGTCTGTCATGACCAGCGGAATGAAGCGTAGTTCCTCGCGCACCAGTGTGAAGAGCTTGTTACCCAGCACGTGTAAGCCCAACACATCCCCCCATGATCCTCCCGTACACACCCATACACACACTCCCTCCAATCTGCTCTCAAAGCAACGATCCCTTTATATCGGCTTACAATGTCCAAATATGTCCTTTACAATAAGGACAATCTTTATATATATATTGTGTACATTTACAGCCATTAGTGAGATTATAGGAAAAGATAAAAGAAACTTAGATTCAACATATTTGCATCTTGGAAGATTTTCTTCCAATCTTTAAAAATAGTGTTAATAGTACCAAAACTTTCGTATAGCAAAAACATAAAATGTTCTTTTGGAAATGATTTGTAAATTTGTTTTGTGATCCTGTAGAACCATTATGATGACAACAGGATAGAGGATAAGTAAGGAACTGAATAGACGGTTTGAAAAATCTGTATGCTGTTCCTGTTTGGTAATCATGCATGTAAGCCATTATACTTAAGTACTATAGCATGATAGTTATCCAAGCTTCAATCCACACAGGAGCCTCAGTATCATCCTTCCACCTTCAGTTTTAGCCAAAGAAGCTAAGCCTGTGAGATGGCTTGGATTACAGGGAGAGTAGAAAAAGGCTTATCTGTCCCCCGAAACACTGACTGGATATAGAAAAAGGCTTATCTGTCCCCCGAAACACTGGCTGGATATAGAAAAAGGCTTATCTGTCCCCCGAAACACTGACTGGATATAGAAAAAGGCTTATCTGTCCTCCGAAACACTGGCTGGATATAGAAAAAGGTTAATCTGTCCCCCGAAACACTGGCTGGATATAGAAAAAGGCCTATCTGTCCCCCGAAACACTGACTGGATATAGAAAAAGGTCAATATGTCCCCCGAAACACTAGCTGGATAATTGGGCAAGTGGATTTATTAGAGGTGGCTGGATAGATGAGGCTCACCTGTATCTAAGAGATAGGCCTTGGTTTGAAATACATCATCCCATTCTTATTGTTATAAATCCAGAGATGATTTAATGTGACACAAACTTTCGATGTGTTCAGCTTCAGGTTTGCAGCCGTCACCAGGCAACACAAGTTTCTGCAGCAGTATTAGTTCCATGGACAGTACCTCAAGTGTTGAAAGCATGTCCAATGTTCCGGACACGCGGGGCAAACGGGCAGGATCCAACCCCTCCATCCCCGGCCTCAGTTTCAGCAACATATACATCATGGTGTGGAAGACTCTTATACAACTCGCCGTTGACCCGGTCCACGAGGTCGCAGACATGGCTAAATACATCGTCAATACCATCAAACTCAAGGTATGATACACTTTTAAAATGCGTAGTTTGATAGCTTATATCGTTTCTATAGAAAGGGTAGTCTATAAACCTGAGCTAGGTCAAGCTACAGTTAGTTTATTTAAGAATTGTTTCTCAAAAAAGTTGCTTCTAAGTTCTTAGGAGGGGGAGTTGGGAATTGGTGTCATACAGACACAATTCTAGTTTCATTAAAAAAGTAAAAATGAAAAAAATATACAGTAGGTGCATGGAGGTAAATATTTGAAATACATTATTACCATTACATGTATAACTAATTTTATGACATTCTGGAGTCATTCTTGGAACATACCCACAGCTGCCAGCACCTGTACAGGGCTCACAGTGACAGTAGCCAAATTGAAGTTTACCTTAGCTACTAAAAATAGGATGTGGCCACTAGATTGGCTACTATATATGAAAAATAAACAATATAAAAGCATCCAGAAAAAAATGGTCTATCTAATCCTTTGTGTATTGTGGCTGACACCATCTGTGTATAAACAATCAGGGTTGTCACAGGTAAGTGTAAGCTGTACAGCTACAAACCATTGGTTTTTGTCTAACTTGTCAAGACAATTATTGTGAGTTTTAGACCACAGTGGATGATATCATTGGTGTTGCATTGATTGGCCGTGGCATCAAGTTAGTTAGGTTTCACATGGGGTTTCACACACAAATAGTAATTTTCCTAATTAGCCTATCAGATCACTTTGTTCGAAAAATGTACAAGTTCTAGATACCGATTTTTGTGTACATGGTCATCATTTACCTATTTTATAACATTTGTATCATGGCAAGCATGAATACATATGTCAGATATGCTGTATTTAGAAAGAAAACGTCTCTAATGAAACACCATTTTGAAGTACCAATTTTTGGACTTTGGCCTAGTATCGGATAACTTCAAACAAGACATCCTTTTTGCATGTTTTTCATGGATTGTGGTATTAATATGAACATTAACCAAAGTTGTATGTGAATGTGATAAATAAGTTTTTGTGTTCAACAGGCTACCACCACCTCAAAACCCTCACAAATGATACCCAACCCAGCTATGACTCATTCAGCCCCCGCCAGCCCCTCAAATAGACCTGTCAACCCAGCACAGGGGTAAGTCAGTACAAAGATCACAAAATATGCATATTGACCATGTTCATTCTCACCAGTGAATGCTGAAGGATGTTTTTATGATCTCCTGTAAAAGATATCGGAGAAATAACAGAACTTTTGATGGGGGTTTCTCCCACCTTTCACAGGTGTGTCTCCCGATTTAGCCGGGAAAGATCAGCTTGTCACCCATGTGTTCAATTGTGCCGTCATCAAAATGTGTCGCCGGTTATTGTGACATCATCAAAAGTGAATGGAGATATTCATACCCCACATGTGTTTTTGGCAGACTACTGTCGGTGGAGTTTTGACTGAAATAACAGGATGGGAGAAAAACAATCATCCCCTACCTTGAGGGTGTAACAGAGAAATCTCCAACCCCAAGGGTGATGTTTTTTTATTAGACAACCAAAAAACATCACCCCTCGGATTGGAGATTTCTCTGTCACACCCTCAAAGTAGGGGAAGATTTTATTATCTATTGAGGTTGCTCAGTGTAACATTTAATTATTGATCCATTTGCCTTCAGATACATCACAAGAACGCTCTTCTCAACAAACTACAGTGTGTAACCTTCCTTTGTTTACAGAACACCTCCTCAGAACTACTTGTTTGACGAGTCAGGGCGGCCTGTCACTGGTGGCATCAAGCGTGACTTCTCGTCACCACGATTACCAAGCACTACATCTAGTCCTTACACATATTCCACACAATTCAGTCGCAATCGGAAGATATTCGATAAAGGTCCTACTCAGGTAAAATTAAACTTATTACATTTGCCTCAGGGGTCGGTGATACAGTCAGGGTGACATTAGACACTATCATCCTTTAATGCATGAAGTATTTATTTTATTATACAGAAAGTCAATAACAAACAAAGGTTTGAATTGGGTAACAAATGTTGTATTCACGTAAATTTTTCAGAAAATAACAGTGAACAATTCAAACTCAAAAAATAAATTAATCTATGAGTCTTGACTGCTGCAATCATTTTGACTTGGTCACTCTGGAAAATCCAATTGTCACTCTGGAAAATCCAATTGTACGATCATCTGGTACAGCAGCCAACATAGTAACTACGGCATTGTTCTGCAGCCTTTCATTGACTCAATTTTAAATAAAATGTATCAGTGAGAAATAAACAAAATGTCTGGACCAATTAGATTGCAGGATTTTCACATGACGCATATTATTATATATTGATCAGAGGATATTAGCTCCTGTAGGTCGTAGACAGTGGTGATAGTGGTGATTGGATAATCAGGACTTGACTGTTTTTTGAAAATACTGATTTAAATGTGACCCACTTTACATCACTCCCTACAGGTCGAGGAGAAGGAAGACGGATCGGCTAGTCGTGTGAAGCATCCATCTGTGGTTTCTACCGATTATTTCCCCTGGTGTTGTAAACATTTTGCTCAGCCGCTAATGCGACTTTCAGACGAGCAGGATCCGGAGAGCTTCCCACACCATGAACGAGAGTACCACTTCACACGCAATGCTCATGTTAGAAATGAGGCTAAGGAAGAGCAGCTGCGTGCAGGTACGATGTGTAAACCTCCGAGTAGGCATTAAGGCCAAAAAAAATTGATAGCTTGGTTCTCAGGCCCGCGCGCATTTCATGGCAACGTGCGCATTGTCGATTTTATCGTGAAAGTAATAATAAAAAAAAATCGTGAATGCGCCAGCCACCATCTTAAAAAAAATCTGGAAAATTGGTCCGCATGTCGGTTTTACTCGTTAGTCACCGAAGTCCCAAAACGTTTGAATAAAGGTAAGGATTGAGATACAGGCAAGCGTTAAAATTATTATGACTTATTAGTCTTGTGTACAAATGGCGCTCATTTCGGTACAAATAAGGAATGGCGGGGTCGTGATTCTCGTCTGGGACATTGTGGGGGGGTTTTCGGAGGCTTGCTCTATGACGAGTCTCTACACAACTATAAAAAGGAAAGGTAATGTCCACAATGAACGTTTTACAAACTACACAATGAAAAAAAATCACGGTCGTCTCGTTTTTGCCATGTAAAATGGGGAAAATTAATACCGCCCTACCGCATCTATTTTGAAAAAAATTGGCCTGAGAACCAAGTAATTAATTTTATTTGGCCTTATGTATCTCTGTGTTTGCTGAATCCCACCTGCTTGGTTTAGGTATTGCTGTCTGTAGGGTAAATAGAGCTGTAGGTGTGCTTTATTAAGGTATATGGCACTGTTATTGAACAGTTCATAACACAGACCCAAAAGGAGCTGAATAAATGTACAACCTCCCACGCACATATTACAGTTATATAGTGGCAGGGCCCACTTTTCAGAACACTTTAAGAAGAAAAATGCTTTTTCAATGCTACAGCAGTATATATTTTGATTGTGTGTCTATATGTTGGAATATGATAAAGTAAACACAAAACTAGCACAAATATCCACCGAAGAGAAATCGTGGTATGTACTTAGCTGCAGGATTACTTGGCTGTTACTTAGGCATTCAGCACTAGGTTAAGTTTAGGTGTGTAAGTCTAAGTACTACATATATTACCTCGGCTTTTAAGAATTTACATTTTCCCACTTTTGATTTTGAGCTATTCTTCGCAGGTTTTAATCGACTTGATGACCAGGTATTTGTAAATAGAAATCCAGGCATACCCTCTGTGATAAAGTTTCACCCTTACGAGTCCTTCATGGCCGTCGCTGACAAGGATAACGTTAGGTAAGAGGAGAGATTGTGGTACCGCCGTCACTGGTAACTGTGCCATATACATATGGTAAACAAACTGATTTATTTCAGGAAAATAATAGTTTTCACATTAACTTGCAAGAACATGACGTCACTGATTTGAACATCTGGTAAATATGTATTCAAACATATCTTTGCAAGGGTATATAAACAGTAAATTGTGTTCCATGCAAACACACTTCTGGTAATTTTTACACTCAAGCAACCTAAGTTCATTGATAACAACTAACTTATGATGATAACTATTATAATTTGTTGTAGTTTTTGGAACTGGGAACAAGGAACCAAACTCGGGAGTATATATAACGAAAATCCAAAACACACCAAGATCACTTCCATAGAGTTCCTCAATGCTCACGACGATACATTAATGCTGACTGGCTCAGGTATGTACAAAACAGAATAATGGTTCTTGGACCTATCTCTGTCAATTCAAATACTGATGGGAAATTTTTGCCCATTCAACTTTTGTCCTTTGCTGTAAAATCCATTTTCGTTCTATGTTAAATTGCTCTTCACATTTAATAACTTTGTATATTATGTTGTTGTTAACAAATGTTCGCTGTAACGATAAATCCTATAAAATTAGGCTACAGCGGTATACAGTATAACTTGCTCATCCCAAGGCCGCTATTGTTTATTGTTATCCGCCTGGTTTGACCAGAGTTTTCCGTTTATGAACTAAGGTCGGACCTAGTAATCTGATGTTGCTTTCAGGCAAACCTTGACAAAGCCTTGCAAAGTCTGAACATTTAAAAACAGACACACTGGTTGTTTCGCATAAACAAACAGGCCCCAGGTTAAGAAAGAAGTTGTTTATCATATCCTTAAAAATGAGTAAGCATCCACAGATATGTAGGTAGGATAAATTGTTTGATTTTGTTATTTATTTTTGCTGTTATATACAGTAACACTCTACTTCCAACTAGCGAAAAGTCAGAATTTTCAATTGCTAAACATTGCTTATTATGTCTGACAGTCTCACCTTCAAATAAAAGGGCGACAATTTAGAAGTACTATTCCTGCATTTTGTAATAACATCTTGTCCAAGCTGTGTGACTTTTAAGACATTTAAGACATCTTTGTAAAACTTGAAGTATACCTACATCAACCACAAATAGATTAACCACAAAAGGTGCAAAGTGAAAAATTAATGATTAAAGGTTTGCCTGGGGCCTTTCTGTTCTTGCACATCAGGCACAATCAGAGAACAGTAAATATGCATATTGTTGGCTAACAAGGGGAGACACATGTTTTAGTTTATGAAAGCAAATCTCTTATTTTCTCGTATATTGACTCAGCGAAGAGAAATACAATTAGATAATTGTTTGGAGCAGTCTAGGTGCAGATCAATATTTTGTGTTGCTTTACATGTATTTGTCTCAACGTTTTGTTTCTCAGATGACGGAGCGGTGCGGATATGGAGGGACTGCCTAGAGGATGTGGAAATAGTGTCTGCTTTCCAGGCTCTGTCCGACATGATCCCACTTTCTAGAGGTATACTCCAAGATCAATACATTAGGTCTTAGATTTAGCTTGCAACAATGGAATAAAATTCATCTGCCATATTCAAAGGGATTTTAATAGCTTTTTCTTAATTTGATATAAGGGATATCCACATTGTTGAAAACATTCTATTAAATTTAAAATCAGGGGGAAAATTATTCCTATTAATGACAAAACATATTTTTTCAAAATTAGTTATGAATAAATTCAATCGATCTTGGCCTGAAAGTGATATTTTGATTATGGATTTACAGGCTCTGGGCTGGTGATTGATTGGGAACAGGAGTCGGGCATGTTACTGGCATCAGGGGACGTCAGGACCATAAAAATCTGGGACTCGCGGTCAGAAATGAAACTTCAGGTCTGTATATCATTAATTATCTCCCCTTGTAAGTCAGAGGTTGTTACATTAAAGGTCAAGGTCACAGTTGCTATAAATAGCAATGTCAAGGTCAATGTTGCTATAACCTTCATGTTGTTGACAGTAACAGTCCTATCTAGTCCTGAGAAATAAATAGAATATTTATATATTGTACAAGAATTGTTGTTTATATGTTTATCAAAAGTGTTTTGTTTACTAGAATCATGTTTCCCTCAAAGTTATTTTTTCCCATACTTTCTTTCTTGTAAAAACCAAAGTTGTCATGATTTGACAAAACATTCTCAAGTCCTTGATTCCGTGTATTTGGTTTTATTGTAGGACATACCTACTGGCGCAGACAGTTGTGTTACGAGCCTCGCGTCGGACTCTGTCGGCCGCTCTCTCCTCATAGCTGGCTGTGGGGACGGAACTGTACGCCTGTTTGACAGGAGGCTGGGCCCAACAGAATGGTAACCAGACATTGGTGTAACCAAGTCTTTATTGATTAATTTAATTGCTTAAAAAAATATTTTGATGACTTTTATGATCCAACATTATGACATTAAGGAGGTTTAAAACAACCAGACCCTGAATAAACTTAGGCTGTATTGACCATTAAGTAGATAAAACTATTTTCTCTGGTTTTGTTTGACAGTCGAGTGATGACCCTCAGGGAGCACAACCACAGAGTCCTCAATGTTCACCTACAGAAGGGGTCAGAGGGCAAGATTGTCAGCACAAGGTAAGGGTCAATAGGTCAAGGGTCATCGGTAACAAAAAACCTTTTATCAGTCTAAAACTGTTTCTTACTCCAAAAATTGTTTTGTTGTCGTGTTTATTTTTTTCTGATATTCATATCCACATTTAAAAATGAGATACTTGTAAAAGCACAGTAATAACTAAAATTTAATAAAATCAAAAAACAAAAATAAAGGGAAAGAACTTTCTACAGCACCACTAGTTCATGCCAAAGACTTCTTTTTGACAATTTGCACCCAGTCTTTGTGTAAAACTAACATTCCAAGTCTGTTTCAGCAATGGTGGTGACGTGAGGTTCTGGGATCCGAGGTTTACAGAGTCAGTCCGCGTGTTAAATCTGCAACAAGGACTTACTGCTGTTGATATGCATAACTTAGCTGATGTCATAGCCTGGTAAGTTTCTGCTGGAAAATAGAGTTAAAACTTAGAACATCTTGAGATACATTATAACTTCCAAGGTAGTTACACTAATTTATAAAAAACAAAAGTTGATGTGTTCTAATTTTTGCCTTATTTGGCTGTAACAATTTTTCCGGGAGAAAATTTCCTCTTATTATTAAAAACAAGTTAATTCATCATTAGTGAGAAGGACTGTAAGAAATAAGATCCCGCATTTTGGCAAATCTTCAAAAATTAGGACTGCGAAAAAAAACCTTTACTTTTCAGTACCTGCCCTAGTCAGCTGTGAGATCTCCTTGGGATGAGAGCTTTTCCCTCTTGTTTCCTGCTTGATGCCGGTTTGACACAATCTTAAATCAGAACTCTATAAAGTGTCGTTTACATTTCAGTGGCTCTATGAACCAGTACATTGGCGTCTATAACCAGTCAGGGGACAGTCTGAGTACCATTAAATACCACGAGGGCTTCCTTGGACAGAGAATCGGCGCCATCAGCTGTCTGGCCTTCCATCCTTATAAGGTAGGATTGTATGTAGGGAAGTACCAGAGTAGAACTGTCCCTATAAGGCACAAACTCCCACCTGACTTTGGACTTCGTCTGTTCCTAAAGTCCTTCAAAACAAAAATATCTAACCGTAGGATAGCTATTCAACTTGGATGACAATAATACCCTTAAATTTTATAATCTGGACAATTTCTCCAGAAACCAAAATGTCAAGTACGATTATTTAAGCTCAGCGGTACATTTCTTAACCAGAAATATTACATATAAACATATTTTACAGCAGTTCTGAAAAACGTTTTTTCAACTTATATTGGTCACCCTTGTTGGCAAAGATGGAAATGGTCAGAGGGATTTAATGTGGGAGGAAACCCTGAGTACCCAAAAACCCACATGGTCAGGCAGATGACCCCATACATTTTCACGTCTGATGGGGAAGTCAACCCAGGTCATCATAGTGAACGGTGATTACATTATCAACTGTGCGCCACATGAGCACCTAAAATATTGGAAAGATGATGAAAAAGGAACAATGACAAAAAAAAAAAATCATCTTGATTACAATATACTGTCAGAGTATCTTCTGATATTATGTTTGTGTTTTGTACTGTTCATCATTTTTCTGTTTCCAGGTCAAGCTGGCTGCTGGAGGTTCCGATTCTTTCATCTCTGTGTATTCCACGTCTATGAAGCGTAGCTGATAGCGGCTCCCCCTAGGTATTTCTACAGCTGTGTGTGTTATTCGAGGATTTTCTACCATGTAAACAGGTGGAAGTGTTGTGTATCTAGTGACTACCCTGCTGCCGCTTTCCATTTTATTTTTTAAATAGCCAACATTCAGTAGTTTAAACTTTTGTCAGTTAAATAACTCAATTAAACTGAATATTTTCAAATGGAAACTTTTATGAAATGTTCTAACGTGTTTTCCTATTTGCCATAATTTGTGCCCCCTCTCCCTCAGTAAGTGCCCCGTCTTAATTTTATTCTTGTAGAAAAAAGTTTGGCTACCCATCTCTCATTTTAGTGTCTAAAGGATGCTTACTGTGGCAAATACAAGTATTATTCAAATCCATTAATCTCTGGGGTTTTAGTGGTTTTTAACACTTTGGAAAATAATAAAACTTGAACAATTTAAATTAAATTTTCTCAAAATGCTCAGATTTTAAACAACCAAGCCTCAAGCCAAAACCAATGTTAGCTTGAAGTTAATATGTTAAGTTTTAAAAATGAGATTTTAGACCGTACAGGTGAAAATTTTCAATACCCAAACAAAGAAGTAAAGATTTGAAGTGGGTTTTTTTAATATTGAATACATCATGTATGAAAATTCTATTTTGGATTTTTTTGTTGTTGTTGTTGCTAAGTGTGGTTTAAATTACTGGGCTCAAGAGTTCTTTGATTTGTTGGATCAAATATTAAAATGATTTGATTGGAATAAGCGGACACTGCATGGTTAAGGGCCAAATTAAACAGTTGACTTAGTTTAGTAAAATATGGAACAATGAGGCTACAGTTGGCTGAAGACTGGTGGAGTGATTGGATCACATCGGAAGTCCTGGCTGAATTTGAGACGGCTGGGTATCAGTATAGTACTAACATTGAAACAGCCCGGAAAAACTCAGCCAATATCTAAACTATTGCCCCACAGCTAAAATGGTTCTGACAAAGGTGAAATGGTCAGACCTATTTTGGAACAATTATACCAAAGTTGGAAAGATTGGACAAAGTTGGAACATTTTAGCCAAGGTTTGCAGTATGGTTCAAAGTTTGACCATGAGGGGCCAAGGTCATGATTGAGTGGGAATTGTTTCCATGGATACAGATTTTTTTGCAGGGGTTACAGAGGTCTGAAGTCCTGTTGAAGTATTTTTATTTTTACCTCCGATATTGTTATGTTTTTATGTTAATATTTGCAGCTTCTCTCATAGAAATAGGAATAAGCTTCATAATAATGCTGATATTGTTTCTAAGTTGCATTTGGTTTTTTTCAGAAATTGAAAAAAAAGTTTCTTTGATATATTTTGAAATGCCAGCTTATTATGTTTATGGGTTTTATTTTGACAATGTGACAGTATACCCAAACCAAAGAAAACGTAGATGGCAGCCCAGTGGAATACAACTACTGGTGACGAACATTTTATTGATCATGCTTAGATAATTTACTTTGCATATGTTTGTGTGAATTAAGCTCGCTGAAAAGTTAATACAAAAATATGAATACCTTGCAGATCACGACTTACATAAAGAGACGAACTGCTGTCAATCGTTTTACTTCAAAATGATTTTTTTTTGCATTCTGAGTTAAATGTGTTGATATCTTTGCTTTTTAGGCCAAATGAAAAAATACATTATCCTTTACTTTATATATTGAATTATATAGTTCAGGAAAAAAAATATATAATTGAAACAAAACCAAAATGGATTTTGAAATTGTTTCTTATGTTTTGATGGGTTTTTTTCATCCATGTTTATACATGTATTTATTTACTGGTCAAATAAAAAAAACATCTTACGGGTATCTATAAAATTCACAGTAAAAACATTATTTAACAAAGCCCAGGACTAATGAAATATGTTCAGGTAAAATTTGATCTTCACAAGATGATAACTTGCCAGTGACTTGGCTATGAGTATGTACCAGGGTATTCATAATAAGAGTGTTAAGTGTGAAACATGTTTTAATCCATTGTTTTTTAGTGGTTGTAAGAAAATAGGATTGTCCAATGAATCATTGCACCTTCCTTGTTTTAAATAAATTTTAGAAATTGTGTAATGGTTAACTAAATAGATAAATGTTTTAGCCTAATTATCACTCCAGGAAGGGGAATACTTGTTTATCTATTCTACTCTGTTCGGCCTAATAAACATATCTCTACAAAACGTAGAGCTTCAAGAGAGTTTGGTAGATTCAGGGCTACAAATGGAACTAATAATCTGTTTTTAACCCCAAAAATGTGTGGTATAGGCCGTTTTCGTTTATAGCGGTCCAACCAGAGTTGTTTGTTTATGAAATAAGGTCAGACCTATTAATCTGATGCTGCTTTCAGACGAACCTTCACCAAGCCTTGCAAGGCCTGCATAAACTATTGCAGGTCTGCCATGATTTTACCTGAAAATTTTACATTTAAAAAGGGATGTACCGGTGGTTCTGTATAAACGAACAGACCCATGATAATACCATTACATTTGTTGAAAATGTGGATTACTCTATAATAGCGGCACTTTATTTATCAGAAAACATTGGAAACTGCAATTACATTTTTTTTTACACTGCCATCAAAATGTCTAAAATTTATTTCAACTTTGAATTGCTTTGAATATAAAAACTTGGTGAAATTTTACCAGAACTAAACTAGGTAATGCTTATATTTTACAAATGGTTTTATTTAATTTATTTTTACATCTTGAAATATACTGGGGTATTTTGAATACAAAGTCCACAATTGTTTTTGCCTTTGTAAGTGTTCGTCTAATAAGACCGTGAGTAGTTGTCCTAGTGCAATAAGACTGTGGACAAGAGGGCATTAGTTTAATAGGAGAGTTGACTAGGAGTTCCAAGTCTTTTAGGACAGTTCATCAGTAATGTAAATCTTAAAAAACTTTTGACTTAACCCTTTCACCACTGTAGACCATAATGGACTCATCCATATCAATACATGGTAGAGTCTACAAAAGTTACATAGGGGTGAAAGGGTTAAAGCATTAGTCTGATAGGTCTAGTAGCATTAGTCAAAAAGGACTGGTGACTAGTAGCATTAGTCTAGGTAGGACTGGTGACTAGTAGCATTAGTGTAGGTAGGACTGCAAGCTAGCTATGTCTGTCTAGCATGACTGTTAAGTAGTTGTATCATTCTAGTAAGACTTGAAAAGTAATGTCTGTCTAATCGGACTGTTAATTGATAGTGCCTGTCCAGTAGGACTTGACAAGTAACTTAAGTCTAATAGGACTGTTAATTGATAGTGCCAGTCCAGTAGGACTCGACAAGTAACTTAAGTCTTATAGGACTGTTAATTGATAGTGCCAGTCCAGTAGGACTCGACAAGTAACTTAAGTCTAATAGGACTGTTAATTGATAGTGCCAGTCCAGTAGGACTCGACAAGTAACTTAAGTCTTATAGGACTGTTAATTGATAGTGCCAGTCCAGTAGGACTCGACAAGTAACTTAAGTCTAATAGGACTGTTAATTGATAGTGCCAGTCCAGTAGGACTCGACAAGTAACTTAAGTCTTATAGGACTGTTAATTGATAGTGCCAGTCCAGTAGGACTCGACAAGTAACTTAAGTCTAATAGGACTGTTGAGTCGTAATGTCTCTAATAGGACATCTGACTAGAAAAGTGTTGTGCTAAATTTAAATTCTGTGAATTTGTTCCTGAAACAGTTTCTTGTCGCAGTTGTGTTATAAAACACACATGAAAGTGGAAATGTTTATTATGCTTTTGTTGATTATTCTGTAAAAACTTTGTGTAAGTAAAAACTTGATGTGAATATTTAACTGCTATTGTTTATAGCAGAGGTATTACACATAGGGAAATAATGAAATATGGAAACTGAGTTATTTAAATGATAAATTATGAGTCATCTGTATCTTCACATTACAAGTACTTACTGCAGAGGTGGCAGACTTCGTCAGTAGTTGTGCTAGTTATTTTTCCTTTGTTTTAAATTTGTGCTGTATTAATTGTTATGTCCCTTTTATGTATGCTGCGTACATGTGCATGTGTGTATTAAAATTCTGTGTAAGCTCTTCTGATTTTCTGCACAGAAGTAACCCTTTCTCTAGTGTCTAAAGGGAACTCTTTAGACAGTTAATTGATAATTATGCAACCATTTCTATGTAAGACATGCAAAAGTAAAACTAGGAAAAATCTATTAAAAGTCTATGTCGGTAAATTTGTTTTTAATTTCATTTGCATTTGTTGAGATATTTATGGTACCAATATACATTTTACCGCACTCGTTTAAGTTAAAATATTTATTTCATATAATTTCCTGCTGAGTTTAAATGCTAATTCATTTATGTATATAATGTACTTTCAAATAGATTGTCCATTGGGTTTTTTTCTGTTTTAATAATCAGCGTTATTTCATATCCTAGCTTTACACTCTCTTCTCCATGAACGAGCTGTATACATGTATCTGCGCATGAAATGACACTACATATGTATTTCTCAAATGACAAATTATTGTTAGTATTATAGATATTCAAACAGTCTTTCATTATCTTCTCTGTCGTTGATTTATCCAAGGATAAAAGTTTGTTTTATTGTGTTGTCTGTGAAACAAAGAGTGCGTTATAATGATCACTCCTTTGTTGTTGTCCGCACAAATGCTTCCCTTGTGATCACTTTTGAAGGAATATTTTTCATAAAGCTTTCTACAAATATCCTAAGCATCAATTGTTAGCTCAAGTTTGATTTTGAACCAAAACTGAAATTCAACATGGCTGCCAGTGGCCATCTTTAATTTGCAAAATAGATGCATGGTTTCTCAAGTTTGATTTTGAAACAAAACCGGAAATCAGCATGGCTTCCAGTGGCCATCTTTAATTTTTAAAACAGATGCTTGTTTTCCGTATAATAATTCTTAAAGGAATGTTTTGATTTCCATTGAACTACTTGTGCATGCCTACAAGATAAATAACCCCATTGAATTTGATTTGACAAATCTGAAATTCAAGATGGGAACATGTATGTAATTATTGAAAATTGATTACTTATGATTTTCTCAATCATGGTGTCAGACATTAGGGGAATATGGTACCTACCATCATATGCATCTCCTATCAAAAAGCGTATTCAAAGGGAGATGATTCTTAAACAAATCTCTTTAAAAAGTAACACATTGGGAAGTGTATCTCAATGAAATGAAAAAGATTGATCCTGAAATCATACTATGAAATTATTAAAACCAATATACATTTGTGGTGCTGTTATGCAAGTAATTTTTTACGTAATTGATCATATAGTATAATATATGAACAATAATAATTACAAATTTTTATTCAATTAAGTGCTTCCATAATTCAGTTCCCTTCTTTTTCTATTATTTGTCTACCATAGATTATACCCAAGTATATAAGGACAATTTCTGCTTGCACACAATATGAAATAAGACATAATGTTGAGTTGAAAGAGGATCCAGGAAATGAATGGAGAATGTGCGAGTGTGTGCGAGAGGATAAAGATGAACGTTAGATTTGTATTTCATTATCTCTGTTATATTAAATGTTTATGAAACCAATGTTTTATTTCAGGGTTTCGTTAGGACTTGAGTTTGTAGAGCGTTAATCTATCGGATTACAAACCACCCTTTTAACATTAAAGCACAGTATGCAATTTGTGTCCTTTAAATTGTGTCATGTAATCTTGTCAATTGAATTTTGATGTAAATGATGGTATCATTGAAAAGATAATAAGAAAACTTGTTTTGTTTTGTTTATTCCTTGCTAGCTCACCAGACCTAAAGTGATGAAATTAAACCTATGAATAGATTTAAGTTAATTTAAATGAATGACCTTAATCTACTTTCAAGGTCACCGAGGTCAAATGTGTTAAAAGTCTTTAAATGACTTCTTAATTACCTGTTGATAAAAGGGGATGCTTTTTGTAAATAGCATGCTGCAATGAAGGACTACCAATTGTGTTCAAATAAACGACCTTGACCCACTTTTAGTGTCACTTGTGTCAAAATCTTTTAAGTGACTTCTCAATTACCAAAAAGGCTATGGTGATATTTGGCCTGTAGCATGCTGGGATAAAGGGTTTTCAAGTTAATGACCTTGACACACTTTAAAGGTCACAGGGGTCAAATAGGTTAAAAACCTTCTTACAGAATCTTCTGAATAAGCAAGAGTCCTAGGTAATGACATTTGTCCTGTAGCTTCATTTAGTTCATTAAGAAATGCCAGACTTTGGTTACAGGGAGATTAAAAGCAGGTGAGTAACAGGCTCATGTTATTTTCAAATTTAGTTCTTCTTGCATGAAATTGGAATTAGGGTTAATTTTATTTGTGCACGATCCTGGACACATCATTGTTCAAGACATGTCTTCTGTGGGTGTGTCTCACCATGACACGGAATCTGGTTGTGCAGGAATTGATTAACTTGCATTTAATACAACTAGCAGTCAAGATAACTCATGCAGAAAACCTACATAAAGTAGGAGCCAAAAGGAGGTGATACAGAAGAGTATCAATTCCTGCATCACATGACCCGATTAGAAATCTAGTCCTGACATCATGATTCCAGACTTCTTCACTGGCTTAGATGGTTGGTGACCTTCATAATTAATGGATAATCCTCCTATATTTTGAGATTTTTCTGCTGTACATATATTAAAGAAATATATCCCGTTATAGATTAAATAACAAACATAATATATAGCAAAATTTCAATTTTCACTTTTCACATCATGTCAAGAAAGTATGGCCACCGTTTAAAAATATATTGGCCACTGAAATTGACACTTGGATACTGATGTTTAAGGTCCAGGGTGAGCCCAGGTATATTGTGATTATTTTGTCAAAAATTGAGAGAGAAACCAGTAAAATGGATGTTTGCCACAGTAAAATCATGCTATACCAACACAAATTTCAAATTACCCCCATTCTGTTTTGTGCATTTTCTTCAAAATCTTGGCCTGCTGTCGGTTGGTGACGTCGGGGAACATTCAAAGTCATTGGGGTCATCTCTATTGTTGGTGACTTCATTGATAATCGATTTGACATCATAAAGAATTGCGATCCAGGCTTCATATGTAAATGAGAAATTTGCAGACAGTATATAGTAGTTCTGCCTGATTTTTGGTGGTGGGACTAGGGTTTGGTAAGATGTCTTCTCTGTTCATTCTTTCTTGGATTCAACTCATCTATAAAACTATCACATTGAACAATAAAAGAAAAAAGGTGTTTTTTTTAATTTATTTATTTTTCATCACAAGTGATCTAATTACCAGTATAAATACACAATTAAGTGATCACAAATTGAAATATTGCATGATACATTCTTTTCCATACACAAACACACTGTGCCATTCAAACACAATCAACATACAAGACATTATAATGATGCCCCACATACCGTCCATAATTAATTCACCAATGATTATATATAATATGAAACTCTTGTTAAATGCCAGCAATGCATTTTACACATAGATTTCACAACGCTTGACGAGCCTCGATACCCATGAGTTAATTAGCAACCCAGTTGATAGCTACCCATGAGTTAGTATTCAGTCACACTCTCAATACACATTGAATGGAATGCACACTTTATTTCTTGATTTTCCAAGAAGTATGATAATGGTTAGTGATCTTTTTTTTTTACAAATTTTACCACATGCAAAGTATTAAAAGTCTGAACTAAACATTAATAAAACTAATATTCACACCTTGAACACATTGGTGGAAGGATCTGTAATCTCGTCCTGTGCTGGAAATTCTCAACATTCGGTCATACCAATATTTAATGGGACATTCACACGAACAGACGTTTTATGGCTTGATTTTCAAAAGAAAGGAGAATTCCATTACAACCGGAAATTAAACACTGAACAATTACAGTAAGCCTTTGATCACAGTGTAATTGACAAGTGTTTTTTTTTATGTATCTAACAGCAAACAGTATGCTAATTAATCACAGCGACAACAATGCATCTGAAAGGTTCAAGATTTAATAAACTTCTAGAACAGAGGCATATTTTTACACTTAGGCTTGAATGTCCCTTTAAATATTTTTAGCATAAAAACATCAGATTTATGTTGGTACAATTAACAACACAATAATATAAGGTACAACTCACTTTGAACATGCATACAAAAACTCCACTCAGGTTCATGAACTTGCACACTAAGAAATTTGTGAGAACACGTAAATATTGAAGTTTAGATCTTAGGATAGACAAGAAGAAGAAAAAAAGAAGGAGCAATAGAAGAGATAGGGAGGAGAAAAAGACAGAGAAAGACAGAAAAAGACAGAAAGTGTTGAAGGATATGGATCTTTAGCACTGAATTATTTTTTTTGCTAAAAAATGAAATAGGTAAAACACAGAATTATTTTTTTAAATTTGTATGGTAAAATAAAATTCTCAATTTTTGGTTTAATATGTAGAATGGCAAACTTCAGTATGAAAATGACTTTTACATAGACTAAAAAAGTACAAAAGAAGCAAAGAGATTTTTTTCACCAATTATAATGCACAAGTAGGTGTTTCCTTTCTATAATCTATATACAATTCCTTAACATCAATGAGACTTATATAGAGAGATCAAGGGAAAATGTAGATGGGGTATGGGAGTCATAGTCTGTAAAAAAATCCTAAAACATCCTCCATGTGCAGGCTGATATGATTGTTATTCTGTGGGGAACTTGATATTATAGATTACTACTGGGTTTCAGAACAAAACATGTGTTACAAGGCATTTCAATACCATAGTCCCATTATCTTGATAGAAGAACAAATGAAAAGGGTGCATGGATTATTAAATATTTGATTAAAACTGTTTAAACACTTTGATAATCAAGGCACCTTCATTCTGACAGTAAAAGTTGGCAGGATTACTTGTAGGAAAATTTTGTCTAGAACTAGATGGATGGTGGGAAAACCAGTTTATAGTAAAATGCAAAAATATAAAGAGGGAAAAAAAAAGGTAGCATGGAACAATTTTTGAACACTTTGCCTTCTGCTTGAAATTTTCAATTGGTGGTATTAATACAATAAGTATATTAATCCTCAAAATGGTCTTAATGTTGCCTCTGAACATGATGAAAGCACTAACTTACTAAAATCACAGAATATTTATCAAAGATAGAAAAGTTTCAGTTTTGGTGCAGTCATTTACCAGACTAAACAATAGTATTCCCCATCACTCAAAAAGGCCAAATCGGACAAATGGTGACAAATTTTGCCTTTTAATAATCAATATCTGCAGGTACGTGTAATATGTTTTACAGTAGAGTTTACACACAATTAAAAAAAACAAAGAAAAATCAAGGATCTTGCTTTTTATATTGCCTATTAATAACTGGCTTTATAAAACCTTACGGAAGTGTGTATGTTGTTTCAGACTGACAAACATGTAACACACAACTTTTAGATTTTGGCCTAATTTGCCGATTTTACACAACACCTCCTACAACTGAGGAATGATCCAAGATATGATAAAATCCATGAGGTCACCTTTCTTCACACTATATACATATTATCCATGGTCTCCAATGGAAATGCTATAAATGACTTTATCACTTCACTGTTCCATACAGCACTGTCATGCATAAAACATTCCATAAGTACATAAATGTCAATAGGCACTCAACATGCACAAAAGCACATCCTGAAGTTGAACCATCTTGCTTCTGAACAGTTTTGACTTACTATCAAACATTCTTCCTGTTGATTATTTTTTTCCCATATCGCAGGAAAGTCAATATTTGCATAAAACTTCTTCCTGCAATCATAAGCACATGAATAGGAACCCTGTGCCTGTTTTTTGTTCATCTGGCGGACAACTACATGTGTGTATTCATGAGGTCCAAGTTCCATATTTGTTATCTTTTGTGACTAGAGATCAAAATGTTGGCGCCGTGAGGTTTGCTGGAAGCCCGGACTTGTCCAAGTTGGCAAAGTAGGTATGGTTCAGCGCCCTCTTGGCAGAGATTCTATATGCAGGGTCGTAAATCAACATTTGCTGGAAAAAAAATGAAAATTGCAACAACTTAAAATATTTATTTTTTTCCAATATACAAGTTTACCAAGTCATAACGCTAAAGGCTATTCCTATAAAAGATCTTCCAGACCTCGGCCCATGATTTAAGTGAGTTACAAGAAGGTTGGTTTGAGCACAGTATCCATGCTTGAGCACGAGAACGAATTCAGGAATACGGGCCCAGGACTCTTATCCACGGTTGATTTTATTATTCAAATTCAAAAGGTGTTACATCTAAACACACCCTGCAGTCCTGGGATGGGATATATGTTTTTAAATCAATTCAATTAAAAAATGTTCTACCAACAGATGATAGAACAGTTATGAAATATTTCACATGCCAATGAAATTAAGGCTGAATAGGTCAAAGTTAAAAAAACATCTTTTGAGAATTGCTTTACTGAAATGTACCTTGTGCTAAAGCTTTGTCGTAATATTTACCTGTAAGATGTCGAGACCAGTGTTGTCCAGCTGTTTGACCGCAGAGGCCAGCTGGTTTGTCCTCCAGTTAGGGAAGGTTGGTTTGTAGTCTGGCATGTTTGTCACTCCAGGCCAGTCTTCCTCAGTGGGTGTGGTCAGCGTCCTGATAATCACAAATGTAAACATTCAGGCACTTGCAAAATCCAAGAAGTACTAGTAGAATTTTCCATTATAGTACTAAAATACATTCCCAAATATGAAAATCCCTATTGTAATTTGACATTGACTAGTTTGATGTAAATCAAAAGAATCGCACCCAAGCATAACAGTAAAATTGACTGATTTTGAAGTCAGGTGTTGTTCCTCTGTAATCTTCATAGGATGAAGCTGTATCAGCTTAGCAATTGGTCAGGTCTTTTTTTTTTGCTATGACACATTTTACAGGTGCAGAGAGCATAACCACTAGAGTATCAAGGATGTAAAAGATTTGGTAGGAAGTGTAGGTAAAGGTATTTTTTGTCTAAACTTGATTTCCATATTTTTTTATTTTATTTTTTAGTAAATACTGTTTATATGTTAGCACAAAAATGGTCACCTGAATATTCGGAATAGTTGATCAATTTCAGAATCTCCATGGAACAGTGGCCGCTTTGTGATCATTTCGGCGAATATACAACCTATACTCCAGATGTCAACAGGTGTTGAATATCTCTGACATCCAAGCAGAATCTCTGGGGCACGATACCACAGCGTCACAACCTAGACAAGGATAACATTCGCCATGTAAACAATGGGCATTTAAAACAACATGACTTAGTATCAGTAAAGTTTATATAAAAAAGCGAGCCATTATTTTCTGAGTGTAAAATTTAAATCTGTCAGACACTTTGTGGAATGGTTTCTTTTCCTGAAATTCTGCTTTCCATATTTGAATTGTTTTAAATTGAACATGCATAAAAATCCAGGTATTGAGAGAAAGGCCCCCAAAACATGATGTCTGAGGCAGTCTTATTAGACACAATATAAGTGTATCAACAAATAACAGGTTGAATGATTTGATTTGAATAAGATCTGTCTTTCAAAAATTATCTACATCATGACTGCAGCAAAAAAGAGATGTCTATGATGTGAAAGTGAATTCTTTTATAACCTACCTCGTGTGTGTAGACCCTAACAGGGATACCAAATGCCCTGGCCAGACCAAAGTCAGCCAGTTTGATGATCCCCTTATTGTCAATGAGAAGGTTCTGAGGTTTGAGGTCACGGTGCAACACTCGTCGCTGGTGACAGAACAGGATACCCTGCATGATCTGGTACAGGTAACTCTGTGAACACGAACAGGAAATCAGGTATTAACTACTCAGCTGCTGGTCGAATAATAAGCTCCTTCGTATGTGGGTTGAAGATAAGGAAATTTAACTTGAGCCAGATATGAAATTTAGACAAGTAATACCTAAAGCTGAGCTAAGGGTAATTACTATTAATGCATAACTACCCCACTTCACAATAAACAAAGTGGTCTTACAAGATTAACCAAACCCAATTTTGCAAACTTTTGCACACAAATCAATAAATCTGATCCTACTGTCTTACACAGTTAAAACATCATCTTTTTTTTCAAATTTAACATACCCCAGTATCTGCAGTTTCCCAAATATGGCTTTTGAATTTTCAAATTTTATGACATCACATCATTTTTATCCAAAGGTACTAGGTAATGCCATTCACATGAAACGGGGTGTAAAATGGAAGTTGTTTACAACTCTTTGTTGCCATTGATTCAGTCCAGGTTGGGATGTTACAGAAGCTCTGCCAAAAATATTGTCCTTGGGACACTTACCTTGACTAGCATTTTGTCCATGAACTGACCGGACGGTATTGAGTCCATGTAACGTTTCAGATCCATCGACAAAAACTCAAACACCAGAAACAGTTTGTTTTCTTGCATGAGAACATCTTCAAGTCTGAAACCATTTATCAATTTGAAATAATGAATCAAATATAAAAGATGTGTGTTTTTACCCTCCTTTCTCCATGTTTTGTTCCATGTACTTGGTTTTACAATTACAATTGACCAATGGTATTCAACTGATTAAACTTTTCTGAGGTTTTTTTCAAGGTTTCATAAAGATTTGGCAAATATTTCTGAATCTCTTTTTCGAAACATTCATTATTACAAAAAATATCAATTAAAACCAGTGGTACTCTTTAGGAGAGGGTTGATGTTTCACAACACATAACAGCTGTTACAAGATGCATTGAAATGAAAGGTTCACAAATTGTTGAAATAAGTACAACAGATCATTTTTAGTTTTTTGCAATGTTCTGTGAACAGAAGATAGAGAAGAAAGGCCCTGATTCTTTAGGAATCCCATATAAGCCGAAACATACAGAGGTGATATCTGGCATGACTTGTTTATTGCTTTTAATGATTAAATTCTAAACATCTGCATTTTGTTTTCATTGGCTGCATTGAGAACCAATGTCTTTAACTGAGAGAGCCAAGAATGAACAGATGTTTCATCCATATACAAGAGATAAGAGGATTGTTCAAGCAACAGTCATTGAATTTTGAATACAATGAGGTAATTCACAAGCTGATGTCGGTCATTCATTTTTTTTATCATTTTAAAATCTGTAACAGAACGTTTTGAAGCAGATAAAAAAGAAGTATATAAGGAATAAAAGTAATCAAATAATTGAGTAATATTTAATTTGTGACGTCATTTTATCAGTGCTGTCATATGACTCAGGATGTCAATGGTCAAATGACAATGATAAATGAATAATAATTTTCTCCTGTCATATACAGGTTGATGGTATCTTGCATCAAGCACCACACAAAAACATACCCTACAATATTGGGATGCTGCAATTCTTTTAACAACGATATTTCTCGGATTGCGGTGGATGGCACGCCTTCCTCTTCGCTCTCCAGACGGATTTTCTTCAATGCAACAGTTCTGTTTGACTTTTTGTGTCGGCCTTTATATACAACTCCATAAGTTCCTGTTAACATAAACGATGATTTCATTGTATCATTTCTTTTTCTACCAGTGTGTTATAAGTATCTCATGTTCAGGTTATTTGTTAAAAAGCAAACTCTTTTTTTTATAGATTTGGCAAGCCAAACAATAAATGAAAACGCTCAAACACAAAATTTGAAAATTTAAGTGCTTAAGTGCGAGGAATATCGCGACAGCTCTATAATAAAATGTGTTTGCTTAAATCCACCCAGGAACATATTTTTAAAATGGTATTAATATAATAATTCCTTTAACACCATGTTTTGATTTGCTGCATGGTTTTATCTTTTCATGTACTGTACACTGTCAGCTTATACATTTGCAATATTTTGGTTAATTGCAAATGACAAAATTATAATGAACCTGGCTGTGGTGGAATATGTCTACATACATTAAAACCATTTTGGGTCTCTGTGGAGTGTAACATATAGATAGATAGATAGACATATACGTCAGTATCCTAAAATCCGATCAACTTCATAATGTGGGATAGACTGTACAAATGCAACCATACTCTGAACACTTCTTTAAATATAAACAAGACACCATGGTAGTTAATGACAGCTAGATGACTGTCTTTCAAATACAGGAATGCTAGTCGTTTCAGTAACAGGTTGTTTCGGTAACAAGTGGTTTCGGGACATATAAAATTTTCATAACTTTTAAATTACATTTCCCTCCCATTTCATAAAAAGTCCTGTACACAAATATGGATTCAGTCTATGACCTGCGTCACAACCTACCCGTGCCTGGGTTGATTAGTGTTACGTGACTGCTAGAGCTTGAGGGGATACCTACCAACATTTACCTGATTAACAGTGTGTTAATTGTTACCTGGTGAAACTAATCTCATTTTTAAATACAGATCTAGAGGAACTTATAAAATTCAAAATTCAATTTCTTTCGTTATTAATAGGTTGATATTGTAATACATGTAATATGTTTTCAATTCACTATGGCTACATTCGCGTATCCAGGTTGAAATGTTACGTGTGGCACAAAAAATTTCCACGATAAACCAACACACTTGGACCGTTCCATAAGCAGAGCTAAAAATCCACACTTTCGGAGAATAAAAAAACAATGTATCAAGAATATTATGCCCTTCTTTCATGCGTCCACTGAATTACATAATGTATCTTAAAAACTACATGTGGCTTGACATTGTTTTAGAAAGAAATAACGCAATTTGGCAATAGTCAGCATTTTAGTTTCAGTCATGTACGTCTGGACCCCTCAATCTACACGTACCAAATTTTCGTGAGGTCAGCCTTGGTCCAAACCTGTACCTGTCGTTTTCTTTACAGGTTCAACCGTTTCAACCGGATAGTGAATGTAGCCTATATTCTCCATTATTGACATTAAGACGATTCTAACAATGTTTTAAACATTTTGTTTTTGCTATATTGAAATCAAATTTCACGAAAGTAAAAACGTGAGACACATAGACTATATTTTAGACATGTGAATCAATTTATCAAATCCAATGTTGTGCATTATCTATTCATGTTTTATTAAAATCATGGTAAATGTATAAATGTATGACGGGAGAAGGTTATGATAAGTTGCAATAACTTTTATCCAATCGATTGTTCAAATTTAAAAAAAAACAAAAAAAAAACGAAACGACTTTTGACATGTCCCGAAACGACCCGACACCGAATACAGGACTACGTAAATTATTAATCTTAAATTATTAATTTTATGAACTGTTGATAACTGATCTCAGTTTTAAATATGACGTTTATATTTTCCCCTTATTACTGATTATTTTGTTTAATAGTTCTTAGCAATACCGCACCTTCACCAATTTTCTCAATTTTGATGTAATCCTCCATTGTTTCTTTTCTCGGTTTGGTGTGAAAAAGAGGTTATTCCTTTTCAGTTCTCTTCAAAAACTGTTTCTGAAATAACAAGAGTCCCATTACCTATATGATTAATGTAAATATCCACATACACTGATAAACATGCGACTGTGACTATGTATTTGTTATTGATGGTGTCTTCAGAGCGGAAGTCCGCTCAAGTTTGAACATGTTGAAATAACGAACTTTGATTCGAGTTCATTGGATGGCAACACAGCTTCTATAGTAGACATATTCAGCATGATATGAACATGTACGAAGATTAGACGCGCATATGCGACGCACAACTGCTTATATTTTAAATCTAAATTTTCTAATATTTCAAAAATAAAATCGCCATTTACTCGCATGCCGTGTGAACTCAGGATTTCTAATGTTTTGATCGTTTCTTGCTTCTTCATCAATTCAAATAACAGAAATGATAACATATTGATAACGGGATACATTTGCGTAATTTCAATATGAACAACTAACTTTTAGCTGGTCATTAACAATTAATTAGACGAGAAAACTAATTCACATGTGAGTTACAAACCTTTCTCCACTTCAGAAATGCCGCTGTTTCGAATCATCCAATCAAAGTCGAGGTTTCAAAATGTAAATAATATACATTCGGGAAGCATCGGACCTTTTCAATTTCAATAACTGTGGTCAGGTAAACCCACAAGAAATCCGAATGAGCTGAGTCTTGTGACAGAAATAAACTGAAAGCTGTGCAAAGTGGCAGGTAGGTATTCTCTGAAATAAACAGCACGTTTCTTTGACATGTAACATCTATATATAGGGCGATTCATACACACTAGAAGTGTCGTTTGATCTCAAATTTGGTAAGTATTACTCTCTTGTTTATTTGTAATAACCCAATATAGTGTACAGTATAGTCTGGTAAGTGACCTGTCAACAGAAAGTGGAACACAACACATGTGATCCTGAGTCAGTGTTCGAACACTATCAATATGTTTATCAATCAATATTTACGTTATGTTATTAATTTCTACATCAGTTAATCATCTTAAACATAATGCAGATATATATGAAGGTAGATTGAGTGATATCTTTTATATGTTATTGTAAGAAATATTTCACAAAACAATTTCTTGGAACGAAAATAATTAAACAGACGCCCAGTCACCTTTTATATGTTTTGAGATTAAGTCGCCTGATGTGTTACATGCATGTGATTAGATTTTTAACAGAATAATGTATGTATCATGTGTTTGAGCAAAATTACTGAAATCAATTGTTACCTGTAACTGTTTAAAGTGTCTCTGTTTTAATAAAAGAAACATTTGCATTTTCAGATTTAAATTTAAATCAAAGATGTCCTCAGGTGCACCTCCACCATACCAGGAAGTTCAAGGGAGTCAGCAAGGTAATTTAACCGATTACAAACAATTAAAGCAATACATGTTTATTTTGTTAATGTGGTGACTCAAGTGTAATTTTAAACCAGGAAATATGTCCTTGTAATGTACATGTAGTCAGTACTGCTTTAATATAGCATACACAGTTCCTATATGTCAATATATTAATAAGTTTATTGTTAAGGGGCAAATGTATTTTATTTTGGTGTAATTTATTAATATATCTCTGTGTTTATGAGATTTACTTACTTACTTAATCCTGTTCGTGCTTGGAAGCACATAAGGCCTTCACTGAGGATCGCCATCTCTGTTTATGAGATTTAGGGTATACATATTTAGCAAGATTTTTCACATGGTGTACACTGAACAGTGATCAATCAACAATTTATTTTCATCTGTCCTTTAACTGTATTGCTAACAACTGTATTGCCAAAAACAATGGGTCCCACAATGTTAAATGTCAGTATTTCCAGAAATTCTTTGAGTCCCATCAAAATTCTATGAGTATAGGACTCTGGAGTTGTATGTAGATTGATCACTAGGTGTATAGTGGCAGGGAAGCGGCCCTTTAGATGGCTGCGATGAAGTTTTCACCGGCAGTAGAAAGTATTGATACAATTAGCAGTTAGGTTTGTTTGTTTGGGGTTAAATGTCCTCGCAACAGCCAGGGTCATATGCAGACGGGTGCCTATGGAGACAGCACAAGAAACAAAAAGAAAGACAACAGGAAAGAAAGAAATTAAATAAGATCCCAAATGTTGCATGATGGGCAGCAGAACAATTTTGGTCTCTTCCATGTCTCCTTCGTAGGAAGACAGAAGAAACCCCCTGATTTTGACGGAGCCCCCACATAAGTCGCCTCTTACAATCATGCAGTGGGATACAGCAGGCCTGTTTTCCCCAGAACCTGCACAGGTTTAGAAGTTAGGTTGTTATCCTCATCCTCCACATTCCTTCTCCAGTATCAGGAACTGACTACATGTACCAGTACTCTTCACTTGATGATAGCTTTCCTTTCTGTATATGACTACACTTATATAACTTATGGTGTACTTCATTCACACATTGTAATAAGCCACTGTAAAACCTGATATATGGTTCTATACTGCTCTAGATCATTAAATCTCAAATTTGCAGTTACTTTTAAACTGTTTAATTATACATCTGATGACTCATAAGGTCATAATTTCAGTAGCTATCTGACTTAAAGATAATTCAACAAATGATTTTTTTTTCGTTTTTTCGTAAACAGGTTATGGAACAGCCCCTGGAGCAGCTCCTCAATACCCCCAACAAGGGAAGTATCCTGGGGGACCACAGCAGCCCCAGGGAGGTTATACCAACCCTGCAGGACCTCCTGCAGGAGCCTACACTGGCAACCCATACACCAATAACACTGGCGCCCCCTACAACAACCCACAGCAGGCTGGGTACAACCAGGGGTATCAAAGCTACAGTAATACTAGCAATGTAGTTGTCCAACAACAGCCTGCTCAACAGGTGGTCATCGTGGGAGGCTGTCCAGCCTGTAGGGTAAGTCATTGATCAAGTTGTTGAGGAGGGGACAGTGTGTCAAAGGTGGGCATTGTGGGAGGCTTTCCAGTCTGTAGGGTAAATCATTGATCAAGTTGTAGAGGTGGGGGCAGTGTGACACAGGTGGTCATTGTGGGAGGCTGTCTAGCCTGTAGGGTATGTGATTAGTTATTGGTCAAGTTGCAGAGGTGGGGACAGAGCTCCTAATGTGGTCATTTTGGGAGGCTGTCCAGCCTGTTGGGTAAGTCATTGGTCATGTTGTAGAGGGGGGGACAGTGTGCCTCAGGTGGTCATTGTTGGAGGCTGTTCAGCCTGTAGGGTATGTGATTAGTTATTGGTCAAGTTATAGAGGTGGGGACAGTGTGCCACAGGTGGGCATTGTGGAAGGTTGTCCAGCCTGTAGGGTATGTGATTAGTTATTGGTGAAGTTGTAGAGGTGGGGGCAGTGTGACACAGGTGGTCATTGTGGGAGGCTGTCAAGTCTGTAGGGTAAGTAATAGATCAAGTTGTAGAGGTGGCGACAGAGCTCCTAATGTGGGCATTGTGGGAGGCGGTCCAGCCTGTAGGGTATGTGATTAGCTATTGGTCAAGTTGTAGAGGGGGGGGCAGTGTGACACAGGTGGGAATTGTGGGAGGCTGTCCACGATAAACCAACACACTTGGACCGTTCTATAAGCAGAGCTAAAAATCCACAGTTTTATACATGTATTGAACATGTAAAGTGGGCTATACACTGCTACTACAGTTTAATACAGGTGGGCATTGTGGCGGGCTGTCCAGTCTGTAGGGTACGTCATTGATCAAGTTGTAGGGGTGGGGACAGTGTGACACAGTTGGGCATTGTGGGAGGCGGTCCAGCCTGTAGGGTATGAGATTAGTTATTGGTCAAGTTATAGAGGTGGGAACAGTGTGCCTCAGGTGGTCATTGTTGGAGGCTGTTCAGCCTGTAGGGTATGTGATTAGCTATTGGTCAAGTTGTAGAGGTGGGGACAGGGTGACACAGGTGGGCATGGTGGGAGGCTGTCCAGCCGGTAGGGTATGTGATTAGTTATTGGTGAAGTTGTAGAGGTGGGGACGGCCCCCCTCAGGTGGGCATTGTTGGTGGCTGTTCAGCCTGTAGGTTATGTGATTAGTTATTGGTGAAGTTGTAGAGGTGGGGACCGTGTGACACAGGTGGGCATTATGGGAGGCTGTCCAGCCGGTAGGGTATGTGATTAGTTATTGGTCAAGTTGTAGAGGTGGGGACAGAGCTCCTAATGTGGTCATTGTGGGAGGCTGTCCAGCCTGTAGGGTAAGTCATTAGACTTTATTGTGTATCATAATAATTTCATATCTTTCATGTTGTTATAGTTTTGGTAACTGGTGTCAGATCAAGGGTGTATAAATTCTGGGCTTGTGAAATTATTGTAAAAATATAGGTGGTGTTAGAATTTTTCAAAAAATGCCTCTGGACTAGTAATCTTAATATGAAATTGTTACACCCCTGGGTGATTGTAGTAAAAGAAGTGAAAGTATACACAGGTATCATGATTATTTTCCAGCTTAAGGTACAACATCGTCAAAAAATGGGCTTTTCCAGAGATAATTGTATGGGGTGTTAGGGATCAAGGCACTTATAACTGATAAGATTTGACTGGCATAGTCTGAAATGTATCTGTTGTTTAGGCGAGTGTCATTGCTGGGCATTTTATAAGAAAATTACACAATAATGTTGACCAATGTACACAAATATAACATGATATGAATAATTGCCATGATTTTGACGTACTGTTGCTTATTCAATTTTGTTACTTATTGTCCTCATCATTTATTGCCTAACAAAATAAAACTTTTAATCTCTTCAATATTCTTTGTGTATCTATTGGTCATAATTACCAAATGTACTTTCTTTTCTTACCGAACTATTTTACTGGTGATAAGCCCAGGGGGACTGTACATGAAAAAATGTCTGAAGTGGGGGTGGGCTTATCACCGGATATGAGGCTGTGTTTTACCAGTCGTAGACTGGTCATTGTGGTACCCCATTTTGGTTCCAAATACCACAGCTTACCGAAAGTGGTAGTAGATTGTTTTATAAATATATATGATACTTAAATGTTATGTTTCATATTGCAGATAAACTTAAATTAATCAATATGTGTACATAATTTGGGTGTTGGCAGAAATGAACCAATTAATAAATAATAAAAATTGGACACTGTAAACCATATTTTTGACCAAAGATATTCCTTTGTGTTGACAGGTTGGAGTGTTGGAAGAAGATTACACTTGTCTCGGGGTACTGTGTGCCATTCTCTTCTTCCCCCTCGGAGTTCTGTGTTGCCTAGCTATGAGACAAAGACGGTGTCCAAACTGTGGAGCTGTGTTCGACTGAGGTGCCCAAACATTCTAGTGGGGCTCTCATGTTCCTAGCCTGTTCAGCCTAAAGAAATGATAACGAAACATTTGTTTGTGTCTCTAGGTTTTGTAGAGAAATTTTCCATGATAAACGAACACACTTGGACCGTTCTATAAGCAGAGCTAAAAATCCACAGTTTTATACATGTATTGAACATGTAAAGTGTGCTATACACTGCTACTCTTGTTTCTGGGTATTGTATCAACAGTATGGAAAATGTTTAAGTCAAATTTGACAATTATTGAAAAGTAATTTGACATAGACAACATCCCAATTCCATTTTAAGGTATGTACATTTTTGTAACAGAATTAATGGACAACATCCAAGTAACATTTTAAGGTACTTCAATTTTTTTGTAACAGAAATTAATAACAGATTTCTTCTTTCTTTTGAAATATTAAATTAATCTTTTTAACTCCTTCACCCCTGAAGACACATTTGACCTCTTCCAATTCAAAGGTGGGAATAGTTCATTACGAAATTTCAGGGGTGAATGAGTTAACCAAAATACACATGAAAGGATATATGCTACCTTATGATGACTGGTATCTTCGAAAGAAACCTGTTAGTTATCTTTAACAAAGGGTAAGTTTGACCTGATTAATTGATGACACACTTAGAATGATCAGAATTCAATTACTAAATTTGTGTCGAGGGAGGTCATTCTTGGTCAGTATATTGTACTGGGTAGCTTATTCCCTTAAGGGCTTTGAGGGGTTAACCAATGTTTTGTTAACTGTATATATGTTTTCTCTTTGTATGAATTGTATTTAAAAATGAGAATATTCATCATCAAGATTGAAAAAAAAATGTGAAAGATGGCAGATTTTATTTTAAATTGAAAAATGGATATTTTCTTCAAAAGATGGTTTATAAGGGGGGTGGGGGAGGTCGGTATTTATGTTAAAAAGAAAGTGAAAAAATTTCCATAGGTATACAAATGGAGGTTCAATGAACTTTTTTGTACTCACAGACAGCAGGATGCGATATTGCTAGTTGTAAGATTTTTATCATCCATTTACAATTTTCCCAACCAAATTTTTTGAAATTATTTAAACATGCTTAAAGCCTTGCTACCCTTCTTTTTAAGTGACACGATTTCATATGCTTACCTAATGCCTAGTGCTGTTATAGTTATTACTCTATCGTAGTTTAATTTTGTGGGTATAACGGTTTGGTAGTTTGGGTTTGAAACTTCATTCTTAATTGGTACTTAATTTTTCATCACATAAATTACATTAGAATTTCTTCAACTTTAAATGAATTTTCAAAATTCACAAAAAGCACATGTTATAAATAAGGGGGGAAAAGAGACTTTTGACACATTTTTTGTTGAAGTAATGTACATGTATATAAAACACATTCACATTCTACAGGTGCACTTGGTACATGTTTACTGTTAAAATATACTGTCAAAGTTACCCTAAGATTTCATATCAACTCAACATTTATACATGTGACTTTGAGAAAAATTTGGGACAAATTTTGGAAAGATCTTGAGTTGAAATACGATCATACAGTGTTTTATATATAGGCTTATTTTATGTTTACCACAATGAATTTCAAACTATATTGATGTGGATATAGAGGCAGCAATAATTGTGTCCACTAATATCCTACTAAATGTATTAACTCCTATCGGCTTTTCTTCTAAGAAAGAATGAGTTGATTTCTATTTATAGCTTTTAGTGCAATAAAGTCTGTTCCATATTACTACATGTATTTAGTTTAGAATTTATATAAATTATTAATATTCATGTCCATATAACTGTAAATCTATTTGCATTCAGGATGGTGTAGTATTGAAAGACAATTACGAATAACGATTTTAAGAATGCTCTTTGGTTTATAGCATTAATCAGCCAGAAAGAACTTCTCATCCTTCTTCTTATATAATAAGGTAATGGAGGTGTGCCACAACAGAGTTCAGTGTATTTAATTGTAAACCAGTATTATCACATTATAAGAAGTAAGACCAGATGAACGAAGTTCAAAATTCGAAACTTTGCAATTTTTTTTATATTCTTCTTAAGGAAGATATAAATATATAAACAAGTTCAGTATAATCTTTATCATCCAATGTCTTATTCTGTTTCATTTGAGATGTAACGCGGTATTTGATTGGTCAGTTGTAATAATTTGTAACAGTATAGCCATGATATACCATCCGCATATTTCTCTTTTGCATATGAAACCCGGATGCCAATTGTTAATGTCAGTGACCCCAACTGACCCTGACACGCCATCAAATTGATTATTAATGATATCATGAACAATAACGTGACCACGAAAGGTCAATGTTATTTCACTTCCCTGAGTCACTTTGAATGTAACTGATGTCACCATCCACAGCAGAGTGTCATCACAAAGATTTAAAAAAAAAATAAACAAATATATCTTCAAATTGGTGTTCTATCGATGGTTTTAGCTGAAATGAATAAGAATGCGGATAATCCTACTGCGTTTTGAGATTTGCGTCTGTTTAATGTGAACGTACTGTCACAAGTATCTGTTTTACTGGCTCTGCTCCATGTTGCGTCACCAGTATAACCATGATATACCAACATGAATTATCAAGTAAGGTTATTCTGTAAGAATGACGTTTCCAATTTTTCAAAAAATGATTTTCATGTACGGATGTGTACATTGTGCTGTATTAAAGGGAAATGGTTGTGAACCAGGATCAGTTGCTTTGGAGTTGAAAAAGGAAAAAAGGGAAAAAAATCAATCATATCAGTATAGAAGATTTTTGAGTATGATATGGTAATATTTATGCAAAAGAAAATTCCCTAATACAGCACTTGTTATAATTAGCAGTAAAGAGGAAATTTCAAATTCATAAAATTATCATCAGTGACTATAATACAGTGAAACCTGTTTAGAAAAAACCCTGAGTTAACCGATATCTTGTCTATTCTGACCCCTGAGTATTCTGACATCATATATGACATGGCTAATCCAATAATCAGATTTCTTTACATTAGCTACAAAATAAAATCGGACAAGTCCAAACAATAGGGGTCATATAGGACAGGTTTCACTGTATTAAACATGTTTTTCATTAAAAGAATTATCAGTATTCACCCCTTTCATTAATTGTAATTTGTCATTGTTTACATAATCACATAAGATATTACACGATTCAAATTTAAACTTGTTGAAATAAACCATACCATTATAAGACGTGTTTGTTTTTAGCTCACCTGTCCAAAGGGCAAGTGAGCTTATGTCGTGGTGTGGCGTCTGTCGTCCTTCCGTCGTCCGTCAACTTTTCCTTTAAACAACTTCTTCTGAAGAATGAACATGCTTAGAGTCATGATATTTGGCTGAAAGCTTCATTGGTAGGAGCCTGACAAAGTTTGAGAATGAAAATGACCTTGACCTACTTTCAAGGTCACAGGGGTCAAATATGTGAAACGCTTCAAATGACTTCTGAAGAAGAACTGAAAGGTATATAATCTTCATATTTGGCTGGTAGCTTCCTGGGATAGAGCCAGACAATGTTTGAGAATGAAAATGACCCTGACCTACTTTCAAAGTCATAGGGGTCAAATGTGTGAACCGCTTCAAATGACTTCTTTTGAACAACTGAAAGGTATATAATCTTCATATTTGGCTGGTAGCTTCCTGGTTTTATGTCTCCCAATCATATGAAGGGAGACATATTGTAATAGTTCTGGTTCTTCTTCTAATTTTCATGTCAAGACAATAACTTTTAAACCATGAAAAGATATCTCTGTCTTACAGTATAACTATATCGCCCATAGATGATGTGCGATGCACCATCATCAGGTCACTGTGACCTTGATCTTAGGTCAAAGGTCAAATAAGTGCAAATTTTCAGTGGTTACTTTTAAAACTTTTAAACTGTTATAGGGTACTGTGATATTCCATTTCTTGACTTTTTAATTGCATGAATATATATATATATATATGCAAAACCAGCAAATATACATATTGGCTAATACATCATCGGATAAGAATAGAACCTGTAGCAGATATATAATTCTCTCTAACCTACATCGGCTGTAAACTTTCCTGATTTTCTGTAGCCCTATTGAGTAAGTCATGTTTTAACATTCCACAGATTTTGCACTTTACTATTAAAAGAGCAGTGGGACAACAAGGGCCTTAGCCGTCACCCGAGTTATATCATAGGTACTGGTAGCTTAATTTCATTGTTTAGATGTGATGTGGAAATCAGCATGTAAACTAAGTGAAATACAATACTCGTCGTGTCATCAAAGGATAAGAATTTTAAAATATTGATAAATGTTCCCTTTGGGGCCCTGCCCTAGCCCCTGGGGATTGGGCAGGAATTCTAATTTTACAATGTAATACCCTCATGCACCAAAGATGATTCTGACCAAGTTTGAACAAGAGGCCCAGAGGGCCTGTATCGCTCACCTGGATATCTTAAGTTATCATGGCAAAATATTCTCAAAATGAGATCCAAGGGAATATTCCAGACCCAAAGGCCAACTCTTGTAGCATATCTGTATTAGATTTTTCATGTCCAGCAATTTTTATGTATGGTTATGGAGTGGGTATCTCAACTGTTTCCAAGCTGTGACTCAGAAACTAGGTCCCTAGGGTTGTGGCCAGACCCTGGGGTCAATTATAATATCATGACTGCATTCGTCTCTGTATGCCCAACAATTGTATATATAGTTTTGGGGTGGGGATCTTAACCATTTCAAAGTTATGACCAAGGGGTTAAGTCTCCAAGGGTAGGGCAGTCCCCAAAGCCATCCGGGAAGCATATGTGCATTCATCTCTTTATACTTAGCAATTGTATATATGGTTATAGGGGGGGGGATCTCAACTGTTTACAAGCTGTGACTAAGAAACTAGGTCCCAAGGGGTCCGGTCAGACCCCAGGGTCTATTCTAATATCATGACTGCATTCGTCTCTTTATGCCCAGCATTTGCATATATAGTTTTGGGGTTGGGATCTCAACCGTTTTAAAATTATGGCCCAGGGACTACGGTATGTCTCCAAGGCTGGGGCCAGACCCTAGGGCCATCCTGGAAGCAAATGTGCATTCTTCTCTTTATACTCGGCAATTGTATATATGGTTATATGGTGGGGATCTTAACCATTTCTAAGTAATAAACTATTTTTGGCCCCACCCCTAAGCCCGGGGGGTCAGCTCAACCATTTAAACAATTTCTGCTGAAAATGGATAAAATATACTCAAAAGTCTTATTTCCCTATATAAACTATAGTAAACTTTACCCCTCCCCAAGGGGCAACAGATGGCTCAGGGGTCCTGAAATTGACAATTTCAATAAAGCTCCTGATAATCTTTCTATCCATGCACTGAAATTGACTGGAGAAGAAGATTTTTGAAATATTGGTGAACTTTCCCTTTAGGGCCCGTCCTGGCCCCTAGGGTTGGGGTAGGAATCCCAATTTTACATTTTAAAACCATCTTCCTCCAAGGAAAATTCTCACCAAGTAAGAATAATTTCCTACAGAAAATTGCCAAAAATATACCCAAAAGTGTTGTTTCCCTATATAAACTAAACTTAACCCTCTCCCCAAGGGAGAATGGATAGCTTGGGGGTCCTGAAATTTACAATTTAAATAAAGTCCCTGATGATCTTTCCATCCATGCAGAGAAATTGGCTGTGGTACCTCCAAGTCTGCGGAGAAGATTTTTGAAAAATTGGTTAATTTTCCTTTGGGGGCCGTCCTGGCCCCTAGGGTTGGAGTGGGAATCCCAATTTTACATTTTAAAACCATCTTCCTCCAAGGAAAATTCTCACAAAGTAAGAATAATTTCCTACAGAAAAATGTCAAAATATACCCAAAAGTGTTGTTTACCTATATAAACTATAGTTTATTTTACCTCCTCCCCAAGGGGGAACGGATGGCCCAGGGGTCCTAAAATTTACAATTTAAATAAAGCCCCTGATGATCTTTCCATCCATGCAGAGAAAATGACTGTAGTACCTCTGAGTCTGGAGAAGAAGATTTTTGAAATATTGGTTAATTTTCCCTTTGGGGCCTCGCCCTGGCCCCTAGGGTTTGGGTAGGAATCCCAATTTTTCAATTTTGTAGCCTCTTCTACAAAGGATGATTCTGATCAAGTTTGAAAAAATTCCATCCAATGGTTATTGAGAAGATTAGTTGATAATGTAAAAAGTTTACGCACGACGGACACCGACGGATGAAAAGTGATCGGAATAAAAACAACAAAAATATTCAGAACTTTATCATTTTAATGATTTCATTTATTGATTAATATATGTTGATTTTCATACACATTTTATCATCATTTCTTCTATCGAGATTTTTTTTTATATTACAGAGTTTTGATGAAAACAAGCTTTATCAGTCCATTTATGGAAATAAGTCTGATATTGTTTAAAGGATTATCTATACAATGTACTGAAATTTTTTAATTTCAAAATATTTTGTAACCCAGAAAAATCATTCAATATTTTATAAGAGGATATTAGTTAGCAATCTTCTACAAATGTATTTAATATGTAAATGTTTCAGTCCTGAAGAAAAGATCGACTATTATAGCTAGAATCATTGGGGGCATGGTACAGATCCCTAACCTCACGGTCCATATATATGTGTAACTTGAAATACATAATGGACACATATACCGCCTGGGGTTTGGGATCTGTGTCACGTAATACACATATATGGACCATGGGTGTGGGATCAGGGACATGATATAATACACATATATACAGACTGTGGGGTTTAGGATTTGTGCCAGGCCCCTGTGATTAGAATCACTATAATAGTACTTGATTAATATTTTGTTATAATAAAAAATTATCAGCCATCACTCACACCTTGACCTTGAAATAAACACCCACTTTCATTTTCACATACTCTCACATGGTCATACATGTATCGTCATTATAACATGGTATTCACTTGTTATACATATTTGCTGTTTCCATTATTTATAGAAATGCAGTTGTGATATCTGCTTGGTCAGATCATGTAACACATTCATTACAAAAAACAAATAACCAGTACATTTCAAAAATTCAAACATCAGGACTGCCGGAAGTGGATACCCAAGCTTAATCGTGTCTCTGAGATGCAAATTCTCGAAACAAATATCACATGATTTGGCAGTCACATGGTAGATTAGTGGGGTTTGTTATCACAAGGAATATTGGTTAATTTGGATAAAAATGGCCAAAATGAAAGAAAATTAATGATGTAATTTTGAAAATTTTCCTACATGTATTTAATGACTAGCATTTCAGCAAACAAAAGTTTTTAGATATAAAAATCCTTGCGGACATGCAAATGTTAATGCAGGTCTTGCAAGGCTTTGTCAAGGCTTGCCTGAAAGCAGCATCAGATTACTAGGTCCGACCTTATTTCATAAACGAACAACTCTGGTCTAACCGTTTGGATCGTGATAAAAGACGGTGACCCTGGCTTGTGGTATCAGATGCATGTTGAACAATTGTTCAAGTTAAGCTTTGAGTAATGTTGATTGTTTTGTTTACCTTACTTGAGTAATACAGGTAATTTCAAAGATTTTAGAATATTAAAATAATTCAACAACAATTACAATAAATATGATAACCAAATAATATCAGATATTAAAGGAACACATTTTCTCACCTAGCATCTATATTATCTCAGAAAAAGAATCTACAATACTCACAACTTTTCTTTGACTTGACTTAACTTGAAATTTGTAGAGAGTAATGGCATCACAATAACAACTACACTTTGTGTGACATCATTGTTTAGTCCAATATCATAAAAGGTCATGACCTGTACATTACTTCAACCAATGTAAATGTTCCTAATATATTAAAACAACATCCTGCCCTTCAATAAGTATTAAAAGTGAGAAGTCCTTTAATACTAATGTTTAAATACGTGCAGGGTTTAACTTATACACCCCTGAAATTTCATAATGAACTATTCCAACCTTTAAATTGGAAGAGTTCAAATGTGTCTTCAGGGGTGAATGAGTTAAAGGAGGTTGTTCACATCATAAAAAGCTGTAACACTCAGCCTTAAGATGACCAGTATCTTGCATTTCATTGAAAAATAGTTGGAATGAACATCCAACTTGTCAAGCTTTCACAGTCCAACACAAAGCTCCTCAAGAATTAACATGCATAGAAGTGAATCAATGAACAACAATTTCGTCCCGGAACGCCATGGCAACCACAGCCTTTTGGTGACCGCTGTATTCCTTCTTTACCTCGCCAGTATCTACACTCCAGAGTCGAGCAGTGTTGTCTGAAGATGCTGTGGAAGAGAAATAAAAAAGAAATCCATAAAAATATTAGCTTTATGATAAGTGAGAACTACAAATTGATTTATTAGAGAGTAGTGGCAACTTCCCAAAGGTGTCTCTTATACCTCTTAAAGTTCACCTTAAAACATTTTTTAAACAAATCGACACGTAAACAAGAGATCTATCAGCCTCTAATGGATACAATTGAGAAGACCCTGTTAAAAGGTCCAAAGTCAGTTGTGCCCAAGAATGAATTTGACACCTAGCCCACAAGCACGATAAATTTCAAACTTATTTAAGTCTCTAGATCTCAGTCGACATTGGCCAGTAGAGACAAAGAAATGTATAAGAACTGTTCAATAAATGATGAAAGGCGAGGAGTGGGAGGTTGTAAGGCAGTTTCACACAAGGACATCAAATGTCAACTGCGAGGAAAGAAGGTGACACTTTGATACTGACTATCAACAAATAGAATGTTGAGAATTTAATGAAAGGAATTATTTTCTTCAGAACATCTTGTGGAATCCAAATTTCAGAGTTTTTCTGGATCTTTGAAGGATTTGAATTATGTACAACACAACTGACAGGTAATAGTCCTATCAAACTATCTCTCTTCCAAATATTTCAAAAATAAAAACTACGTAAATGATTCTCTTACCTATCAGAGAATGATGACTGATGAAATCTAGCATGTAAAAGTTAATTGAAAATTCTTTGAAAAGGCATAACAGGGATGTTTCTGTTCATTTACTCATATGATGTGATAAGAGTTGCAATTTTTAAAAAGCACACTATACCACCCATCTCTGAGTGTTGTCCCCGAGTTCAGTGTGTTACCTGTTATGATGTATTGCGAGTCACCACTGAAGGCACAGTCCCACACCCATCCCTGAGTGTTGTCCCGGAGTTCACAGTGTGTTACCTGTTATGATGTATTGTGAGTCGCCACTGAAGGCACAGTCCCACACCCATCGCTGAGTGTTGTCCCCGAGTTCAGTGTGTTACCTGTTATGATGTATTGTGAGTCACCACTGAAGGCACAGTCCCACACCCATCGCTGAGTGTTGTCCCTAAGTTCACAGTGTATTACCTGTTATGATGTATTGTGAGTCGCCACTGAAGGCACAGTCCCACACCCATCTCTGAGTGTTGTCCCCAAGTTTACAGTGTTTTACCTGTTATGATGTATTGTGAGTCGCCACTGAAGGCACAGTCCCCCACCCATCGCTGAGTGTTGTCCCTGAGTTCCCAGTGTGTTACCTGTTATGAGGTTTTGTGAGTCGCCCTGAAGGCACAGTCCCACACCCATCGCTGAGTGTTGTCCCTGAGTTCGGTCATCAAGGTGCGGTCTGCCGTCCGCCAGATCTTGGCTGTGTGATCGGCAGAGGTGGTAGCCAGCAACCTAGAGAAGAAAACTCATCCAGTTCATAATACAGCCTGTACTTTACCTTTCAATTTCCACAGAATTGATGTTGTGTGTAGTGTAAAACCTCAATATGATATCCTTGTTCCATTTGCTACCTTCCTCACTGCTAACATATCTGAGAGTCTCTTATGCTCTTTTTGTTGACCTGTATATGTTTTTTCCTTTATAATTCATCACCAATTTTTTTTCTTCACAAATGGTGACAGTATAACGAGGTTTAACTGTATTCCTTTCTGTAACAAGGTTACCGCGGGCGGTATATAATACGCCCGCCACACATTGAATGAGCAGTTGTTTGTATGATTGAAATATATGAAGTATTTGTGAGTAATTGATATTAAGAGAAATCATTCAACATAACTTGTAGATCAATGAGTGCAATACAACATCATGGAACGCATGCATCGCATTAATGAAACCAAGGGGAATAACTCCACAAATTATGATCGGATAATGGCGGTTATCGAACTCGTCCAAGGTTTCATGGTAATTAACCTTGTTGTGAAGTTTGAAGTTAATCCGTTAATAATTACTCGAGATATCGAGCGGACACTGTTTCAGCAAGTCCATAAAGGACCATAACTCCACAAATTATGGTCGGATAATGGCGGTTATCGAACTCGTCCAAGGTTTCATGGTAATTAACCTTGTTGTGAAGTTTGAAGTTAATCCGTTCATAATTACTCGAGATATCGAGCGGACATCGTTCGCCCACCCGCCCGCCCGCCCGCCCGCCCGCCCGCTCACGTGATAACATAATACGTCCCCGTCTTCGACGGGGGTATAAAAAGATCATTTATGCACATCTGACATTGGTTTAAAACTTCACAAACTTAACCCACACTGTACATGTATATTTCATACAGAATGTATTTAAATTAGAAAGAAAATGATTTATAAATGTATATTGCAATTTCTTATTCCAGAGCTGAATTACTTCCACAATTACTTACGTAGAATCTGGGCTGAACAAACATTTGAGAGCGTATCGACCGTGAGCCTCAAACTTGGTTTTTGGGTGGAGTTGGGTGGGATCTGTTCCCCGCCCTCCTGTCAGTGTCCAAATGTAACAACAGCACTGTGAAAGGTAAATTCTAGTTATTATCAACAGATCTCAACATAATCCTCTCTCCCTGTCCTATTTTTAGTTTAGCCCTGATTTCTTGTCTTAGTTTTAGTTTATTGTAACAAAAGAAAAGAAGGGAAAATGTATGGGTTTGGAAATCACTGCTGTGAGGTGATGTTTCTAAATTTATTTTTTTAAGTTGATAATGAAATACTATACTTATTTAGTTTAACATTTCTTCATCCAAAAAAAACAACACGATTCTCCCACAATGATGCAATAAGACCAACACAATATCAGAGACGAACTTTACACTGTAGAAATTTTCAAAATTAAGTATCTCAACAATTATTAGCATGAAGAATTTTGATTTTTTTTTTATAATATGTCATATTTAAACAAACTTATCCATCCATCTCACCAAACCGCCACTCACTAAATAGCCAAAATTTGCTATAGAATTACACGTTTACGATCAACTTGGGTCGGATCTGCCATTCAAATTATACTTATTAAATGATATATGGTCTTGATCCCGAATCCAGATCCGCTACTTATACTACACTTTTTCAGTAAATTGTGATGAACTAAAGTACTTTTTTTCTGCTTCTCTATAAACTCAAATGAAAACCTTTGCCCAAATATCATCATTATATCTCACTGGTCAGATCTATATTCGACTATGCTTCTGTTGTATGGGATTCTTACCAGAAAAAGGACATAGACCGTCTAGAAGGGATACAGCGACGTGCTGCCGCTTTGTGTGCAATGATTACAGCAGATACAGAAGCGTATCCAAAATGATGGAGGAACTTAAATGGCAAGACCAGCGTTTAGTGTTACTCTACAAAATAGTTCACGGCCTCCTGGCCATACCCGCCGACTTGCTAATCAGGTTTAATACCAGAAAACAGCACAGTAAATCCATCAAAGTGCTTAGTTGTAACACCGACATACATGTATATAAAAACTCATTTGTACCTTCTACCATAAAAGACTGGAATGCACTACCATCGCACATAATCAACTGTAAAACAACGGAACAATTTAAGGCCACTATTGTGACCAAAATTGACTAAGATTGATATAGCAAACTCACTAACCCTGGAGTGAGCTAATTTCCAGTATATATACAGATACAGATACAGATGTTATTGAGGACAGCATAAAATTACTAAACTTGCCATGTAAGATGTATGACTTTTGAATTTCTATACAACTTTTTTTTTTTTATAGAATTTAGCCTCACCTTGTTATTGACAGCAGCCATCATCGTTCCCATTGGGTCAATACTGATAGACTGGATGGAGGCGTCTGGTTCTGGTATCTGTTACAACAAATAGCCGGGAATAAACTTTGTTGGTTTCCAATGTTTGATTATCTATAGCTTGAGTAAGTCAGGGACTGAGAATAATAAAATCTATGACCTGTAACTGAGCGAGATCGGGTTATCTCTGTCGAGGGTTAAGACGCCAAGGTTGGGATGTTGAAGAATCTTAGCCCGAGACTGAGATAACCCGATCTCGCTAAGTTACAGGTAATAGATTTATATTCTCGCAACTTTTATTTCGAAAAAAACTATTCAGATTTGCAAAAAACTAAAAGCATCCCACCTTGAGCCTCAAATGACGATGACCTTTTCACTACTTAAGCTACATTTGAATGCTTCCGTGTAAAAACGTAGTCCGATAGAAAAATCTAGCATGAAGTATGACGTGGGATATCTCTGTCTGAGGTGCGAGAAAAGAATATACCTGCTGTTGCCCACTGCATGTTGTAAGAGGCGACTAAGGTGGGACCCCCACAAGATCTGGAATATGCTTTTGTGACCTCTATAACAAAAGCGACCAAAATAAATCTGCTGTACCCACTGCAACTTTTGGGATCTTTACATTTTCTTTTCACATTCTAACAACCTTTTGTTTCCTAGTGCCTTGCTTGGCAAAAACCTCATTTTTGGCCAAGGTGTTGAGTGTTTACCGAGGAGGGGGAGGCAGCGAGTCCAGCGTCCAGGCTGAGACATACCAAGTCCTTAAAACTGGAAGTTGTTAATCTCCACTAAACCTTCAGCATTTAGGGTAGTTACAACATCTGAGTTGACTTGTTGGCAGTGTAATGTGAATGGGTGGAAAACTGTGCAAGGTGCCTTCGGTATGGTATTTCAGTGAGGTAGTCCCTGAAGTCAGCATAAAAACCGCGCTATTGCATTGAGGAAAATTCATCAACGTACCTTTCCTCCGGCATGCACTCATAAATTAAGTACGAAAGGAGGAACTACACCATCATACCCCTCCAGCACAAACACATAAATGGAGATACATCCTTAAAAGCCCTTAGCTGTTAATAGGATGCTAAACGCAATAAAACCAAACCAAACCAAGCTCGAATAAGTGAGGGTACAGAACGAGACTATCGAGGGTTACCGATGATGAGGAATACAGGGCAATGGTTATCTTTTGAGATAACATAAGAGCTTTACATTGACAGTCACAAAGGACTAATCCATTGCAATACACCTCACTGACTACTTACCAGCTGTTCATTGTTGTTTGTCTTCAAATCCCATATATGGATGGATCCACTCTGGTCTCCGATGAAAAGTTCTCCCTTAAAAACAATATGCAATTGTTAGGACTAGGCTAGTTAATCAAGGAGCACATCAGTAATTGAACTACTTCTAGGTATTTTTATTACTCCATATCTACATAAAAGTTTTAGAGTGCAATAGAAAGTAAGCATAGCGTAATTAAACTTTTTGGACAGTATTTAACATTGGATTGACGAGAGAATCAGACTAAAACTGGTTAGTGTTCTGAGCCATTTTCAAAGCTAAAATTTGATTCTGCCACTAGAAGATGTCTGTAATACACAAATGCCCCACTCCCCTCTTTTGCTGGAAATAGAGCTTAAAGCAAATCTAACCAAAGAAATGAAGCTTAAAGCAAAGTCTTATAAAAGTCAGTCAAGCAAAAATATATTTCGAACTGACCTACATTTCATGAACTCCAAAGAATCGGTCAATGATAAAATATTTATGCAAATTACTGTAGTAAATAAAATGAATGTTTTTAATCAAATCTATAAACGATTTTTCAATGTTCCAAAACAATTTACTAACTGTATACATCATTGTATTCTGTCAATTTTGTACATCGGTACCTATCTCTGATAAAATATCATTTCTTGGTTTTCATTATCTATCTTATACTTACCTGATTGGGGTGGAGACAGACACAGTTGATTGGGGCATTCACTTGGAACAGTCTTTGGCATTGTTGATTTCTGGATCTGAACAGAATACAAAATCAGAGATATCTGTAGTAATAGTATTGTCACGTATAAATGTTTTCCTAAGATATTGGTTTAATTAATGCTGACTGGTATTAAACTTTACCCGACTGCAAGGAACTGAAATGTTTTACCTTAAGTACCATTTGATGTGAATGATTTTTGTAGTGACAGGTATCAATGATTTTCTCAGGTAGTGACAGGTATCAACGATTTTCTTTTTACCTGGTACTAGTGGTTGTAAAATGTATACCTGAGATATTAACATAGATAAATATTCAACTGATATTGTATACCGGCCAACTTTTGCCCAGTCAAACTTCCACCCTAACTGGTAAATTCCAAAGTTGCCCTGAATGATTTTTTTGCCTTTCATAAGTAATGACAATGGATAATATGGTGTGTATTTACATTTACTGTCAAGGTAAGTAGACTTGCCCTCATTATGGAGTGTGTAAAGGAAAGAGTTAAACTGTAGTAAAATGTCCTGATATACACCGGTGCGACGAATCACCGAAACGGAACCGAAACGGACCGAAACTAAAACGAAACGGAGTCGAAATGGAAACCATAAGCTATTTTAAGGGAATTCAATACAGTTTAGATTGTGTGTGAACAAAACGGACCCCGATCGGAACCGAAACGAAATTGTAAATGTGTTTTTTTTTGGTAAATTTGAGCTGTGTTTCTTTATTTGTCGTGTAGGCCTATATATTGTGTATATTATATATGCCAAATACATACAATAATGCATGTATCTATGTTATATAAATACAAGCACATGACTAGATCTTCATACATTAGAAAGGCAATTATATCATAATGCAGTGACGAGACATCGCATTTTTTTATACGTTACGTTAATTTCCCCCTTTTATTAATTTTTTCTCCGTTGGATTTCTTGGCTCATTTTGATATTATTTTCAATTTATTAAATGCTTAAAATATTGATAAAGTTGTCCATTTAAATGAGCAATCCATACTTATCACAGCATAAAAAATACTTGTGGCNGTCCGTTTCGGTTCCGATTCGGTCCGTTTCGGTGATTCGTCGCACCCAGACACACTATATTGGAAGGGTTTGCACATTATATGTTTGATACCTGGTGTAATGACAGGTGCCAATATTCACCTGATGTTATAAAAGGTAATTTCCAGGTGTAAATGTTTACACTGTTTGCAGTTACACCATTTCTAATCATATCAGTATTAGCGCTGGTTGTGTCATAAATGGAGTCCTTTTCAAATTAAACAGGGTGTTTGTAAAGTCAAAATGGATTTAGTGGGATCCCTTCCAAAGTTCTATGCTTTAAAAAGTTATAAATATGGGGGTTAATAAAAAATACTATCTATAGCTTTTTTGAAGCAGAAATGAAAAAATGCAGAAGACCCCAAAAATATGAAAATTTTGTCTTCTTTTCATATTGAAAGCAATTAAATCACCAGTTTAAAAGGATACATCTAACGCTGGTCCATAAGAGACACTGACAGGTATTGATGTTTACCGGGTATATTGAATGGAATAATATTACCTTTACAGGTATGATCAATGTTTTACCTGAGGTCCCAGATTCGGACGTTATTATCCTCTCCGCCAGTGTACATCCACTTGCCCTCCTCCTGAAATCCCACACCTGTGATGTTTTTGGAAATACCCTCGTAGTTGATGACAGGATTTGGATTGTTAGAGTTAAGATCATACATACGTATGTGCTGATATCCTGTAATGCAAAAAAATATTATTTCACTAAAATATAACTTACAGTACTTACTTTGTATGCATGACATGCATTATATATTTATCTCATATATACAGGACACTTACTGTGATGATAACAAAATGAAATGGAACTACACATGTTAAAAAATATGTTTTTACCAGTATTTTCATTTTAAAATTATATATATACAAGTTAAATATAAGTAACACATTTTAATAGCTTTACAACAAAATGTTATTTACCTGCAGCAGCTATTAGCTGTTTATCTGGTGTTATTGCCAATGCATTGACCTGCTGGAAACTGTTAAAGCTTATAATTTTACATAGAAAATTTATCAAGCACAGGAATAATTGTCTTATTTGTTCTAGCAATATTCATAAGGTCAGTTAAGTCTATTTAAACTTTGTTTCAGTTAATAACAAATATATGATTAATTGTGTTGTAATCTTATCGTAGTCAGAACACAATCTTATTTGTAAAAAGAAGATGATTGTTTCCCTAATATCATCATTCAGTTACGTTGCATGTATTATGCATACAGGGTTTTCAGTTAACACTTGTCATTTAGCAATTGCATGAGTCAAATAACACACTCCCTGAAAATTGAAAGGTCAAAACATACACAAGTTCACATATCTGTCATTTTGGGGTCAATTTATAACCACATTTTAAGTATCTAATGATTGAAGCTTATTATGTACTATGAAATGCACATTATTCTTCATGATAACACCTTTTAAAACAGAAAAGTTACTTTGTAAATTTCGTTAAAACACAGCTAGACTATACTGACTGAAAAATTAACTATGACTGGTCAACTTGATATGAAGTAATTTCATCAACACTAAAACTAAAAGGATACAGAGTCTGGATGCTGTACAGTTCGGTAGCAGATCCCACTGTGGGCCTGCCAGAACCTAATCGTGTGATCATATCCAGCAGTGGCCAAGATCACAGGATCAGTGTTACCGTTAGACCCACTCATACTTCGAAGTTCTTTTTTCATTTACATCTCACATCTTCACCGAACGTGCACCTTGCGGAAGTAAATAATAAATTCGCCGGAATGAATATATCGTGATCAATGATTGGTCAATATAGAAGACGAACATATGTGTTTGTTTTCTGATTGGATAATAATCTGGCACGTCTCTAAAACTCACGTGGGATGTAAGGATGTCAATTTTACTTGGTGTTCCAGACGAGAAAGTTGGTGACAGATCATCAGATTTCACCACAAACAAAATAGGAGGACTCCCAGTAAGTTTTTATGAAACGTTTTTGATGTAATTAGTGTTTAACCCGAATAATGCAGGACCAGATAAGGACGTGACATTTCAATATCCACAACTTTGAACCACACACAGGGGTTCGTTACAAGTGTATAAATTAGACATATTAGACATTTGTAACGAACCCACATGAACCACAGGTACTAGCCTCGTCTGTCAGTATACCCATAATATAAACTTGTATTGACAGACGAGGTTAGTACCTGTGGTCAAATCCACATGTGTTTGACACACTGATATGATTCGCTGGAATAACACACAGATACAGATACAGAAGCTTTATTTTACGTCGAATATTATAAACATACAACATAAGCTACGAAGAGCTTGTATTTTGACAAACACATGTAAAGAACAAAATACATAACAAGAAATTTTTACAAAATACACATACATATTGAAACGTTAAACAGTAAAAATATGAAGCATATAAAGCATGTACAGCACATTTGCAGAAAATAAACATATGACAAAAGAATCAAATTGTAAACTACAAAGCTGACAAAAAGCACAGAGCCATATGTAAAGCTGTACGTTACATTTTAAACAATACACTTCAGCCAGCACAGGACACATACAAAGCAGGAAAAATAGGTAGCCAGAAACGCTAACCAACACATAAAGTGCATCCGCACTCTAGCCCGTCCCACCTACATATCAGTCTGCCGAACTCGGAGTAGTTCTCCACTTTACGCAATTCGTTCGGCAGGCTGTTCCATATGCGGGCGCCCTCATAGCGGGAGGACCTCTTTCCATACCTGGTGGTGTTGACCCTTGGAAGCTGTGCTGTATTTTCATTCCTAAATGAATAAGATGAACATTTTATATTTATTATTTCTTGTAGGTAGTCAGGAGATAACTTATTAACAATTTTAAAAACTTTGCAAGCAATGAGTTTCATGCGAGTAATATGTAAATAATATGAGTCTGTGCTCGATAAAATATCCTTGTAATCTGAGATATAATCATTTAGTACAAAACGTAGTCCTCTCTCCTGGATTTTTTCCATCTTGTTTGTGCTAGATTTATTACAAAAGTGCCAAATAACAGGACAAAAATTAAAGTTTGACATTACAAAGGATTTGAGAATTAACATTTTTACATTTTTTGGTAAGGAGTTTCCAATTCGCTTGAGTACCGCCAACTGTTTTGAGGCTTTTCTACATAGCTCTGAGATGTGTTGGTTAAAATTTAATTTTGAATCTATATTTACTCCAAGTAGCTTTACATTTTCTTCACAGTCAATTTTTACTCCTTCAATTTCAAAATTTGTTAAATCATTTTGATTTTTTCCAAAATAAATTGCCTGAAACTTATCTGGGTTGGCTTGCATTCCGTTAGATTTAAACCAATCGATCAGGANACTCCACATGAAGTTAATTTCTGTCCAGGAAGATGATGATGATGTGTGACGCAAAAATTCTCTCGTCGTCAAACAGTTACTTTATCGCAGCTATAAATCATATAGTATTTGACACACTGCTATGATGTGTTTATACACATTATATCAGGGTCTCCAGCACCTGCATGTGGTCAAATCCCTGTGATCTGTCAGGTCTGTCACTATTATAACTATCATTAACAACAGCTATTAACTAGGTGCTGACTCCTGAGACCTGGAGAGGAATGGCTGGAGAGAGTTGGGCGGTACAACGTTTGACAGGTTTACATCAAACTCATAGTTATACCTGTCCGGTACCTGACCATGGATCTGTCTGATAAGAGCTCAAATCAAGGCTAGGCACTTTCTATGGAGTTATGCCGCTTTGTTGAAAAATCCTTGTCTGGAAGTTTCCCCTAAACTACTGGGTCCATTCCGAACGAAAGTTTACAGATAGGGAACCACCATGACATTGTGCATCTAGGTAGTATTTTTTCATTCAGACTCTTTTCATGGAGTTATTGCACTTTGTTGAAAAATCCTTATCAGGAAACACTTCCTCAAGTACTGGGACGATTTCAGCGAAATTTTACAGACATGATAACTACCCCCAGTGTACTTCCTACTGATTTGTATGTCCTGATATCAAATTGTGTCTTAATGTTAATTTATATGTAATTTAAAAAAATTGCAGACCTGTGACAAAGTTTTTAATATTTCTAGGAAAATTTCTATTCAATTATAACATTTACTTTGTTAAAACTGTCCATGTCTCTCGTTACAGGATTGGGTTGTTCCTGGAAGTAAAATACCAACATGTCGGTGCTGTGGGAGATTTATGTCCCTTGCTGTTCAACTATACTGTCCATTAGAGGGTTCCCAATACCACCGAACCCTCTATCTGTTTTCCTGTCACTACAAGACATGCTGGGGAAAACCAGACAGGTAGGCATTGACTCTAAATCTGGGGTAGCAGGTGTACCGAGGAAGCATCGGCTTAGAACAAAATTTCATCTACTGCAATCAATGCTATGTTTGAAAAGAAACTTTACCATCTTTATTTCTTTTCAACCATTTAATTTTTAATGGAACTTGTATGCCAGACAATAACCATGTGAAAGTCTGGCATCTGAAGCTTACAACAGAAGATAATTGAACTCAAAATGACATCTTCTACTTAAAACAAATCATGTCAAAGCACATATTTCATAGGTATTGATTTTGCTCAAAAGGTCATTTTTTCACTTAAGAATCCTGGTACTGCTGCCAAAATGAATTTAAAGACAGGTTAGTGTATGTATGAAAAACTACACTGGAATTCTCTGATGTTTTGCCTGCAGAGAGACAGTGATCCTTTAACACATAAATGATATATATTGTAAAGGTATTTATATAAGGACTTCTTCATTAGACAGATACGGATGTACAGTAGTTGTATAAGTGATAATGATGCAAAGGTAGCAAAGGAATTTATGCAACTTTTAAATTCTATAAATTTTAGTTGGACAACTGTAAGATCTCAGAAGTTGGATGAGAGTTTTGTTACCAAGGCGAAAAAGCCAGAGAAAGTAAAACCAAGTGCTACGTCGGAAGATTGGGGTGTGGCTGCTGACGACTGGGGAGTGGATGCAGATGATTGGGAGACTGGAACTGATGACTTTGGGTCAGGGAGTGATAATTTCCTGGCAGGGAACACCATGAGTAAGACTGAAGTCAAGGGTGAGAGGTCAGATGTCAATACAGGGCATGACCTTGGGACAAGTTGGACAGATGTGGTGGTAGGATCAAGTGCAGTAGGAAATGTAAATTTATCGGAAATGTCCTGTAATTCTAGCCTCAGTCAAGATCAGGAAGAGCTGTTATCAACAGGAGGATCTAATGATCTCCAAGGAGAAATGGCACAATTAAATGTTCACGATTTTGATGACAGTGATTCCGAAAAATCTGATTCAAATATTGTCATGGATACAGACAGTGTCACTTTGAAAGTTACGGAAGAAGGTGTTAAAGAAATGATGAACTTATTAGTAAGGAAAGCACCAAATCAAAATAGCAAAGGTCAAGGTCAAACCAGTGCTGTAGAGAGTTGCCATGGCAATGAAGGACAAATATTTGAATCCTATTATATCAGTGTATTTTACGAACCAGAAAATGTGGAGGAAAGTACTAGTCATATACAGGACCTTATCCGAAATTATCGGCAAAAGGAACGTGGGGACTTTGATCCATTACCTGCAGAGAAGGGAAGGTAGGTGTTAAATTGTCAAAAAGCTTCTTTTTAGCCCACCATCAGATGATGGGCTATTCAAATCGCCCTGCGTCCATTTTCCGTCTGTCCTTAAACAATTCTTGTTATCGCTATTTCTCAGGAAGCACCAAAGGGATCTTTCTCAAATTTTATATGTAGGTTCCCCTTGGTCCTTAGTTGTGCATAGCAACTTTTGAGACTGATCGGATAAACAACATGGCCAACTGGCAATCAAATTCTCAGTCTGTAATTTTCTGGTTTTTATCGGCTACATATTTGGGAACTGGGAGATAATGATAAGCCATTTCACTTTGAAGCTAATATAACTACCACTTCCCTGTTTTTAAGATTCAATAATTACAGTTTCAGCATTTGATTATATTACTCTCCATAAGTTAGTCATAAATAGGAATATTTGCTGTAGTTTTACTTTTAGCAACCTTTTTTTCTGTATCTGCTTCTTGTATTCATTTAAACATCATTTAAGTAATCAGTGCTCTAATTTGCAGGTCCAAGGGAGGGGGTGAAACATACGAGGAGGATCATGTCGTCCATGGCGATAAATATTTCTACAAATTCACCAAGAGGATAGCCGCCTGTCCACAGCAATGTATACGGTAAGTCAGTAGATATTTTTTACATTTAACATTTTTCAGTGATCCTCTGTCCACCCACCCTTTCCTGTGCTTGTCCCAGTATAGACCTGCTGTACTCCACTGCATGATCATATGAGGTCATTTATGTACGGCTCTGTGCAGAAACAGGATTTTTCTTCTGCGTTCGGCCTCTTGCTCTTTATAAGAAGACTGAAGAAAACAGAATTTGAAATTAATTTTTTTGATCAATGTTTACAGGAGTTTTAATGTATTGATAAAATTGTATAAAAATCTCTGAATATTCTTGAGTTTTGGACATGTATACAATGTACATCCTTCTTCAGAATTTGTTCAAATAGCTCTGTCAGAAGTATCCTATTACTGTATACCAGGAATTTTTTGCCGCTCTTTAATTTTCGTCATTTTCACCTTCCGCAAGGGGGGGGGGGGGGCAAATTTATCATGATAACAAATATAAGTACACAGCATAGCCTATATAGTACTGTAATTACACATGTAAGGGGGAAATTAACTATGGGTGAATATTTATTTTAATAGTGAAAGGCGAATATTTGACTAAGCGACAGATTCTTGGTATACAGACGAATACAGTACATGATGTCACCAAATCTGTGATGTGGTAGATAGTTTATAACACATAATATAATGTAACAGGAAGCACGGAGAAGATCTGATAATGGTGTAATTATACTTTCTCTGTGTACATGATCAATTTGTCGAATACTATAAATTTCGACTTTATTAGTAACCTTTTCTATATAGTCTGTTCACACATTTCTGTCAAAAGGCGAAACGTCCTGTGTCGATTGACATGAAATCAACATTTTTCATCACATCGTTGTACAGGTAAACAACCAAACCTGCTCACTCAGCCAAAGCTTGACAAAGGGACCCTGGCCAGTCAATCTTGAAATGTTGTGACATGTTTAATACATAAACTTTTGGTGTATGAAGTAAAACGTTGATATTGACTTTATCATACCTGAATATTATTGATTGATCATTATTTTGATAGCAGATCTTTTCCATGCTTCCTTTTATTTTCATTGTATTAGAAATTGAATGTCATCCGAGATTTTTTTTTCTATAAAATTGTATTGATGTGTTCTGACTTGAATGTAAATCCAACTAAATACAATGTAATGTATTTATAAATATCTGCCAAATTCCCTCTTTAAAAATTTCAATTAGAAGTTGAAGTAACAAGTTATCATTATAAATTGAATGTGTGAGCCCAATCACCCTAGTAATGTTTTAATAGGCATGGTACCATCACTCTGTGGTAGAGTCAGAATTTATACATTGCTCAATGAGCTAGCCTGTGTTATCCATAATGCTAGTCATGAAATATTTTTCTCCAAAATGTGTCTTGTATTTATAGGTATCAGTGGAATGGAAATCCTCTGTACATTTCTCGGCCTGACCCTAAGATGGCCACAGCACTCACATGTGGTCAGTGTGGAGGTCAAGCCATGTATGAATTACAGCTGCTGCCAGCATTGGTCAACTTCCTCCGTATTCGAGACACGACAGGTGAGCAGTCAACTTTCTTCATAATGGGAATTATTTTCTGGAGTTCTTTCCTTGTCTACTTCTAGTAATTTACAACATGAATATTCTTGTAGCTGTTAGATTTAGAAAAAACTCTCTCAATAACGTTAGTTTTCATTGAAATTAACAATGATGAGAATCATGTTTCTAAGAATTCAGAAAGCAAACTGGTGAGATACACTGGGCAAATATGATTGTTAAAACTGCAAAATGATTTTACTTCAACAGAATTAATGCAGGTGGGCAATAACTTGTGTACAGGAAAATTACCTGGTAGTTGCCCTTTTGATCAAATTTGAAATGGATTACAATTTTCTAGGCATTAAGCTCATTTTGTTGAAAAGTCCGCTTCTCAGGGCTGTCAAATTCATTTTCCAAGATATTATATATCTCCAAGAAGCTCATCGCAAAATTTTGATCCCACATTTCATGGTAGCCCCCTTAGGTTTATAACAGGGTTATTACTAGGGTAACTGAGAAAGGGCTTGGTGAAACATCCAGGACTATGAGATAAACTCTATTTTGCACGGTTATTCATGATTACACATACTGAGTTGTCTCCCTTTAACATAAATTTCAATTGAGTGATGTTTGCTGCTTTACAGAACCAGCGACAGAGTTTGGGACAGTACTTGTGGTCAGTTGTCGAGGTAGCTGTTGGAGGGACACAGATACCACCCTTCAGGAGGCCACCTTAGTGCAGCCTGACCCTGACAATCACCTGTTCAGATAATAGGAGTCAACCACAGAGAATTTCTTGGCTAAAACTTATCCCATACTTAAACCTTGCCATGGTGTCGACAGGGAATTCCAAGGATGATATTCATCTCGGAGCAACCAACCCAGTCAAATCGTAGAGGTCACCAACTGCAAGGAAACGCCTTATCTCCAATTATCCAAAACCCCTGAATTCTCAGAATACATGTTTTCCTGGACTGTCCATTCTGTATGACCTATTACTTGTCAAGTGTTAGAGCTTTAACACTTTGGTCATTCTCCAAGCTGGGCAGATGACTAGATAACTTTACTTGCCCAAAGTTTCAATGATGGTAAATGAGTGATTTAGAATAAAGAGAAAAAATAACATTATGATGGTGTTTTCATTTTTGCCTTATGTTAATTAAGAAAGATGTTAAGAAATTGAGAAGATGTTAGTATTTTAGTAACTGTAATACATGCTGAAATACTGCAATGGTGCACAATCATGAAAATGAGCCTGGGACTGTATAGAGCAGGTACCAAGCCTCAGCTACCTGTAAAGTCACTGACCGTGGAGTTCTAGGCGACTACGGTCAGATAGGTGCTCTTTTTCCAGAACAGTAAAGATGAGAAAGTTACGGAAGCAAAGGGGAAGGTCAAGATGTGGAGGAATAGTAGGAGAACAGACAAAAACATTGAGGTTACCAGTGTAAAGGCAGCTACGTACCTGAAATGATTAGGTGGGGGTTTCGATTCTTGCATCGTCATAGATTTCAATTAGCTTCTATTTGACCTGTTATCAATTATTTACAACCCAGGTTAGGGTATCCCCTTGCCAAGCATTCTTAAGAAAACAAAAAAAAGGGACATCAAATAATGTTGGTGCTAAACGAGTTGGCAAATGAAACGAGGGGCATTATAGCCAGGTATTAGTGTATATTAGTGTACATGTATATGGAAATTATCACATATAGGTGTAAAATATGAACAGTGTGTCAAAGTAAAAAGAATGGTATGATTCCATTTAATTCAATAATCAACCCTGGGCTGAAGATTCTTTACATTGACAAACATGAGGCTTACCTACGTTGAGATCCCCAAACTCATCCCAAGTGGTTTGTTGTCCCTTTTGGCATGTCATATATGACAAATGTTGAAATGACGTCAAATAATTGCCATATCTTGTGAATCCATTCCCAAGTCAGGATCAAACTAGCCCGAGTTTCCTCTGGCCCCGACACCAGACTTTAGACATTTTGACAGATAGATGTCTAGTGTAAGGGCCAGAGGAAACTCTGGCTAGAATCAAACAAGGGTTAATTATATTTTACCAATGCTTATATAAGTTTCTTATAGGGTTGAACGTCTTATCAACAGCGAAGGTCATTTAAGGACGTGCCTCTGTGTGTGTAATACATTTGTTACAGCTAATATTTGTACCTAAACTAAGGTGTTTAGAGTAATTTTAGACATTTTAGGGGTTTAGTTCAACTGTATATCATCACTTGGGCTGGCATTTTAATGAACATTTATCTAAATCCCTTAAACTTGTAAAATTACCCAGATATACCTATAGCCAGATATAGATATTGTTGTTACGAATCTGAAGTTATATATGGAGCGAGGATACGTTTAATCATGTTGTCCTTTGTGCGACAATTTCGCGGTAGAGAGCTATGAAACTTGTCACTTTTTATTAACATATCTTTCGTCGTTTACCAAGAAATGTATCCCATACGATATAGAAATATTAATGTATTCTTTTATGAAACCACAACATTTATGATAATTTGAGTTTATTATGGGCTTCACTCCATTTTAGCAACTAAAATCATATTAACGTTATTAGCTCACCTGGTCCGAAGGACCAATGTGAGCTTATGCCATACCGTTGCGTCCGTCGTCCGTACGTCCGTCCGTACGTCCGTACGTCAACAATTTCTTTAAACGACTTCTTCTTCTTAACCACTGATTGGAATTCAACTAAATTTGACTGGAAGCAACCCTAGGTTGTGGGGATTTAAAATTGTACAAATGATGGGGCTGACCCCTGCGGGGTCTGAGGGGCGGGGCCAAAAGGGGGGAATTTGGCTATACTGCTTTAAGCGACTTTTTCTCTGGAACTAAGAGATGGATATCAACCATATTTAATTGGAAGCATCTCTAGGTGGTGGGGATTCAAAATTGTATAAATGATGGGGGTGACCCCCGAGGGGGCTGAGGGGCTGGGCAAAAAGTGGGCAATTTGGCTATATTGCTTTAAGCGACTTCTTCTCTGGAACTAAGAGATGGATATCAACCATATTTAATTGGAAGCATCTCTAGATGGTGGGGATTCAAAATTGTACAAATGATGGGGCTGACCCCCGAGGGGGCTGAGGGGCAGGGCAAAAAGTGGGCAATTTGGCTATATTGCTTTAAGCGACTTCTTCTCTGGAACTAAGAGATGGATATCAACCATATTTGACTGGAAGCATCTCTAAGTGGTGGGGATTCAAAATTGTACAAATGGTGGGTCACACTCTTAAACAGGAGGTACACATAAGGTGTGAAGGTCACCCCCCTAAATAGGAGGTATACATAAGGCTTTAAGGTCACACTCTTAAATAGGAGGTATACATAAGGTGTGAAGGTAACCCTCTTAAACAGGAGGTTTACATAAGGTGTGAAGGTCACACTCTACAACAGGAGGTATAAGGTGTGAAGGTCACACTCTACAACAGGAGGTATACATAAGGTTTGAAGGTCACACTCTTAAACAGGAAGTTTAAATAAGGTGTGAAGGTCACACTCTTTAATAGGTGGTATACATAAGGTGTGAAGGTCACACTCTTAAACAGGAGGTATACATAAGGTTTGAAGGTCACCCTCTTAAACAGGAAGTTTAAATAAGGTGTGAAGGTCACACTCTTTAATAGGAGGTAAACATAAGGTGTGAAGGTCACCCTCTTAAACAGGAGGTAAACATAAGGTTTGAAGGTCACACTCTTAAACAGGAGGTATACATAAGGTGTGAAGGGCACACTCAAAAACAGTAGGTACACATCAGGTGTGAAGGTCACCCTCTACAACAGGAGGTATACATAAGGTGTGAAGGTCACACTCTACAACAGGAAGTTTAAATAAGGTGTGAAGGTCACACTCTTTAATAGGAGGTTTACATAAGGTGTGAAGGTCCCACTCTACAACAGTAGGTATACATAAGGTGTAAAGGTCACCCTCTTAAACAGGAGGTATACATAAGGTTTGAAGGTCACACTCTTAAACAGGAAGTTTAAATAAGGTGTGAAGGTCAAACTCTTTAATAGGAGGTATACATAAGGTGTAAAGGTCACCCTCTTAAACAGGAGGTATACATAAGGTTTGAAGGTTAGCCTCTTAAACAGGAGGTATACATAAGGTGTGAAGGGCACACTCAAAAACAGTAGGTACACATCAGGTGTGAAGGTCACCCTCTACAACAGGAGGTATACATAAGGTGTGAAGGTAACTCTCTACAGCAGGAGGCATATATAAGGTTTGAAGGTCACACTCTTTAATAGGAGGTTTACATAAGGTTTGAAGGTCACACTCTTAAACAGGAAGTTTAAATAAGGTGTGAAGGTCACACTCTTTAATTGTAGGTTTACATAAGGTGTGAAGGTCACCCTCTTAAACAGGAAGTTTAAATAAGGTGTGAAGGTCTCTCTCTTTAATAGGAGGTAAACATAAGGTGTGAAGGTCACCCTCTTAAACAGGAGTTATACATAAGGTGTGAAGGTCATTCTCTACAGCAGGAGGTATATATAAGGTTTGAAGGTCACACTCTTTAATAGGAGGTTTACATAAGGTTTGAAGGTCACACTCTTAAACAGGAAGTTTAAATAAGGTGTGAAGGTCTCTCTCTTTAATAGGAGGTAAACATAAGGTGTGAAGGGCACACTCTACAATAGGAAGTTTAAATAAGGTGTGAAGGTCACACTCTTTAATAAGTGGTTTACATAAGGTGTGAAGGTCACACTCTAAAACAGTAGGTACACATCAGGTGTGAAGGTCACCCTCTACAACAGGAGGTATACATAATGTGTGAAGGTCACACTCTACAACAGGAAGTTTAAATAAGGTGTAAAGGTCACACTCTTTAATAGGAGGTTTATATAAGGTGTGAAGGTCACCCTCTTAAACAGGATGTATACATAAGGTGTGAAGGTCACCCTCTTAAACAGGATGTATACATAAGGTGTGAAGGTCACCCTCTTAAACAGTAGGTACACATAAGGTGTGAAGGTCACCCTCTTAAACAGGAAGTTTAAATAAGGTGTGAAGGTCCCACTCTTTAATAGGAGGTATACATAAGGTGTAAAGGTCACCCTCTTAAACAGGAGGTATACATAAGGTGTGAAGGTCACCCTCTTAAACAGGAGGTAAACATAAGGTTTGAAGGTCATGCTCTTAAAAAGGAAGTATACAAAAGGTGTGAAGGTCACCCTCTTAAACAGGAGGTCAACATAAGGTGTGAAGGTCACACTCTTAAACAGGAGGTATACATCAGGTGTGAAGGTCACCCTCTTAAACAGGAGGTATACATAAGGTGTGAAGGTCGCCCTCTTAAACAGGAGGTATACATAAGGTTTGAAGGTCACACTCTTAAACAGGAGGTATACATAAGGTGTGAAGGTCACCCTCTTAAACAGGAGGTAAACATAAGGTTTGAAGGTCACACTCTAAAACAGTAGGTATACATAAGGTGTGAAGGGCACACTCTAAAACAGTAGGTACACATCAGGTGTGAAGGTCACCTTCTACAACCGGAGGTATACATAAGGTGTGAAGGTCACACTCTACAACAGGAAGTTTAAATAATGTGTAAAGGTCACACTCTTTAATAGGAGGTTAACATAAGGTGTGAAGGTCACCCTCTATAACAGGAGGTATACATAAGGTTTGACGGTCACCCTCTTAAACAGTAAGTTTGAATAAGGTGTGAAGGTCACGCTCTTAAATAGGAGGTAAACATAAAGTGTGAAGGTCACCCTCTTAAACAGGAGGTAAACATAAGGTGTGAAGGTCACACTTTTAAACAGGAGGTATACATAAGGTGTGAAGGTCACCCTCTTAAACAGGAGGTATACATAAGGTTTGACGGTCACCCTCTTAAACAGGAAGTTTGAATAAGGTGTGAAGGTCACACTCTTAAATAGGAGGTAAACATAAAGTGTGAAGGTCACCCTCTTAAACAGGAGGTAAACATAAGGTTTGAAGGTCACACTCTTAAACAGTAGCTACACATAAGATGAGGTATACATAAGGTGTGAAGGTCCCACTCTACAACAGTAGGTACACATAAGGTGTGAAGGTCCCACTCTAAAACAGTAGGTATACATAAGGTGTGAAGGTCCCC